TATGTAACGAAGTAAAGTTAAATAAGAAAAGGAAGAGAGAAGTGAAGGTGTAAGGGGAGGGAAAGAGCTGTTACAAGAATCACGCTTTAAAAGCAGGCACATCGGAAAGATCAGTGCAAGCTTTTCGATCCAGGTGAAACCCAAATGATAAGAAAATTGTGTTGTGATAAGCTACGTGCAGGAAGAGTGAGAGAGACGAACAGCTGAAAAAAAAACATTCCAATTTTTACAGATCTGACAATTATACAGGTCTGCTGGCGTATGCTCTGGCGTTGCCTCTTATAAAATAACCGACCATATCCTCGATAACAATTTTTTTCTTGACAATTGCTTTGGCAATTTAGGCGAACACAGAAAGTGAAAAAGAGTGCCAAAGCATTGTGATCGTGTTACTTTCGGCTACGATACAGAGCCACTGTCACTGTTCCCCGCTTTGTTTAGCACGGAGCTGTGAATGGATGGAGGGGGAGTAATTAGCTTTTTGTTCGCGAAAAAAGAAAAAGGAACTTGTCGTGCACATAAAAAAAAGGCGAGGCAAAAGCGGTAAAACGTTTATGCGGAAAGTGCGAAAAAGAAAAATATATTTTTATTTTGTTTATCATTTTCTTATTTGTGTGTAATAAATAATAATAAAAAAGTTCGTTTCAATTATCCCAACATATACCGTTGGCATCACATGCACCCGAAGGTTCACGATCGGCTGCCGGAGTATATGACCACATTCCCACTGGTATATATTGCAAATTTTCTTCAGGGGCGGACCACTGAATCTGCCGATCATCAGAAGAATTATGACAATAGCCAGCACAAGCAATGACCCGATCATGGCACAGAGCAGTGCATCTGTACTACAGACCAAAGCTGTACCAAAACGAACTGAAGAGAAGAGAAAAAAGAAAGGCGAAATTGCTCGCTTTATATAGACATTTTTCTCGTTCGGGACTTCAAATCCCCGTGAATTCTCATTGGCCCAGATAACGGGTTGCGTATCAACTTGTGGGTTGCCTACTATGGCATAACAAAAGATACAGCACCAAAGGAAATGAAAGGAGGAGTGGTACCTGATGGTCAAGTAGACAAGCGTGCTTCGGCGGTAGTGGTACGTGTCTCTCACCATGGCTGCTGTACCTCCGATGCTGTCGCCGCTTGGTTGTGAGTGGGCCGTGCACGGCACCGTGTCAAGCGAAAACAAAGACACGAATGTGAATGAGCATGTAGATTCACGGAAGAAATGCTTTTCTGTGAGCAATCAAATGGCAATACAGGAGTGATTGACAAGGTAAACAACTTAACAGATTCTACGGCATCAGTTGTTTAGTAAATATCAAGGACACGATCCTCCCAGCAGCCAGTTTCCATTTCACCCAACAAGATAAACAGTATAAAGCGTAGTCCACAGACGATTCCATTTTGCTAGTATCTTTTGACTGCATGTGCGGTGTGCGGGAATAGATACAACACACACTTGACTCCAACGCTGCAGTGTATAAAAAGATCGTTATCTTTTATGTGAAGCGTGCTTGTCTACTGTTGCTTTATAATTTTCGCCATCCGCCAACAGTTCTCTGAACTACGCCGTGTAACCTCCCTCCATCCATTCCGAATTCATACTCTATCCAAGTGTGCTGCCGCAGATAAGCTGACCGCTCATGGTAAGTATACGCTGCCGCTAGTGAAACTGACTCACCCTTCATTGATTTTCATTGCTGCTGATAAAGTTAATCGGTTCGTTTGTTTTTGTGCGGGTTCTACGTTTTTTTTAGCAGCTTTCAAGATCCATTGGGACGATCAGAAGAATAACACCATAAACGATGACTTCCTACTGTACATCTTTTGACCCTTTTGCGCGTAACTCGTTGCTCCATTGATCACCTTGTTCACCCGCCATTCCTTTGTGCACTTTGAGTACCAAGTAAATTGGCCAAATCGTTGCGTAACAATGCGCTTTCACTCTACGGAGTTTTCGTTTCAAGGGAAAGCTGTTGGAACGTTCGAGGTTTGACACACGCATCACTTGTCACTATCCAAAGAAGAAAGATCTGTGTTGCGCTCTTCCTGAGCTCCTCGTTCCTAGACTACCTTTGCTTCCTGCTGACTCACGTCAGTACAGTACCGCCATATTAATATTACAACTTGAGATAAAAATATAATGGTTAGAATACTAGACAGCAAGATTCAAATAGAGCTAGACAGTTGACGGGCAATAGTGAAAAGCGATACTATAAGATAATGACAATCAGTTATATATAGTGGAAAAAGCAGAGCATAAATGAAAGGCCATGTTACAATTTGTGGTCGTTAGTGGTAACAGATCTTTATAATTATCGAAGCATTGAGCAATTAAGTGATAGTCAAAAATTAGCATATTATAGTATGATAGAGCAAGACGAGATGATCACGCTTACCAATTGAATGGGGATTACAGGCAGACAGTCAAGCAGTGGTGGTATGGAAGTATTAAACAAGGGATACCTTGCACCGAGAGACGCGTAGTATTTATCTACGTTACACAACTCTACAGAAGGAAGCCGAGCATGGGAGTTAGCAGCATGGGCGCTTCAAGTAGTTTTTGGCAACAAAATCAGCATATAAAGCAGCAAACTGCTATGAAGGGAAATGGCTTACCAGAGCAAAAAGATACTTCATACGAAATGAGAGAGGCGCCCATAAGTATTGAACGTAAAAATTGAAGTTGGTTTGACACTGGTTAATAAAAAGTGCGTACAAGAGTGTCAATTAGGTTATAGACATAGACATTATTAGTACAGTATTCACTTATAAGCACACACTACATTGAACTTGTTTTACCTTTTGATCAACGGCGGCCGCGAACCAAGAGTAAATGCAAGCAGGAAGTAGAATCAGAAAGAAACATAAAACGGAAAGAAAGAGTGTTTAGATCGCTCATCGTTCTCAGATCTAAATAATGTGAACCGGGTCCCAATTTTTTTTACTATCATAATTCGGCACCAGCAATAACATTATGATACCTCAAATGTCAACATCATGACCATTAACGTATACAAAAACCGTATCCACGATGGTAGTGTATACACCTTGTGGATTAGGAAGAGAAGGTCCGAGCAGACGGCATTGCCAGATGCAGCCTCTTCATGTGTTAATATTTTTGATGAAAATTACTATTCTTTTTACTTTTTCTTGAAAAAAAAAGCGCTTTACCTTTTGAGATGGAATGCTTATAAAATACTTTTGATGTACGTTTTACTACTGGAAAAGTGGCGATTTGTAGTTGATTCAGATTGTGTTGATGTTGCTGGACGATTTTGAAAAGAGCTCTGAAGGTTTGAGAGTACACCCGTGACCATTAGATAGATTGCTTTTTTCGCACTGAGTGTTACGTCGTTTACTAGTGAGCTGACTACTTAAAAAATAATTGAGTGGATATCAAGTAATGATACCCTAATGATACTAGGAGTGTCAAAAAAGAGCTGATACTTTAATGATACCATGTTGAGATCAATTCTCATGCAAGATCTTACAATGCTTTGGGAAAATACATAAGAAACATGTCGTCGGTCAAGGTTCGATAATACAAGGACCGCAAAACGCGAAGTGTGATACTTTGAGTAATTTGGAGCGACTTTAAGACTCGGCTGCAATCGTAACGCCCAAGTGTCTTTAGGCGTGTAATGGCGAGCGAATCTTGAGGGAAAGGAAGACAAAGGGCTCGTTGTAGCCGTAATGCTGTTAAATTAGGCAATTAGCTCACATTTTTGATGTGTCGTTTAGCGTTTAAGTTCCAAAGCAGATGGGCGTACAAGCGTGGCACCTCATTGTCAATACCGCTCTGTTCATTATGGCGATGCTTCACTAAAGTCGATGGATGGCGCGCTTTTTAAATAGCCTGATCAAGGTGAGCTTAAATAGCGTTTCCTGGTTGTGCGAACATGAACAGTAATTACCAAAAGTAGCGCTAGAGGTAGCGCGTAGTTTTGCATGATAATCGATTTGTCGATCGATAAGATTTGTGGCAGTAGTAGAGCAGTAAGTACCGGGGCTGGGGGGAGAAGGCAAAAAGATTTCGATGGGCTGTAAATTATACCAATATTTATAGTACATATAAGATGTACTGAGCACCAAAAAACATGTTCATATGTTTCTTGAATAGTAACAGCCAAGCATCGACATGTAAATATGCAAACGCCCCTTCTTACATGTCTTGCCGTACGGCTTATTAAAAAAACGTAGGTAAAAAAGAACTCAAGCCGTTTTTAAAAAACACCCCAATGATCTACATACTTCACTATTATATGTGAAGTAGTTGGCAGCACAACATTTGCATGGTTCAAAAGAGTATGTACCAACCCGACCCCGCTTTTTCTAAGCACAGAAATCCCGTAAAAAAGCGGCCGGTATGATCGACAGCAAGAGATTAGATATGATCCGGGTCACTAGGGAGGCGCTGTGTGAAGACCCTTGATAACCTTAGATATAATATAAACTGTGTCCCTGTCCAGCATACACTGTACAGCCCTTGAACATCAGTGCCTCTTGTAGTGAACGCGGGGGAAGCAATTGGAGAAAAAAAGTACTTGCTACGTTATTGCATACCATCGTGAGTAACAAACAAAGGAAGCAGGGGAGGACACAAAGGAGTAAAAAAAAGCTTTCCAACCTTACACTCCTTACAGCATCTTGCCCGGTCACGGTGATCGATGTGAACACAATTTTCCCTCCCACTTCTTTCCAGCTGAATATCGCGCTATATATATATATATATAAGAAGGTGATTATGCTGTTCACAGCATCTCCACAAGTCTTCTTCCTATTTTAGCATTTTGTAAGTAAACATCAATTGCTTACTACAGATTCTTCTCTTTTTTTTTTGTTGACTTTTGGGTTTCTTTTTGCTGCGTGTGCTGTTTTCTGTTTTAAGTTTATTATTCATCTACATATTTATTATACATAAGTAAAAATTATGGTTGTGATTTATTAGCGCCACAGTCTAACATTATCATTGTTGTTATTATCTTATCTAGCAGCAGCAGTAACTGATCTCCTTAGAATGGTTCAACTATATTCTGTCCAGCAACGTATGATGGGATCTGCATGTATGCTAGTAATATTGGTGATTACGACTTTCTTGCTGATGGCTGTACCTCACGCTTTGGCACATAATCATCCCTGCCGAAGACACGGTCAACCTTGTCAGGCTACGGACGCACGGGGCTCATGCTGCGATGGCCATGTTTGTGAATACGACTCCAGCTCAATGATGAATACCTGCAGAAAATAGAAGCTTCGAAACACTCAAATACTCTACTCGATATTTGTCTTCTTTTATCGAGTAGTACCTTTAACACAATTCTCATTGAGCTATTGTAATGTAAATAATAACCGCAATAATATAGCAGTAATAAATAAAATTAATAATTTTCACGAAACGTTTTGCGAGTTCGGTTCGATCTTACTGTATCAACAACAAAACCACGAAAATATAGTTACAATGGTTGACAACAACTCTTTTTACCCTCAAAGACAAAGGAACACAGTGTCCAAATGTATTAGTACTTGACTAAATGTTTGGAGCATTTCTACTAGGTAATCAATATGCACTTTCGTGCTGCTTAGAAATATTTGAATACAATTTCAATTGTATCATACATTTGTTCTGTAGAAGTATGAGCTGTAAACGGTAATTTCAACTCCTTGCTGGTATCAACAACTATTTTTATTGCTACCGTTACGTTGCAGAGTTTTTGTACAGTGTATACTTTGGGTTGCACAAAGCCATTAACATGTAGTATTACTACTAGATATTAAACAGGAACGCGTTCTCTTTTCGTCTGGAAAAACTTGTAAAGAACCAGTCGATAGGTAAAGACAACAAGATTGACAGCGTTTTCTAGGTTACTGAATGGTACGGAAAGAGGAGGTACGTGTAAACTGACTGCTATACGCATTATTCATGACGTGAGTGTTGATCTGCCAAAAAGAAAGACCTTTCCCTCTCTCTCTCTCTCTCTCTTTCTCGTGTCGGGTGCATGAAGGAACCGGTCCAATCGTATTGCGGCACATCGATATTACGCGCTAACGAAATTGTTATCCCGCTGAAATTGCTTTTCAAGCAAGCAAAAGGTACACGCCTATTCTCTTTACTCTTTATTCTTGGCTTTTTCTTTTTTTATATATTCCTCTTTAGATCACCACCACCCTCCCGAACCTGCTGTAACAGTCTCGAAATAATCGAATTCTCACAATGGTTCGGCTGGACGTCAGCAGCCAAAAAACTCTGCTAAAAACGGCCATTCTCGGCCTCATTGCCGCTGCTGCATTTTCATCACGTCTTTTCAGTATAGTCCGCTACGAATCCGTCATTCACGAGTTCGATCCATGGTATACATACACACACACATACATAGTTTCTTGTCTAATGCAAGGGGGATCCGATTAGCGTTCTAACACTTAAAGTCCCTTTCTCTCTGACTATCGTTCGCTTGCAAAAAAAAAAACAGGTTCAACTACCGAGCGACACGCATGCTTGTCAAAGACGGCTTCTACGACTTTTGGAACTGGTTTGATGATCAATCATGGTATCCACTCGGTCGCGTCGTAGGCGGCACCGTATATCCAGGTCTTATGGTGACTTCGGCAGTTATCCACAACATCCTCCACTACCTCAATTTCCAAGTCGATATTCGAAACATTTGCGTTCTTTTGGCTCCCATGTTCTCGGGCGCCACCGCTGTTGCAACGTACCTACTTACCGCTGAGCTCAAAGATTCATCCGCTGGTCTGCTTGCTGCAGCATTCATTGGCATTGCACCGGGCTACATCTCGCGTTCAGTGGCTGGTTCCTACGATAACGAGGGTATTGCCATCTTTTTGCTCATGTTTACGTTCTTTTTGTGGATCAAGGCTCTGAAACTCGGCTCCGCACTCTATGCCGCGTTAACTGCCTTTTTCTACTTTTACATGGTCGCTGCCTGGGGTGGCTACGTGTTCATCATCAACTTGATTCCTCTGCACGTGTTTGTGCTCATGTTGATGGGCCGCTTCTCGAGCCGTGTATACGTTGCCTATTCAACTTTTTATGCACTTGGCACATTGATGTCCATGCAAATCCCATTTGTGGGTTTCCAGCCAACTCGCACATCCGAGCATATGGCAGCCTTAGGTTTGTATCAGCTTTCTTTAAGGCGCGCGTATATTGCTGATGACTGACCTTTATCGAATCAGGTGTTTTTGGATTGTGCCAGATTATGGGATTTGTCGAGTTACTCCGTGGTCATCTTCAAGCCAAGCAGTTCCAAACGTTGCTCAAGGCATTCGTCTTTGTCACAGCCGTTCTTGGTTTCGCTGCATTGATTGGATTAACGTTGACCGGATACATTGCACCATGGACTGGTCGTTTCTACTCGCTGTGGGATACCGGTTACGCCAAGATCCACATTCCCATCATTGCTTCGGTCTCAGAACATCAGCCAACCGCCTGGCCATCGTTCTTCTTTGACCTGGAAATGCTTATTTTCTTGTTCCCTGCCGGTATTTACCTGTGCTTCCAACAACTGCGCGACGAACACGTGTTTGTGATTGTCTACGGTATCTTTGCGTCCTACTTTGCAGGCGTCATGGTCCGTTTGATGTTGACTCTGACACCCGTGGTCTGTGTCTGTTCCGGCATTGCTGTCTCGACCTTGTTGGACACCTATCTCGACATCAAAAACGAACCCGTCAGCAACACTACCTCCGCCCCCACTTCTTCCAACTCAAGCGATAAACCTGCATCTGATAAGAAAAAGGGCAAGCAAGCCGTCAAGGATAAGGCGAACAGCAATGTGGACGACAAGACCAATTTCGGCATTCGCAGCAAAGACACTCGTGTGCTTGTCGTGACCAGCTTCGTCTTCTTCTTGATTGTGTTTGTATGGCACTGCACCTGGGTCACCTCCAACGCTTATTCCAGCCCATCAATCGTGCTTGCATCGCGTAATCCTGATGGATCGCAGCATATTATCGACGATTTCCGTGAAGCTTACTACTGGTTGCGACGAAACACCAAGGAGGATGCCAAGATCATGTCGTGGTGGGATTACGGTTACCAAATTGCCGGTATGGCTGATCGACCCACGCTTGTCGACAACAACACGTGGAACAATACGCATATTGCCACTGTGGGTCGAGCCATGTCATCCAACGAAGACGACGCATATGAGATCATGCAGCAGCATGACGTGGATTACGTACTGGTAATTTTTGGTGGTCTGCTCGGTTATTCCGGTGATGATATCAATAAATACTTGTGGATGATTCGTATCGCCGAAGGTGAGAACATAGATCCAGTGCCCCTTTGTCTTTTTCTTTGATGGCTTAAAAACTCACGTTCACTCCTGTTTAATTAGGTGTCTGGCCCGACAAGATTAAAGAAAGCAACTACTTTACATCCAGTGGCGAATATCGTGTAGATGAACATGCATCACCGGCTATGCGCGAGTCGCTCATGTACAAAATGAGCTATTATCGCTTTAACGAACTGTTTGGTGGTCAGCAACCCATGGATCGCGTACGACAGCAACGACTCCCCATCCAAGGCCCTGAGCTATCGGTATTAGACGAAGCATTCACATCCGAGAATTGGATCGTACGTATATACAAGGTCAAACAGTCAGACAACCTTGGCCGTTCACACAAGGCTGCACAAGCATTTGAAGCTGGTAAAAAGAAGAGAAAACCAGCAAGGAGTAAAAAGAGCAAAGAACGAAGACGAAGAGCCTCCATGGAAGATTTGGACTAAAGAAAAAGAAATTTTAAACAAAAAAATAAAGTAAACGCACATTTTTTTTTCCACGCATTAACAAAAGCGAAGAGAGAATTTCACTAGTGCCGCGCAGATTGCTAGTGTTTTTTTTTCTTTACTTTGACACTCCAACCACATACTACACACACGCGCCCAATTCTTTCGTTTTCAAACTTTGGAAAATCATCAAATGGAGCCTAAAGATTTCGAGGTAAAAACAGCATTACCGATACCTGTGGGAAAAGCATAATTCTTCCTGGTTCCTCAGCTACTACTTGTTGAAGACCCACAATTACAACGTTCTTTCCAAATTAAGTGTGTGTCACTATTATGCCTGATCGATCTTTACACTTTTTAGTTAGTGTCTCCACCTTCTGATGGCATTAGTGCACTTGCATTCAACCCGGCTGGCAATGGCGATTTTCTTGCGGTTTCGTCCTGGGATCAACAGGTCAGAAGTTACACACTCACCATCGTCGTTTAAACCAAAACGAATGATTCGACGATTCGAGGGGTTGGGCTGAGATAATATGAATGCTAAATCTCCTCCCTCTTCTTTACAACAACTAAAAAAATAGATTCGAATTTATGAAGTACAACCGAGTGGAAATACAGTTCCAAAAGTTGCGTACGCTCATGAAGCACCTGCACTCTGTGTAGGCTGGAGTAAGGTAAAGATATATCATTATTTTTTTTTATCAGTTCTTTCGAAAAACAGATATATTAAAAAAGATGATTTGTGTAGGACGGAACAAGAGTCGTTTCTGGTGGTGCAGATAAGGCAGTGCGGATGATGGATTTGAGTACAGGTCAATCGACACAGATTGGTGCACATGGTGATACTGTGAAATGTATCAAGTTTCTCGATCAAGGTCAAGAAATTCTGGCAACAGGAAGTTGGGACAAGACCATCAAGTAAGTCTGGGAAAGCGGCGACTACTGTAAAGCAACTGTCAATTCATGTTGATCAAAAAAAACATATATCAGATATTGGGATCTACGATCACCTCAACCTATAGGCACTCTACAGCTACCTGAACGTGTCTATTCAATGGATGCTGCAAGCAACTTGCTGGTGGCGGCTACGGCGGATCGACATATAGCAGTGGTGAATTTGAGTAATCCTACGGCGATCTTCAAAGTACGGGTGGATGTGTTTTTTTGTATATCTGCTCCATTTATGTAAGAAAGAGAGATAGGACAATGCTTACATATCCAGGGACCTTTTTTTTTCTGTTTTGATTGATAGCAAGGCATATCCCCCCTCAAATGGCAGACACGTGTCATATCGTGTTTCATTGATGGCAAGGGGTACGCCATTGGATCTATCGAAGGACGTGTAGGCATCCAATATGTGGATCCAGCAGAAGAATCGTAAGTTGACATATCTAGAGGGACGCGTAAATCTTTGCATAAATCACTTATTTGTGGTATTTTATACAGAAAGGGCTTTTCATTCAAATGCCATCGTGATGAACAAAAGAATATCCACTCGGTAAATGCGATCTCCTTCCACCCCACGTACGGTACCTTTTCAACAGCTGGCAGTGACGGTACCTTCAGTTTCTGGGATAAGGCAAGTAAATAAAAAAAAAGAACCGCTCCCAGTCATTTGCTATATCAATTGATTTATTGATGTGTGTCTGAATACTGTAGGATTCCAAGCAACGCCTCAAATCATTTTCAAACAAGGGTGGTCCCATTGCAGCTACTGCTTTTAACAGAAACGGAAGCATATTTGCATATGCTGTAAGCTATGATTGGACAAAGGTATTGGTTTGTTTGTTTTTTTAGTTATCGCCGAGAATTTGTCAATGATGGTGTACTCTAACGCGGGTCTATGCAACAACAAAAATCAAGGGATACAAGTTTGCAACACCCAATCAACAACAAAAGATCTTCCTTCATGCTACCAAAGACGAGGATGTGAAGCCCAAGTTACGACGTTAAATGAAAGAACATACGTGCGTGTGTATGTTGCATGGATTGGTTGCTGTGCGTGTCAGTCAATATAAGAAAAAGCTCTTGCCCAACTTTCTTTTTTATGTAAGTGACGTATGTGTTTGATGTGTGTGTAATAGAGAGGAGGAGGAGGGGGGGAGGAAAGGTTGTAATCAAAACACACCTGGATTTCGTCTTGTTGCGGGGCTATCCACACGGAGGCTGCATGATGAGGAGGGCATTAGAGGGGGAGGGGTGGGAGGCAGTGGAAACAAGGTGAAGGGGGAGGGGCAGCTATAGCAATTCCTGTATGAGTTCTGTATGAGTTTTGTATGAGTTTTGTATGAGTGAGCACACACACGTCAAGATAAAACGAGGGAAAGGAAGCGGATGAAAAGCCGATTCCCTCGAGAGAGAGAAAGAGAGAGCCAAGAGAACAGAGGAGAGTGAGCGCCCAGAGTGAGCGCTAGATTGAAGGCAGAAGGGTAACAATAGGAGGTAGGAGGCCTACATTTATTTTTTTTTCTGTCTCCATTATCGTACATTATTAATAATGTCCTGTCCTGTCCTTTCCCTTCTCTTCTCTTCACGCTCTTCTTTTCTTTCTTCTTTCTTTTCCTTTTGCTTTCCTTTCGATTTGAATGCGGGCCTGCAACTTATATGCGCACGCCATCATCTCCACCACCGCTGTCTGATCCAACTGCTTCGTTTCGCGACGACCCATATCGTTGTCGCCGGACGTCTCACGCTCGCCAAGGTTCGCTTTAATCCCCACAGCAAATAATGAAAAACAGGTGCGCAACCATACCCGTGCAGTCCCAAAATAAACCAACAATTCCGTCTTGTTTTTCTTTTTTCTTTCTCTTTTTGTGTGAAATGCAAAAGCTAGTAACGCCAAAAGACAGGATGCTGCTGCTACTACCACTACCACTACCACGGGTGCTGCAGCTGTTGCAGAACCCTCGTCAGAAATATCAGATGCGGTGACGCTGGCACTTGAGGAACCCGCCGGTCGAACACACTCCTATCTGCCATATACCAACCACGCGCCCGATATCTCCAAAGCACGCTATCATCTCTATTGCGAAGACGACGATGATCGACCCGCCAACAGTCTAATGACCACGACGGCTCGCATGATGCCTCCCAACAGTGCATCCAGCCAGCACCTCGGCAGTTTAATCACCGAACCCACTGTGCTAAACGAAGAAGGCATGATAAACAACAACAACAACAACGATGAAAAGAATCTAGCAGGGTCACTGACCGATCTCCGCCGGTTCAACAATCGACGGCAACGCAAAGGATTCGTCAGGCCACTTGTACTTGTTGTCTTTGTCATTTGCCTGCTGCTCGGTCTTGCATTCTTTTTTTGTTGGCCACGGATACCCAAGATCCGACTGGCACCGCAAGCAGCAGCGGGCCGCACGCGACGACCGGACGATCAAACTGACTGGGGACCCGATCAGCAACACCCTTGGCTCAGGACGTCGTGGATAGTCAACGTTACACTAGACAACCATGACAACTTTATCCCCACGCACGTGAGCACCCTCGAGCTTGTTTTGGCAGATCAGGTCACCCAGCAACCTTTCGCACGGTCGGTTCTGCATGGCCTGACATTGTCCCCTCGGGCAGAAACATTGCTGAACACACTGTTTGAGGTCGAGTATGAAACGCCGTCGATCAAGGATCCGACGTTTGAACATTTGTATAATGCGTGCGGGCCACAGAAAATCAGTGCTCTGGCGTCGCCGGCTCTTAATATCACACTGCAGGTAAAAGTTGGTTTTATTAAATGGGTGTGTGTGTGTGTTCCTTAAATCAGCATTGATAATAACCGAAAAATCACCTAGGCAACGTTTGAAATACCGGGGATCGCTTGGAAGCCGATGGTCTTCATGGATGCACCCTTACCGAACGGGTTTCGATGTCCAAACAACTGAATGTAATACTTTACTACTACTTTTACTATCAACTGATGTCCACATTCATCAATTATTTTAATCACACTCCTTGTTGCTGCATTTAAATTAGTGCGATTACCCTAAACGACGACAATAAATTTTTTTCATGTCAGTGTCAAAGCGTTTCCCCCCCATGCTTCTTCCCTCCCCTCCACCCAATTTAATCTCTTTCCTTTCCTTTCCAAATTTTTAATCATCCTCTCCACCAAATACCCCATTTTATTTTTCCCATGCCTTGTCCATCCTTTTTCTAAAACCTTGCATAATAACATATACCGTCTTATTTTCCCTGTGGCAAAAGTTATCACACACACACACTCCCATTTGATGACCTTTGTAAAATCATTCATTCCACTCGTTATCGCAACAATCGTGTATCACCTCGGTTTTCTCGATGGTAATAGTCCCTTAAAAACCAAACGAGTTAGCAACAACAATAACTGAAAAAACCAAAAATGTGATAGGTGTTGACACGTTCACTCGTTTAGTCGACTCACTCGTCATTGCTTTCATTGTCGTGGCTTCTGCTGATCGACTCTATGAAAGTATACGTCAATCGTTTTTTGCTTCTTCCTCTTTGTCAAAAGACAAGCAGCAGAAGGAGCGGGTTACTGTCCCACCCCATTCTAATTACAATACCACGAAGCGTGACACTATTCCCACGGAAACTGTCGAAAGTGAGAACATTCTTGAGACGTCGGCCGACAATGGCATTCATCAAGCGCACAGCGCCAACCTCAGTACCTCGAGTGAAATTCATGGCACTGCCATGACTACGGCTTCCGACGAATGCACTACTATCACCGACAATGACGGCTTGAAAGTAGTGAGTCATCATCACTGCAGCAGCAGCAGCAATAGCAGCTCTCCATTACCACGCGATCCTCTCGATAACCATACCTTTGAAACAATATTACCATCCATCAATAACGACAACCAACCCGAGCTCGCCTTGTTACCGCCTAACCAAAGACTTTTCAAAGAAGAAGAAGAAACTGGGGCTGACGACGACGACGACGACGACGATGACGGTGTGAGCGCACTACCACCATTACCATCCATAGGCGCCCCCTCTTGTCATTTTTCACCACGACCCACGTTATCCTTCTCGACACCATTGCGACGCCATACCGTGGATGAATGGATGATGCCGCAAGCACCAAACACTCCACCGCCAATCCTTTCACCATCACTGTCGATGAGTTCTGCAGGCAGTTTTGACTATGACTTGGTCAGTCTTCGACGACGCCCTTCACGTGTAGAGGAAATGGTGAAACAATTTGATCGACCTCATCCTAACAAGAACAAGAGCAACAAGGGTGGTGGTGGTTCCAGCAACAAATATCGGCGATATAGTATTGGGGGTACCAACATGGCTGATGAAAAACGTCATCATCAAGCATCATCCCCATCAGGACGAACAAAACCCTACATACGTAATCGTACGTTTGGCTTTAAACCTATAATTGGTGTATGGGAAAAGAGGATCGAGTTGGAGGAAGAGATGATGAAGCAAGTAGTGTAGTATCAATGAGTAGTAGTAGTAGTACCTTTTTTGGGGGGTTTCCTCGTGAAATGATGTAAATTTTCTGACAAGTCTGACGCAATATCGTGTGCTTATACCACGAGTTCTTTCTTGCCCATTGTTTTTTATTTTCTCTTTGTTGTTGTTTAAGAAAGAGTAAAAGAAGGGATCAGCAATGTGTTGCTGCTGCTGCTGCTGCTGCTGGTCAATGAATGAAAAAAGTAATACTTCGTATTAGCCACCTTCGTCATACTGCGGGATGCATTTAGAAAAGGAGGGCAGTAAGTATTTCTAGTAGTAGGAAATTAAGGACAATGGGTCTCTCTCTCTCTTTTTTTTTTTTTTTGGGAGTAAACAAAAGCACCCAGGTTGATGATGATGATAGCTTATGCGTGTTTGGGATGCACTGTGGTAGGTATACAATAATTACTGTGTGGGAAGGGGAGATAAGATAGAGAGGAGTAGTTAACTACTACGAGCTCTTTGGCTTTTGTAAGGGGTTCATGTTGCTAATAATTATACGAAAGAAGGTAGTTGGAGGGGAAAATTCATCAGAAAAAACAATATCGACTGTTTGTTTTCGCTTTTTATGAAGGTCAAGCCCATTAATAAAAAAAAAAGTGGCATATACAGTAGCGTATCTTTAGGAGGAGCTATTAGAGTTATATAATGGTAGCAGCAATAAGAAAACAAGATTAGCAGCGCGCAAGTACAAAATATTTGACGGAAAAGAAGAAAAACATACATCACTAACTACTATATTACTGCTGCTGCTGCTGGAGAAATGATCGAGTAGGTAAAGTCAAACTTTCTTTTAAAAAAGGTAGGGGGATCAACAGAGGAGGAGTAATAGTAGTAGCAGATTCAAGATGAGGAGAAAGAGAGAGAGGGAGAGGGAATCAAGAGAGGAGAGTAATATTGAAAGTTTTTGTAAGAAGAAGGATTTTTACCCATTTTTCGTCTACAAGCATGTGTTCCAGACTATTTTAACGAGCTGTCTTATGATATCATCGCTTCTTCTGTTCCTGCTCATTGGAAAACTTAATCTTCTTGCCACAGACACTACAAACAGACACACATGGTACAAGAGTGTGAAAGTACGGTTATTAGGAGTCCTCCTCATCCCCCCCCCCCGCTCTCTCTTCCTTGTGTCGCTCGCTCGCTCGCTCGCTCCCAAAAGGATGGAGTCTTTCACTTTTTGCTTTGCACGATCCATCTGTAGTTTTCGGCCAGAGGTGTTTAAGCCGTTTGATGGAAGTGCTAGGTAAGGTACACTTCTCCCTGTCTTAATGTACTGAGCCAAGTATGTCATCATACACCGGAACCCCCCCACCCTCCCTTCATTGACACAGGAATTCTTTATACATTGTAACAACTACTACGTACCCAAATTCGTATCTTTTTCATTATGCTCTCTTCTTCTTGCTAAGCAATGTAATGTTCCCTTTCTAAGCTATGTACACGACAACAGCACGACGCCGAGAGAATGTGCTTTCTTTTAACTTCTACTACTACTACATGGTAGCCCAGCCTATCATCAGGGGATAGTTTCGGTCCCGTAATTTTGTAAAAAAAGCCGTGCCCAGGAATAAGAAGAAGAAAATAAGTTTCAGGGCTTTGTCAATAGTAGATTATTACTATGCACAAATCCGGTTCTGCATGTTAATTCTCGTATTACAAGACAACAATGGTGATACTTTGAGATATATACCGTTAAAGTATTTGCTACCGTAATCAATTAAAGGAGGGGGGGTTAAAGAAAAACTATACTCGCACACACACATTTCCAATTGTCAAGCCTTGCGTGTTTATGTTGTTCATGCGAGCGCGCGAGCGAGAGAGAGAGAGAGAGAGAAAAGAAGGTGTTTCTCTTGTTCTCTTCTTTCAGGATATATAAATGCGTAAAGTTTTTACTTTTTTTTTTTCTTTCACCACTTTTCCAAGCCATCTCTTCCAAAGACTATCCTTTTCCAATCACTTCTTTCAAAAGACAATGAAAGTCAAAACCACCGCCACCACTATTAGCCGGAACAACGCAATACCATCGTTTAGCGAAATGTTGCGAGGAACAACAAGACCCTCTGTCTTGGACGTGAGCAATTTGCTATGCTCTGAAGAAGAAGAAGAATACCAATTCCCCGCTGCCACTACTACTACTACTACTACTACCACTACTACTACTACACCACTCAAGGCTAAACGCAAGCGAGCAACGCCAGCACAATTACAGGTTTTGAACCGCGTATTCAATGAGACATTCTTTCCATCCACCGAGCACCGTATTGAGTTGTGCAAACAACTTGGCATGAGTCCGCGTACGGTGCAAATCTGGTTCCAAAACAAGCGTCAATCCATCCGTACACGCGATCGTACGTTTCCGCGCCACCATCAGCGCAGAAAGTCATCTTCGGCATCCTCTACGAGTAGTACGACTGCCACCTCGCAACAACAGACCCCGCATATTTCACCTCCACCACTTTCACCGCCATCCACAGGCCCTGTCACTCCACCCTACTACACCAATAACAACACCCAAATTCTGCCTCCTCCTCCTCCTCCTCCTCCTCTCTACCATCATGCCTTTTCATCCTCATCACCACCGTCATTATCCTTTGCAACAACAACAACAACCAGAAACTCAATTACGTTGCCTCCTTTGCGTTTGACTTGTCCATCATCTTGTTGGTCATCTTCATCCTCTTATACTACTACTACTAACACGACGACGACGACGACAACAACATCTCCCGTTTCGAGCACCAGCAGTTTCCCGAGTCCAACTTCAATTGACGCCATTATCTATCGAGATTAACCTTATTTTGTTTTGATATACATATACCCAAGCCTTTCCCCCCCACCCCCTTCCTATTCTCCAGCAAAAACAACCAAAAAGTATATCTTTTTTTTTTCTTTCCTCTTTTCGGGGAAACTTCACTTGACACAAACCCACACCAAATAATCATCTACTTTTCCCCTCTTTTCATTCTTTCTTTTCATATGACTTGTCCTCTGCCACTTTTGCACTTGGAGTGGTACTTGATATTAACACTACTGCTACCACCTCTACTCCTTGCTCCACCCCCCCCCACACACCCTCTCCCCTTTAAAATCTTTTACTTTCTTTATTTGTTTAAGCCCGTTTCTGCATTCATGATTCTTTATTTTATTTTTTTGTATTAAGCTTATCTTGATGATATTTGCGCCGATTTTGATCCTTCTCCTGTTCATACTTTAATTATCTTTTTCTCTCTCTCTCACAGAAAAAAAAAACGTTTTATGATCTGTTTATTCTTTTTCTTTTTTGTGTGTATATGTGCATTTCCCTCTTATAAAAAAATAATAAAAAAAAATCATCTCATTATAAGCTTTTACTTTTCTACTAAAGGTTTTGTTCAAAGGTAAAAACAACAGGGAGGAGGTGTAAGCTTCTTTCGGTAGATTTTAATTCAATTCGCTCGCCCCCCCCCCCTCCTCTTATGGATCGGTTAGTCTATATCATCGTTCTATTGCTGTTGTTGTTCTGATGCGTAAGACTCTTTTTAAAATGGGTTCATAATGAGGACATACGTATGGACTCAAAGAGAAACATTCTTCTTCTCTCCCTGTGTGACGAGAGCTTCAAGTGGGGAGTAAGGGCCGCTTTCTTTTTGTTGATTCTAAAGTTCTAGACCCCCCACGCCATACCACGCAGCAGTATAGGTCTTGTGTTGCCATCACTTTTGCACAATTGGCTTTGATGTCATAACAAGGATACTATGTATGATATCATCAGTGTAAGGGATTGCTCTTCAATATATCCGAGAGCGAGAGGAGGAGCAAAAAACAAGGATGGGGGAGCTCTTTACAAAATTGTAGAGGATATAAACTTTTTTTTGTTCTCTTTGTCCTATTCCTACTACATACTATACGGCATATACAGTAGTCTCTTTCGATATAAAGATTGAAGGGAGAAGCGGGAGAGGAGGTACGGCTCGCTTGTTCACCAGTCGCGCGACAACAAACAGCCTTGTCATCGTTATTTTATATTATTGCTCGGACTGCTCCCTGTCCGCTTAATGTCATCTACTATTTGCTATGATACTGAATGGATGCCCATAGCTATGTCTCTTTGAAAAAACCAACGCAATGTGTAGCATAGAATAGCTCCTGTTCTTTCCCATCCCCACTCCTCTTTTTTGATTCTTTGCAAAAAGTAAAAGTGGTGTAATTCTCAAGCTCTCTCAAGTAGGAGAAGAAACTTTAATAAACTCGTCCTTTGTTTTCCTCATATCATATATACAGTACATAATGCATGCACTCAGTATTATACAGCAACATGGTTTATCCTTTATAACAGAATGCAGATCAGATGTGATAATAATAGTAGTACTGTAGTAGTATGTACCTATCTGTGCGTCCACGCAATGATTCTGTATGTTTTAATGCAGATATTTTCTATAATAGTGTTCCCTTTTGTGTTGTTTAAAAAAAAGGCAGCTTCCCTTTTCTTTAACTGTGTGTATGCGTCAGAACACACCCCTTCAAGAGACTACACTCCTTTATGTATATAATATATCAGCAAGCCCCCCTTGTTTCTCTTTTTTTTTCTTCTTAGCCTTGTGATGTAGTAGTAGCAGAAATAGAAAATGGGTGAGAGAGCGGCCCCTTGTACATGAACTATGACCATCCATGGAAGAAAGATTTGGGTATGATATACCAAAGAAAAGCAGAAGCAGGAATACTGTATATATGCTCTTTGTTTTCCAATATTCTCTAGTATTCTGGTTGCTATACCCCAGCACAGTGCCATGATACTGTTGAACTAGACTGGTATGGGCGCGAGCACTCCACTAACGAATAAAGCCTTCAAGGAAATTTGGCACTATGCCAAAACTCGAGACGGAGTACACGCTTTTGATTAACATTATGAATCAATTGCCACGATAGGATGCAGCACGCATTAGAGGCAAATGGCAAATTTGTTGGCCAGCACCCCATTCCGAGTTGATTCGTGGGATTAACCGCTTAAAAGCCTTCCAGTCGCTGACTACACCGCAGAGGACGAGCTAGCCCTTGATAATGGTCTCGCAAGCGCAGCATCACCACCAGTTTTTTTTTTAACTCAAAACAACAAGTGAGGATACTCTGTGCGTCTGTCTTTTTTCGTATCCATAAACTCATATTTTCTCACTCTACCTAACTTTTTGTTTGTCTACATATACACACTCCCTCGTCTTTTTTTGACAACACGTTCTATCCACTAGGGTACAAACAGTGATGACATTATATTAACCGTTCTTGTAAACCCCTAAACAATCAGCACCGAAAAACTCGAGTTAATATATCTATTACAAGAAGGAGCAAATTGTTGTGGTGGTAGATATCATCTCTCACTATGATGAAGCTTCTGTGATGCTATTTGTGGCAATAATGACTTGGTAATATTAAGTATTATGAATATTTAGGGAGGACGTAATGACAAGAGAGAATGAACATTCGACGTGGTCCATGCCTTTTTTCTGTCGTTTGTTATTACTGTGCCTCAGTGTGCCTTGTCCTTTGCTTAAATAGTACATGTGCTACCTTACACTCTATATAGGAAGCCATAAGTATGTAGTGCTGCTACTATGTGGCTTACGAACAAGAAGTATACTCAATAATGCATCAAACTATTCGCTTTTGCGCGTAATTAAGAAACTGATAAAGCTAGAGAACATACGTTTTCCTACTGCATAAGTGATACATTACAGTGCAATGACCCATGACTAGAGTAACCAAGTTTGGAGGAAAGGAATGTACCTTGGTTCAACTATCATTAATCACTTTTCCTATTCCATTTCCCTTGTACCGATTTTAAATTAGAATCATTAGTTCGGTTTTCGATGATGGCAAGTAGGAACTGGAAGATAAGATTTTTGGATGATCACGGGGGGAGGATGAACTGATCGACCGAGAATGCGAGCTAATAATACGAAACGAGTAATGTCCGGTTAGAGTCGGCCGCCGTTTTTGTGGGTCATGATGCAGAAAGAATGCATGAGAGAGAGAGAGAGAGCGAAAAGGAACAAAAGAGAAAAAAAAGCAATTAAGGAGTAAGCTGATATGTGATATGCAACAAAACTATTTGTCTAGTTGAACTTTCCATCAGGCCACCTTCCTAAATCAATCAAAAAAGGAACGTGCGCAATTGCGCTCAGACACACTTGGACTTGATGACCATTTACTCACACTAATGTATAACGCCGCTTTCGCCCCAATTTGATGAGTTGTTACACGACGCTAATTCGTAATATTATTGACACATCGACGATCGCAAGAGGGGAAAAAGAAATAGAGAGGTACGGTCAAGGTGGGGAGAGAAGATAAATGATGATACGATGAGGGTTTACAGGACAAAAAAAGATGTTGTTGTTTGAGAGAGCGAGGGAGAGGAGTTATAGAATAGATAGAGATTTGTGTGCGTGATAGAATGGAATAAGCTGCATAAGAGTATAATAGTAGATGGTAGGCCGGCCCGATAAGAAAAAAAGAACATTTGAAAATAGGATAGAAGAGAATAGAAAGGAATAGTTAAAGCAAAAGAGGAAGATATATCAGATAAACTCAACATAGGACTCCGGTACGAGGCCCGTTTCATCCATGACATCCGCAATCAACCAGCCCTAATAACAACAACCCCCACAACAACTTGTTTAGTTTTCTTTTTCCTTTCTTCGCCAATGAACTTAGAACTTTTTAGAAAACCTCTTGGGAAAGGGATACATACCGGGCATTGTCTGTACTGCACCCATACCACATCGCCCGCTTTCATGCCAATTTCATACTCCGTCTCGGGCGTGAAATCGTACAGCGCGCGTGCCTGGCGACCTGTGAATTCTGAAGATGACAGAGAAATTTCTGACAACCGTCGTGCTTCTGCAGGCCGACCATGATGCAGTGGTGAAGATTCTGAATAGGCAAAATCACGGATCGTTACAGCAATTGCGTCGTCGTCGTCGTCGTCGTCGTCGTCATTGTCTTCGTCATCGGATAATACGTAATTTTCTTCTTCATTATCAGTCGCTTGGCACTGTTGTGCAATGGTACTATCGTTGGATTTAATCTAAAGAGAGAGGGCTGAGTAACAAAACCAGAGTACATAAAGTTGCCAAGAGGGGAGTCTACAGCTCTTTTTAAGTATATACAAACAAAAAAGCTCTCTTGTTTACCGATGCTGCTACTGTTGCTATCACTGTCGAAGCCTGCTCAGCAGGCAGCTTTGTGGGTTCACTTTTCTCGACAATGACAGTGGCTGCATCTCGAGGTTTCTCTGAAAGGGACGACGATTTGTGGTCGAGAGTAATCATTGCGTCGTTGGATGAGAGTGAGCTGGTCTCGGAGTCGTCGTCGTTGTTGTTGCCTTTGCTAACTGCAGCTGAATCGTTGTTGTTTTTCTTTTGTCGGAATGCTTTCTTTGAGATCGTGCCCTTGCGGGTGAGCTATTGTTTTTTTTTTTAATACACGAATGAAGTGATGAGAATCAGGCTGTTTCTCTACAGCGAGCTTTTTATTATTACCTTTTTCAGCAAAAGAGCTAGAGTAATTGCAGTTGAAAGACTCATTACAAGGTTGTGGTCATATACGAATCAACGTGGATTATAAAAGGAAGGGAATGGGGGAGGCGTTTCTCTCTTTGAAGGTGTGTTGCTTGTTGCTCTCTTTTTTTTTATATGTAATAGAGAAAACAGAACAGAAAAAAGAAGACGCTCGTCGTTTGTTGTTGTTGTGGTGGTTGTTATTGTTTTTTTTCCTCTCTCTTTATGTTTTCTGCTGTCGAACGAAACCAAGAAAGCTTGCCTTGGCAAGGCAAAGAAAAAAGAGAGAGAGAAAGAAAAAGAAAGAGTGAAAAAAAAAAAAATTAACGTGTGGCCCCTCCACACACCCAAAAGGCACAGTGGTTAATATAGTATATTACTACGCCTGGAACCCTACCAATCAGAAACCATTGTCTGCACTCTCCACCTGCCATATATATACATATATATATATATATATAACTTGACTATTAGCACCCACCACCCCCCCCCTTGATGCCTTGTTGACAATTTGAGACTCGCACCGCGTTTCGCGTTTCACCTTAATGCAGCTACTGCTTACTCTTACATGTCGACTTAATCCGATTTGCACAGCTGCCAAGCTGCTGTTCATGATAGATCCGCAGTTGGACTCTGACCTTCACAGAATCGTTGTAGCTTCTGGTGGGTCAATGAACAAAAGTTAAAAGATAGCGCGTGCGCCGCCTCCTTTATCTATTCACACCATTTGATACTCTGATATTAAAAAGTATAATGTGGGACGCTCTTCCCAATGATAGTGTAATATACCTGATAAACACAATAACAGCGAATCGAGGTGCTGCATCTTTGTTTATAGCCACCATTGTTGTTGTTGTTGTTGTCACTTGAACATCCATTTGCCACTAAAATGTTTCAAGCTTTATAGCTAGTATGCACTCTATCGAATAACAGTACCAAGACCCATTGTGGGTGACCATGACAACAGCCTTATGTTTGACACCATCTTCTATATGTGCAAGATTAACAACGAGACCTCATCTGCTCTCCTTTTTTTTTTCTTATTGTTTTGCCAAGGAGAATGTACACACAAGCGGATGAGAAATTTGCCTTATCAATCGACCCACCTCCCCCCCCCCCTTTATGGTGATCACCAATGTATTTCAAACAACATTGACCATCTTTCCCTTAACCCCCACCCTTCCCAATATTCGTTTGGTCATAGAAGCTGCTTATCCTTGCCCTCGGCACATGCAGTCGAAATTGTACATATTTACATAATCAGTAACTTTGCTTGCAATGACTCGAAATAAGCAATACCCACTTTTTTTTTTAAGGCGGTAATTTCTTCTCCCCTCCCCCCCCCCGCGTGACCTACTTTCAAGACAGACAACTGCTTTTGAACACTGTGCAGACAAACCATATATACATAGTGTCTACTGCTGGTGACTGGCACCATGAAGGTCTATACGGCTTACTCCTAGCGATAGCTCACTATGTATGTTCAATTGAAGAAAACGGATAATATAGCGGGTTTCCAGTGTCACCCGCGGGGGGGGGGGGTAGAACATGGCAGTGTAATGGAACGTGCGCATTCTGATCGGAGGATGTGTGTTGTCTCTTCCATATCGTTGGACACGCAATCAAAATGAGGGAAAAACAGATGCCTTGGTCATTTGATAGTGCCAAGTCCTCCCTGCTATGATAAACCATAGCCCTGAGTAACAAGATAACCGTCCCATTTAAGCGTCAATCGTCACTGGAAAACATTCTGTCTCCTTTAATAAACTGAATAAAATTTGGGCAAGTTCATAGGGTTTGTTAATAGTGTCTCAGCAAGCGCAAAGTCCAGCAAGTTATCAAGTCAAATGACACTATATACGCCCGAATTAGGATATATAGCAGGTCACTCATTCTAACATCGCCAATCAAAAACACAGCACAAATAGATAGCAATGCCTTCTTTTAAGAGTGTAGAAAATCTCTACATAGTGCAAGACTAAACGTTGTGCTTTTGAAATAAAAATTGGACATATACCGCAAAATAATCAAGTGTAGCCTTCCAAATCATGTGATTTTACTCAACTTTTGGTGAATGTTCAATGTCACGAGATATAGGCTACGCCTAATAATTGTTGCTTTGAGTGGTGACCCATAATATGTAGCATGATAATGATGCCAATACCATTTACTTCTTTTTGGCATCAAGTATATGAGCATAAAGGGTGAGACCTAAGTTGGTGCTTCAACACACAAACAACAGTGCCCGAGAAGAATACCGCTACTTTTGCGTATCTATAATGCTTAAAATCTATATACTGTACCTAGCTAAAGATACAGATTTTATGGTGCCATTAACATCTGCTGACGACCCTTCCTCCCCCCCAGCCTCTATAATGTACCTATCATATGAAGGAATATTTGGTGGTGTGCTGATTTATTAAATGTCTCGGAAGAATTACAGAACACAAGTTTCGTGTCCGTATATGTGTGTTACATACAGGTACAGTAGTAAGGAATGCTTAACTTTAACTTTTTCTTTGTAAAGATGTAATGTCATGACGCGTGCATGGTTCATGGATGAAGTAAGATAGTAGTTTGAATTCCCACAGATCACAAAAACGTGCGTTTTAAGTGCACACGTACATGTATACGATCAGCACACATCAGCTGGCGATAGATGAAATCATTTGGTATACCCTGCATTTGTCACATTAAAACATGACATACTGTATAAATCTTGTTTGTAAAACTATATGTAGAGGATAGTGGTGGTGTCGTGATAATAAGCGATGATGTTTTTGTGTGTTAACAGAATACCATGATTTCAGTCGCTTACTTCTTTATCTTGTGTCATTATAACATATCACTCATTCTTCCATACTATGAGAGTCTGTCAAACTATTTATTTGGTATAGGCGTTGAACTATTATGTGCGTGAACGCTATTACATACTGTGTGTGATGAGGCGCGGTGTGAAATGTTAAAAACTTTTTCTTTGAAAAGAACAGAATAAGCGGCATAGAAACCGATCAGATAGATTCTATTTTTTCAAATGGAAGCAAGCAATCATCCCGACTAAGCAAACGCGCTTTATAGGTTTTTTGTTTTTTCCAATGAATAGCTACGTTATAATCACTTTAAGATCTGACAAAGTACCATCTGAAGGAAGTTTTAAAGAAGCAATAAGCCAATAGACGCGTCAAGTTACAAACAAAAACAATTGCGTCAGCCTTTTCAAAATAACAACAACAATAGAGATCGCACTCAATTTTTAATCAATGCTTATACATTGAGCGACAGAGATTGATGTTTTTGTTTTGTTTGTACACATACACTGACAACATGTACACCAAGACAAGCACGTATACCAAAAACCAACATGAAAATATAGCAATCTTAAAGATTTTATAGGCCGCAGCAGCAGCGGGCAGTGTCAGTTTTTTACTTGTAAAAAAACGCGCTTCCGGGTTGAATCTACATATCTGGTTCAGGATTTTAGCAATGTGGAGGGTCAAGATACATAGCCTATAAGGATGGATCAACTGCTCTAGGAAATAGGTACCACTGGTTATATATCATTGTACAGTATCGGTTATAACCTGGACACATACCGTCCGTTCGAAGCTCATGAGGTTTACGTATCATAAGAAGCGAATGGTTAACCTTTAGATCCAGCTGTAAAGTAAGGCAATTGCCTGAATCATGCCCCAGATGGCAAGAAAAAGTAGACCGTGCTCCTTTATAAAATCATCTACTACTTCTTTTTTTCAAAGTATCTAGCATACGTTGAGGTGATTGTAATGGGGTGTAGCTATTCATCATTACAGTACTATGGCTGTATTGAATGTAACCTTGGTTCTTTTACTGAGGCAGGTCAGTATACAGTATGGTTCCGATTCGTAGTGCCATCTTGGAGAACAAAAATCTCTGTGGAAAAAAAAAATGGCTATCAACAGCCAAAAGCAAAAATGTCGTTTAGTGCTTGATGTTGATAACCTTGCTACTAAAGGCTATATAAAAACAAAGATAGAGGGTAAAAAGGTAGAAAATGGCGAGTTTTTCCTGAAAAAGGACAAAACATTTAAACAAGACAATTTAAATTGTTGTCTGTTTGCTTGATCCTATCGACAGCACAAAAGTAGAGTTTAATTATGAAGGTGGTATATTATAATAATTGGAAAGAGCTGCAAAATGGTGGGGCAATTCTAAGTTACCTACATGTCGAGTCGTCTAACAGTTATCAACCCATGGAGCATGTTTATATAGCCCGGCGGTAGATGAGAAGCATAACCCAGGGCCGGCTATCATGGTAAGTACTTATAACTGTACATTTTGGTGGTCCACAGCGTATAGGTGGTGAAATCATTTGTCTGCTCTTCGTGTGTAAAGTTGAACATGTTGTAGCTCATGTTTACGGCTTCTTTTTCTTTCGAATTCATTCTTTCTTTCCACCTTATCATTTAGGAAAGTTCTATAGCCAAAAGATTCACATATAAATGAGTCGTCGTTGTTCATGTCCACTTTTTTTTATACCAGATAGTATCAAGCATTTATTATAATCATATCCCATTCTTTAAATACATATACATCCAAGTCATGATGGATCAACGTTTTAGAATTTTTATTTATTCAAAAGTATCAGTGTCGCTCTTCCTCTGAAGATATGCCAGCACACACATCAGCTATTGACTCCAATCGTAGCATTGTTGTTATACAATGTAAAGTCAGCTGGTTCAACGCCTCTGATTCGTTTTTCAGGAACTCGGCAATTGCAAAGGCAAGGGAAGCCACGCATTCTTTGTTGATTTGTGATAAGAGAGATAAGATGATAGGCCCGGGAAGAGAGAGACATGATGATGATGATGATGATTTACTTCAAATTGCTCCCAAAAATGAATGATGACCTTCCCGCTTCTTTCCCGACGGATGGGATGAATGGAGCTGATAGGTGGTAAGCAACAGTGGGGTCACAAGAAAGCTTTTTACATCACATACTATCAGAAAGAAAACTAAAAAGAAATGGTCCCTGAACGGCCCGTCGGACAATCTCTCTTGCACTTTTGTACTCTCCCCTGCTGTCGTATTAACAAATGACGTTTCCTTCTTTATTTCTTTATACTATATATGCATATGTGCGTGTGTCCATACATGATGGATTGTGTATCATGCTACTAAACTGCTATAGTCTTAACTCGAATTCAGTTTGCTAACAACCAAACAACTCTGGCTGTTGTTTATATCTGCTTCTTTTTATCTTCTTGAACTCGGAAATGACATTTGAAGAGGAGGTGGCGGCGGCGCAAGAGGCAGAAGAGAGTACAGTATGTAGTCGGTATTGCGCGTGGTGGATGTCATCATGCATCCCAGGTGCCTCAAGTGATTTTCGAATTTCTCCCCAGTCTGAAACAAACCTTGGGTTACACACATATTTTTACAGAAAGGATAAACTCGCCCTGCCTTCTTGCTAGCCCTTGACTTTAAATTTTCTGCTTTTAAAAAAAGATAATGAGAGTGAGATCATTATACAGAAACCGATAAACGTAGTCGTAGTAGTAATGATGATGTCAAGAACAACGATGGCTAGAACCTCTGCAAAATGCGAAGAGAAGTAATACTCTAGACTATGTCTAGACCGCGATGCGGGTGGGTCATTGGGTAGCACTGCGGAACGGAAACGGAAGGGGGATCAGTCAGCAGTGCTTGAATCACCACAAGGACAAGTCAAAGACACACAATATTACCAATTATACGTTCAATCACGTCAACACCACATACACACACACTTTACTAGACTGAGCAAAGGACAGCACATGGTGTCCATGAAAAACGATCAAGCGTGTCTCTGCTGCTAACCCCAGCCAACAACGCGAGTCGTTGTCTGTTTGTTTCGTCAATGCGGATCTGTCTACCAATCACACCCGTAAGTTGTCTTCCGACCTTTTTTTTAGCGTCAGGAAAGCAGCAGCACCACATCAAGTGTGAGTGCACAGAACAATTATAATAGCACAAAACTCAAAAACTAGCTTATGTGTTTCCTTTTCTTCTTCTCTCTTTCTTTCTCATAACCCTTTTTTCCCTACCTTCTTTGCTCCTGCATAATAATAATAATAATAATAATAATAATAACCATGTCTACCAACCAAGTTGCTCCAGCTCCCACCAAGGACGAACTCAAAGAGAAGCCCGAGGTTAGTTTTTGTTTCCTTTTTTTAAATGTCGTCCATTTCAAATGAGCATTTCACATTCTCACTGGTCGCGTAATGTAACTTTATAAAGATGACCTCGACGACCACGGACGACGAAAACGAGAGAGAAGACACGGTTAAGGAAAAGACAATCAATATGGAGGACCTTATCGACACAAGCACGTTCGATCAGCTTTTGGATATGGATGATGAGGAGGATCATGAGTTCTCGTACAGTATCGTGGTCAACTATTTCGAGCAGGCAGAGGCCACGTTTAAAGATATGGACGCAGCACTGTAAGTTTCGTTTGCTTGCAAGAGAAGAAGAAGAAAGGCAAGATAGCTGAATCATGCGTTTCTGTTAGGGATAAGAAGGATCTGCCAGAGCTGTCTCGGCTCGGCCATTTCCTCAAAGGCAGCTCAGCGGCAATCGGGCTAAAGAAGGTCAAGGCAACATGTGAAAAGATCCAGCACATTGGCAACTGTCAGGACGAGATTGGCGTCAAGGATCTCAACGAAAGCGAGGCATTAAGAAAGATCACCCAGATACTGCCGCGGGTGAAGGCAGAGTACTCGGAGGCAGAGGAGTACCTCAAAAACTTTTACGAGCAAGAAACTCGATAAGCTTTTTTCCTTTTCTATTCCTTATCCCTACACCCTGTATAAACCTCGCTTCGCTCTAATTCACACCTCTTGCTGACACCTTCTCCATAGCAACTCATCACAAACGAACCAAACCCTTTCTTTGTATGTAAATTCTTCACTCCAATCAAATAATGATGCTACGGCCCAACCACACCTCCACAGATCAACCAGCCCTCTTATTTCACAACTGTAATATCTTTGTTTTGGCTTATTTCCTTGTTGGAAAAAAAAGAAAAAAAAAAAAGAAAAAACATGTGTGCGTCTTGTCAAGTCATGCCCATATACCGGCCCTTTGTGTCACCCCAAGCTGCTGTTGCTATGATATCATACAGCAGCATTATTATCATCGATTTCCTTAACCCCGCACCTGTTTCGTCTTTTTTGGGTGGGTGCGGGGCAGGGGCCCTCCAGGGTGGTGTGTGCATAATGGGACGTGAGAGAAGGACCCTAATTAAAGGTGGTCTAGTCTTTCTTCAACAAAAGTCACAAGACTTGCCACTTGTATTCAACACACACGTTCTGGATCTTTTCTATGCCAACTGAGGACGTTTCTTTCCCTTTCCCGTATTTTTTACTATTATTGTTATTGTTATTATTACACTTTTTATTTCCACCACCACCACGACTACGAGGAGTGTGCTCTAGACTGGGCTTGGTTCTCCTTCCATCGAAGCTGGTGCATTGTAAAAGTCGCTGCGCTTGTACGCCATGTACATGTTGAGATAATACGTAAACAAGGAAACAAATGCCAGTCTAAACATTTTCAGAGACGTAAGCCTTTTGAAACTTGCACACACACATGCATGTACCGCAACCAGAAAATAAATAGTAGCTATCACTTACACGCCTCCACTCCATCCTACACTATCTTCCTTGCGGCTTCTTCGGGTGTTGAGTAACGATGACAAGCCGAAATACGCAGCAATCCATGGGATGGCTTTCATCGTGTTCTATTACAAATGAAAAAAAAAACCACGTTTAATTTCCTCTCCACTCAAGCTACATATTGGCTTGTCATCTATGATATACTTACGCGGATCATGATATTACCCATAGCTGGTATAGTGTACAAAGAAAAGCTCACGCGTTAGATAAAATTCAAAAAAATACAGACAACAAAATTTAACAACTGCATTACCAACTGCCATGGCAATGTTTCCTGCGTAATCTACATCGCCAGACTCCTTGGGTGGCATGTGATAAGGAACGATTTTGTCAATTCGACGAGGATCGGCTTTAGATGAGGACATGATTGTGTGTGTCTGGAGGTTTTTTTTTTTGCTGGAACAAAGAGAAAAAGACGTTCGCACAGAAGATTGGTCAGGATTCCTTTCCCCCGCCCTCACATCTCCGACTGTGGGGAGGGAGGTGATAATTTAAAAGTTTGGGTGTTATAGCAGTAACCCCAACAAGGGGTTTCCTCTTTGGCTTTGTTCTTCCTTGAACATTGCTAATCATTTATCTAGCGAACCATCAGCAGTAGTTGCAGAAATGTCTTGTGCATTGTTTGAATCACGATAGCCACATCTGCTAGGTTTTGGAAGGGAGAGCCAGTACTGCTATACGTCTTATTATTCAAAAAAAAAAGTCGAGTTACGACATCACACTCTTGTGCTGCTGCATACTGACGTTTATGCTAGTGAGATACCAGCAGTAATGCTTGACATGATTTCTAGCGGTGCTTGTTAGTGAGTACGTTACATTTTACGTGTATTTTGCTGTAAAAAGGCATTATACAGCACAACCGTTTAAATTAAAAGACGTCTCGGTATATGTCACCCTTGCTCTGCCTGAAGTCCATGTGTTTACAGCATACCGTGAAGGCATTCAACCAGTACTAAACAGTACACAGAGGCTTGAAAAAGAGACAGGGCTTCCAACTTGTCGTGTACATTTTTGAAAAAGGTTGTTGCGCCTTCTTAATACTATGTGAGATTCGATCTGGGATCAACTGCGGATAATATACCTACAGGCCAGCAATAGCAGAAGCTTTAAAGCGAGGTAATAAAGCGGCAATATCAAGTACATTCTTCTATTGCATTCATTAGCATCAACTATAGCAGAAAGTTAAAACCTTTTTATTCACTAAATCACATATTTTGAAGCTTGCCAGTGGAAGTCCTATACGACACTTGTTTGGAAAAGTGCTCCTGTAGCAATTAGTTCAAATGCCGCTGTTTTTTTAAGAACTCTTGCGCCCAGCCCGAACCTCTTCTCGTAATATATCGTTTTTGAAAAAGACACTTGTATAAAATGAGGCACGTACACCAAACACAATTTGACAGTGCTTTGCGCATCATTGGCTCCATCTTATCTAAACTTTTATAAATTACGCTTTATTCAGTTCGAAATACAGAAGCGATTATCTCTGCCGTGTTCGATATCGAAACACGCTACCACCATTACCATTCGCGCCAAAATTATTAACAATGCCATCGCTTCAAGAGCGCCATGCAGAATATCAATCTCTTGATTTTGAAGACAAGATTCCATTTCCTCTACAGATCGATCAGTCATACAGTATACCCTTTGATCGATCACTTGTAGAATATCTGGATGCCATGGAAACCAATCCTGAAGAAAGTATGTTGGCCATCTTGAGTTGTTTTTCATTGATACTCAAAAGCTCCATGGTTTAACAACAAAAAATTTCTACTTGAAAGTTACGCGCGCAGGTGAAGAGATTGCAGAAGAAGATCGAATTTTATTGACACCACCTACTGATGAACAACAATCGAACCGAATCAAAATGGAACGACGACCCAACGTATCATGGCTCCGACGCGTGGATACGCTTGGACTCCCTAAACCGACACAGCCGCGTAAAAAAGATGCAGTGGCAGCAGCAGCGGCAGCAGCAGCAGCTTCACACAACACTAAAAGACCGCTTCACTATACTTGGGAAGAGTGTCAAACCAAATTGTTGGCTGGATTCCAACCACCGGATGTGGAAGCGTTGCGCCATCCTCGTACAAAATGCAAAGCCAAACGCGTCGTGCCGGTCTTGCCCAACTACAAGTGTGACAATGCTATTTATACGATTGTCAACTTTGGTGCTGATCCGGCGGATGAAAAGCGGTTGGCAAAGCGCCGGTTGCAGAGCAAGGATGACGCGGATAGCGAAAGAGAAGGCATTAAGCGCTTACGATCCTCGGCCAAGGATGCAACAGATCGTGGTATTTTGCGGCCTATTACTAACCCGCACGATCCAGATGACAGTTATTTGATTTGGTTTTTGCCTGACAAGGAAGGCACGGCAAGACTGGTTCAAGAAAAGGCAAATGTACAGGAAATGGTCAGCGATGCAGAAAGCACAGTTGGAGAAGAGGTAAATATACCATGGATTTTGAATCTGTTTAGAGTGTGCTAATCAACCAATTACTCTATATATATGTCTTTGTTTTGACAGCCGATCACATTCGAGTCAGTTCGCGAATATCTATACAACCACGACAACGAACAGCAATATATGCTTTTGCGATTTGTTGATGATGGTGAATCAAGTAGAGGCGAATTCAACGTTGTCAAGAGTCGTATGACAGCATCAAAGAAGCGCGCTGTGGTAGGTTGTTTAGAAAGGAAAAGAAAAGTATGGGTACTGATCAAGATTTTACAAACATAGAGCAAACAATATCAGTACCGGTATCTTGAGGAGTACGAGAAGCCAAACATCCTCAATGTCACGTACGAACAGCAAGAAGAGGAACAAGATCAGTAATCATAATCGTAGTAAAAAAAAAAACAACATGCCACCTTTTGTAACCCCACACACACTCACCTACCCACAAACCCCACCACGCCTTTTTATGTTGTCTCCAGAATAATAAACGATTTCCCACACAATCATACAAAATGCTGGGTAAAATTCTTTCCCGACAATTCATCTCTCGTAAGCCGAATGACAGCTTCCCGAGCTAAAAAAAATGCGTGTAGATTAAATAGCCTTTTCACTTTTTTTGCGCTTCTTTTCTTCTCTACTCTCACAACAACTCATACCAGACCATCATGGCCGTACGCTTCCCTCGCCACCTCAAACCCATCGAGCCCCAAGGCCCTGTTTTGCTCGAACAAGAACGCAAGGCTGCCTCGTTCGATCCCAAGGCATTAATGACCACCTTGTATGGTGAAGACTATTTAAAGAAGCGAGACGCGATCTTGAAGATTCTTGAAAACGATCCCGTCCTTGGTGACAAGAGCCATCGTTACTATACGGGTCGTGAAGTTCGTTTCAAAAAGGCATTGGCAGCTGCTAAGCGATTCGTCGAGTTGATCAAGTAAGGGATTATTATTAATAGCTTATGCTTTTGCATAAAAAAAAAAGCTCCACACACTCTCTCACACAAGAATTGGACGTTATTTACAATGACACTCCATTTCTACTATTTTTATTAGGGAACATAACTGGACAAAGGAAGATTTCGGCATTGCTGATTTCTTGTTTGATGAATCGGGTCCTGTAAGTCTCGTGGGAAGAAAAGAGGGGGGAAATAAAACTATAATGCTGACTGACCTTATTCGTCAAACTTAAGCTCCGTCTTCACCGAAGCATGTTCATGCCTACACTCGAGAACCAAGCTACTGAGGAACAGCAAAAAATATATTTGGAAGCTGCTAGACGATATGAAATCATTGGTTGTTATGCACAAACTGAGGTAAAGTGGCTGTACGACCCCCATGGGATCGGGTATTATATACAACAAACGAGGGTGGGAGGTGGATAATCCAGGAAGAGTGTTACTAATATGCACCTCTCACTGGTTTAGCTTGGACACGGCTCCAATGTTCGCGGCTTGGAGACAACAGCTACCTATGATCCTACTACACAGGAGTTTGTCATCCACTCGCCTACCTTGACTTCGTCCAAGTGGTGGATTGGTGGTTTGGGTGTTGCTGCTAACCACGCTATGGTCATGGCTCGATTGATTAGCAACGGCAAGGACTATGGACCACATCCTTTCATCGTTCAGATTCGCGACCTCAAGACGCACGAGCCACTTCCTGGCGTCACTGTGGGCGATATTGGTGAGCAGATCTTTTCTCTATTGTGTGTTATATAAAAAAAGAAAAATGGTTTGTTAGATCGCCATGACTTATAAAGAAAATAGGTCCCAAGTTTGGCTTCAACACAGTGGATAATGGTTTCATCCTGTTCGACAACATCCGTGTGCCCCACATTGCCATGATGGCTCGTTACTCAAAGATTGACAAGGCCACGGGTGATTATATCAAAGTATGTGTGTACATTTCAAGGGAACGGATGATAGAAGGAAAAGGAGGGGTAAACAACATGGGACTTATTTTTGTTGATAGCCACCCAACAGCAAACTGGCCTATGGCACGATGGTGTTCGTCCGCGCCAACATTGTTTTGGAATCACGCTACGTTCTTGCCCGAGCTGCCACTGTTGCTATCCGCTACTCTGCCGTCCGATCCCAGTTTGTGGATGATGCCAGCCCCAAGAAGATCCAGAATGCAGACGGCTCTTCCAAGATTGTGGAGACACCCGTATTGGATTATGTGATGCAACAATATCGCTTGTTCCCCGTCATTGCCCAAGCTTACGCCTGTCACTTTACGGCACTTGAAATGCATCGCATGTACCACGAGAACCAAGCCAAGATGGCCCAGGGCGACTTTTCGTACTTGGCTGATCTTCACGCCTCCTCTTCTGGATTGAAGAGTTTGACCACCACCCTGGGTTCTGCTGGTGTGGAAGACTGCCGTCGTGCTTGCGGTGGTCATGGTTACTCGCTTTTCTCTGGTCTGGGTCAATTCTATCAGGACAATTTGCCCAAGGTTACTGTGAGTATGAAATTAATTGATTGATTAAACGGGAGGGCCCAGTACACGAAAGCATCGTCTCTCTCTGGACTACGTATTGACTCATCGTAACTTCTAGTGGGAAGGTGACAACTACATCCTGACTCAGCAAACCACGCGTTACTTGCTAAAGACATTCCGAACCGTGGCTGCCGGCCGTGTTGCTGAAAAGGATGCCAACTTTTCTGCCAGCTACATGATGGAATACTTGTCCAACCCCAAGGCGCTCTGCCCAATCACCCAAGCATCCGACTTGTCCAACCCCGAAATACTGCTGGCTGCATTCAAGCACCGTGCTGCCTTTTTGGTCGCTAAGGCTGTGCACAACATTGACGTGGAGCAAAAGACATGGAACGACATGTTGGTGGACGTTTACCGTATCTCTCGTGCACACTGCCAATTGATGATGGTGTCCAACTTTGTCAAAGCTGTCTTTGGTCCCAGTGCTCAACAATCCAATGAGACCCGTGTCTTGCAAAAGGTGGCCGTCTTGTTCGGTGTGTCCACACTGGAGCAGGAAATGGCCGACTTTTTGACATCTGGCTACATTTCGCCCGAACAGTCTTTGCTGGTCAAGGAACGTTCGATCCAATTGCTCAAGGAGATCCGCCCTGAAGTGGTTTCCCTGGTGGATGCCTTTGGCTTCCCAGACTACTTGTTGCAATCCTCTTTGGGTGCTCAAGACGGTAATGCCTATGTCAGAATGACGCGTGCTGCCGAACTGGAGCCACTCAACCAATCAAAGGTTGCTGATGGTTATGAAGAATATATCAAGCCATTCGTACACGGTGGACAGCAAAAGTGGAAGATTGGCAAGGACGGTATTGCCCGTTTGTAAATTATTAATCAACTAGTTGTAGTAGTTAACTATGCTATCATTTATACACCATCCCATCTTTATGTATTTCTTTTCTTCAAGTATTCTCGCTTTTCTTTAGATTTTTTTACCATCCTCGCTCGCGTACCTTATTTATTCTTTCTTCCGTTCTTTGCATTAGCATTTCCTCCTTCTTTTGCCTTTTTTTTCCTACCAAAATTACATCAGTACGGTAAAACAGCCAAATAAAACAGTATGTATTCCTGAGTATAGCATTAGCTGTTGCATGATCTTTTTCAGCAACCAGAAAACTTCCTACTGCTTATTTTAATCAGGGAAAAGTTTTTAGCCGGACATTTGGGGGATGACCGAGCCGCTATACACATGTCCACAGGGCTGTCTGGTAAGTGGGGATCGCGTATAACCAGCGGCGACATACTTTCACACATTCGACACAGCCCGCTGTCCGATAAACGAGAAGATGTACTGAATGATTCGGGAGGCAAAATCGAGATCAAATCAGTCATATTACGTGTATGTGAAAGGGGACGCGCGAAAAGAAATTTGGCACGAGGCTTTTAATCGAACAAAGCCTGTATAACATAATCCGGACTCGTGAAATAATATGTCCGACAAAGGAAAAGCAAGTCGAAACAGGTAGCTCACCTGAATTTTATTTGGAAAAGGGGGACCCTGAAGATTGATCTATTGTAACCACCAGTAACTTCATTAAATCTATGCTATCATAGCGATACGCAGATACACATTAGAACAGGGCTCTTTCTAAAACCATCGACTTCTCGATACGAAGGAAAAGGTTTCAATCAATACTCGGGTTTATTGTTTGCGAGCCGCAAAAGTCATATATAAGTAACGAATCGCTTGGCCTGGAAAGCACAGCATCCCTGTGTGCAAGTTTCGGTAGAGCAACTATATCATATCTTTAACAGGTCCTCCTGATATCTTTGGTGAGCGATCATCACTTTCAAATAGGTGACGCATACTTTGAAAATATGTAACGAAGTAAAGTTAAATAAGAAAAGGAAGAGAGAAGTGAAGGTGTAAGGGGGTGGGGAAAGAGCTGTTACAAGAATCACGCTTTGAAAGCAGGCATATCGGAAACGTCAGTGCAAGCTTTTCGATCCAGGTGAAACCCAAAATGATAAGAAAATTGTGTTGTGATAAGCTACGTGCAGGAAGAGTGAGAGAGACGAACAGCTGAAAAAAAAAACATTCCAATTTTTTACAGATCTGACAATTATACAGGTCTGCTGGCGTATGCTCTGGCGTTGCCTCTTATAAAATAACCGACCATATCCTCGGTAACAATTTTTATTTCTTGACAATTGCTTTGGCAATTTAGGCGAACACAGAAAGTGAAAAAGAGTGCCAAAGCATTGTGATCGTGTTACTTTCGGCTACGATACAGAGCCACTGTCACTGTTCCCCGCTTTGGTTTAGCACGGAGCTGTGAATGGATGGAGGGGGAGTAATTAGCTTTTTGTTCGCGAAAAAAGAAAAAGGAACTTGTCGTGCACATAAAAAAAAAGGCGAGGCAAAAGCGGTAAAACGTTTATGCGGAAAGTGCGAAAAAAAAAATATATTTTTATTTTGTTTATCATTTTCTTATTTGTGTATAAAAAAAAAAGTTCGTTTCAATTATCCCAACATATACCGTTGGCATCACATGCACCCGAAGGTTCACGATCGGCTGCCGGAGTATATGACCACATTCCCACTGGTATATATTGCAAATTTTCTTCAGGGCGCGGACCACTGAATCTGCCGATCATCAGAAGAATTATGACAATAGCCAGCACAAGCAATGACCCGATCATGGCACAGAGCAGCGCATCTGTACTACAGACCAAAGCTGTACCAAAACGAACTGAAGAGAAGAGAAAAAAGAAAGGCGAAATTGCTCGCTTTATATAGACATTTTTCTCGTTCGGGACTTCAAATCCCCGTGAATTCTCATTGGCCCAGATAACGGGTTGCGTATCAACTTGTGGGCTGCGTACTATGGCATAACAAAAGATACAGCACCAAAGGAAATGAAAGGAGTGGTATACTTGATGGTCAAGTAGACAAGCGTGCTTCGGCGGTAGTGGTACGTGTCTCTTACCATGGGCTGCTGTACCTCCGATGCTGTCGCCGCTTGGTTGTGAGGGGTCCGTGCACGGCACCGTGTCAAGCGAAAACAAAGACACGAATGTGAATGAGCATGTAGATTTACGGAAGAAATGCTTTTCTGTGAGCAATAAAATGGCAATATAGGATTGTCTGACACGGTAAGCAACTTAACAGATTCTACGGCATAGGACACGATCCTCCCAGCAGCCAGTTCCATTTCACCCAACAAGATAAACAGTATAAAGCGTAGTCCACAGACGATTCCATTTTGCTAGTATCTTTTGACTGCATGTGCGGTGTGCGGGAATAGATACAACACACACTTGACTCCAACGCTGCAGTGTATCAAAGATCGTTATCTTTTATTGTGAAGCGTGCTTGTCTACTGTTGCTTTATAATTTTCGCCATCCGCCAACAGTTCTCTGAACTACGCCGTGTAACCTCTATCCATCCATTCCGAATTCATACTCTATCCAAGTATGTATGTGCTGCCGCAGATAAGCTGTCCGCTCATGGTAAGTATACGCTGCCGCTAGTGAAGTTGACTCACCCTTCACTGGCTTTCATTGCTGCTGATAAAGTTCTTTTTGAGCAGCGTTCAAAATCCATTGGGACGATCAGAAGAGTAACATTATAAGCAATGACTTCCTACTGTACATCTTTCGACCCTTTTGCACGTAATGCGTTGCTCGATTATCACCTTGTTCGCTCGCCATCCCTTTGTGCACTTTGAGTACCAAGTAAATTGGCCAAATCGTTGCGTAACAATGCGCTTTCACTCTACGGAGTTTTCGTTTCAAGGGAAAGCTGTTGGAACGTTCGAGGTTTGACACACGCATCACTTGTCACTATTTAAAGAAGAAAGATCTGTGTTGCGCTCTTCCTGAGCTCCTCGTTCCTAGACTACCTTTGCTTCCTGCTGACTCACGTCAGTAAATGCTTGTCACAAGTGTGGGTTGATTCAGTCATGGTTGCCTTTTGCATATTACTTTTCAATAATTCGTTTGCATCTCTTTTTTTCTTTCTTTGAGAGTAAGGAAGACTGAACTAGCTTTTGCTCACTATGTTGCTATTGCCAGGATGACTTTAGTTATATAATCTAGACATCCTGAATGCTGTTGTTTATTCGTTACCGCATCTGCAGGGTATTTTTTTTTTTTTGTATGGAGGTGTTTAAACCTCAGAAATAGTTTATTGCTGTGGGCCGTTCAAAAGAAGAGGGAAAGCACAGCGGCCTCGGAATTGTAAGAAAGGGAAGACAAGAGATATATACAATTAAAGCAAACAATAAAACTGTCATTAGCGACCCGAGAAAGGGAATAATCGACTGCATGAAAATATAATGTCACCTTACTGTGAAGTCAAATGCAACACCAGCTATTGACATTTTGCCTGTCGTACTATGATCAAGAGCAGTTTATACTAATGATACACTGCAGGAACATTCCATGTTCATCTTACCAAATTTTCGTTATTTCAACATCAGTGGTTTCCGTCCTTCCATATATGACGATGTTGGACATGGGTTGTGGATACCATCCATCGTAGAGAGTCCAGGATGTGTCGTTGTACGTCACTTATATATACAGGTTAACACAAAATCACTCTGAGGACATATTTAACATAATTGTCGTAAGGTTGTTGTAAATATCGTTGATGTAATAATGTTATCATTGTTCAACTGTCGATATTTTTACGGTTGTATCTCCTATACATATGTACAACAGATTCAAGTCGAAGGTAAGATTCCAACAACAGAATTATATCATATGTTGAATACTAGTGCAAGGCGTACATCTCCTTACCAGCTACCTACACCCCTATTGTAAATGTCTTAAAGCATATTATAATAATAAGATTTTGAAGACTGGTTTATAAATAATAACCTGTTGTATACATATCGAGATTGTTAGAATATCTTGATCATGCCAGACTTGCGATATGTGCATATATTTGAATATCAAGTATATTGCACGTTTTCTCCTAAATTCGCCCTTACCTCCTCTTCTTGCTTATAGACATGCAATGCGCAAACCCTAATAACCTGTCACCGTGTACTACACTCAGCTGTTGCTGCACAAAGATGTGACTCCAGCTTTTGTTTTGGATGACAGGTCCGCACTCATGTATCATGTCAGTAGTAGGTCATTAGGAAATGTAAATGGTCGATATGATATACGTTTTTTTATCCATACTTTTTTTTAATAAAGAGATGACTTTATAGCTGAAGTAGCAGCCAGCCAAACCGAACAGTATGTGTTGTGTTATATCCCTTTTCGCCCCGCTAAAGTTCAGAATGCTTGTGGTGATTGTGGCTTTACATTATAGTATATCACCTGCGTGTTGCAATAGTGGCGAAGAAAAAAAAAAATAAGGACCGCGGGGCCTTTTCCATGAGCAGTATATATGACTTAATAACGTACGTACAATAGAAAACTATCATTCTAGACTTTTGTACAATCAAGCTCGTGAACGAATATAATGCTAGGCCATATCTAAGTACTGTAGAGCGCCGCGCTTGCAGGAGAGACTCTTAAATCGTAAAAGATATATACAGTCGACCCCCGTTAACGTCAACCCTCAAGGTACCAGCAAAAGTGTTGACCATATCGAGGGTTGACGATCACCGGGGGTAGAGAATAGGCAAAATCTTTAACTGCTAACTTTGGAAGGTTACCAGCGAATCTGTTGGCGCTATCGGGGGTTGACGTTAACGCGGGTTGACTGTATATATATATATATATGTATATGCAAGGATTTTGGATTTTGACAAAAACTCTTTTCAGAGGTGACGGTTTATTACGCTTACTCACTAGCTGTAAGTCACTTCTTTTTCTCTACATACAAGCAACAAACAATAATTCATGTTTGACATTACTGCTTTAAAAAATCAATATTGATATTTTAAATCGGATAACATGCTATATATAGTCAGCTGTTAAAAAAAACTAGAAGGAGAGGAAACGATAAAGATGGCCACGCTTCAAAATGATTTATGGACCCATGAGCGCCTACCGCTAATTACGACAGCGGTACTTAGTACAGCGACCTTATTGTATATGATGACAAGAAATTCTTACGACAGTGACACACAAAAGGCGCTGGATGCTATACCCACTCCTAAAGAAGGTCGATACCCGTATATTGGTAAGTTAGAATTTTGTGGGGAGGAGAACAACAACAAGAAACAGCGAGAAGGATATGAAAGTGTGAGTGAGTGAAAAAGGGACAACAAACTGCATGCTATCCAATACATGTACATGCTTTCAATATGTACCACTCATCCAGGGACTACTGCAACAACCCATTCTGCTAAATAGGTCATCTTTTGAATTTCATAAGCATGCAAGCTCATAAACTGAAGCAGTGGCATGACGAACTAGGCCCGGTGATTCGAGTACAGATGGGAGCCCAGCCATGGATAGTTGTGAGCGATCCGGCTATTGTCCATTATCTTTTTGTCACCAAAGGTGCTACAGCTTCGAATAGACCTTATCAAGTGAAAAGTACTCATTACTACTCTCGAGATAACAGGTAAAAAAAAATCTTTTTTTTTTCAAACACAAAGTGTGCTGGTTTTCCACCAAGAGAAACGCAAATGCTGATATAAAATATAGTGGGATTGCATTTGGTAATGCGAACGCAAGATGGAGACGCTTGCGAGCAGTAGCGGCTTCAACAGCACTCTCCCCTTTGGCAGTGTCTCAAAACACGGGTTTCATCAAAAGTGAAGCAACCAGACTTGTCACGGAACTTATGTCGGCTACTAGCAATGATGACGGCGTTGATCCTTTACGGCCGTTCCGTCGAGCATCGGTCAACTATGTATTCCAAACCGTGTTCGGGACATCAATCGAGACAGATGACGATCCTCGTCTACAGTCGGCTCTGGAATTTACCGATCAGACCAACATGTTGATTGGAACACACAAAGATATCGACGGGTTTCTGCCGTTCATGTCTTTGATCAACAAACTCGCGGGTCGTAAAAAAAGCAAGATGCTGAGTGATTTCCTTTCCAAACGAGATCCTTTCCTGCGTGGACTTATTCGACAGGCCCTGGAAGGCGACAAGGAGTGTATGATGAAGACTCTGTATAGCCAGCAGGATGCACTTGAGTTAAAGGATACAGATCTATGGGTCGTTGCAGGTGAAAAAAAAAGAAAACTCAAAACTTAAACTTTTTTTTCTGTTTTACTCAGGGGGAAAGCTAGACTAACAAAGCCAGTACCGTAACTTTTTTTTTTTTTGGTGGGTGGGGTGGCCACATCATAAGGTGATATGGTGGCAGGCGCAGCGACCAATGTGGGCTATGCCTCCTGTTGGCTATTAGCAATCCTGCTACACCATCAAGATGTATACAAACAGCTTTGCGAAGAAGTGGATGCATTTATTGGCAAGCACGGTCGACTCCCTGACTTTTCAGAGCGTGATGCATTCCCCTTATTGATCTCAGCTCAAAAAGAATCCATGCGATTTAGAGGGACGAATGATGTCACTCTACCTCATTTGGTCGAAAAGGATGGTAAAGTCTTTCTCCGTTCTCTGATCTATTGCCACAATCAGACAAGACACGATCATGCGAAAGGCTGCTGCTAATAATATCACACACACCTATTTTTCATTTTGTGCAAAAAGTATATTATCAAGGTTACCTTTTCCCTCGAGGTGTTTTGGTATTGCCATCTGCCTATGCCATGCATAGAAACCCTGAACGGTATCCAGAGCCTGACAAGTTTATTGCGACTCGATTTCTGAATAACACTGAAACGATGGCATCTTCTGCTGCCGGCAAAGTACAAGAGCGGGACCATTTCATGTTTGGTTGGGGCAGACGTATTTGTCCTGCAATGCATCTGGTAAGTAAATGATGTAGAAGTTTGGCATGTTACATTTACGCTGTTTTTTCTGTTCAAAAAAACCATACATACTCACATGAATTTTTTTTTCGTAAAAAACAGGCCGAAGTCCAAATGTTCGTATTGTTAACAAATGTGCTTGCTCGATGTGACATAAAGCCTCCGGCAGATAGCAGTTTACCGGATCTTGATGATGGCCGTGACGCCGGTGCAGTCATGTCCCCACCACCGTTCAAGTTGCGCTTTGTAAAGCGGGAGAATAGCTTGATTGACTCATAAGATGATGTCTACTACATATACCACTGCTACAGTATACATTGAGTACGTTAAAAATAAAAACACAGCCTGTGTAGAGAAAAATTCTTCTTTCCATAATAGCATCATGTAGAACATCAGAAGAATCGAGATTGCTTCACATATGCATCTTGTTATCGCGATTTGTTATGTCACGTGAGCATCAAAGTGAAACCATGTTTTTGGACTGCAGCGTCGACTTTTTCGATCCTGCATCAGTGTAGTAGCTAGCAGCAGCGTAGTCAAGTAAACATGTTTCTCTCGCAATAACGTAGAGCCGAGGCTAGTGTTGTCTCGTTGTTTCAACATAGTAACCAGAACGTTACTAGGCAATCAATGTATACTTGGTTGCACTAGCAACATCGAGTGGGGCACATGCTCAAGTATAATTTTATGCGACACCAAACGTGCATCAATGTGGCGTGACCAAGCCTCTACATGTTCCCTTCTCGACACATCTCGTTGATCCTACACGTCACATTCAGTAAGTTCCATTTGTTGTTGTCGTTTGTTTTTAATGTTATTATTATTATTAGGTAGTAGTAGGCAATAAATTATTCGCTATGAGGGTCAAATTAGTAAAAAAAAAAAACCAGTCGTTTTTGCTTGTCAAAGTAAAAGTAAAGGGGAGAGGTAGACTTACTTGAATACAAATAAATTGTTTGCGGCAGCCACAGCAACGGTGTTCTCTTGTGGATGCCATGAGGCATGTAATATCTTTTTGTTAAAGTTGAGTTCATCAAGACCAAACGAAAATGCATCATTTTCATCACTACTGCTATTGTCACGCGACACTGCTGCCAATTTCTGTTTGCTTCCAGGACGTCTACCGGTTTTGAATGCGCCTTTATCCGCTTGCAACGGTACGTCCGTCTTGCCTTCACTGTCGTAGATATGGAATGTGTTGCTATAGGAGCCAGTCAAGACGGATCTAATTTCGGTGTTTTATCAAGGGTTAAGCTTTCGTATATCATACACACACACACACACACACACATCCTTTTGTGTTACTACTTACTTGCCATCACCACTGAAGGTGCACTCGAACTTGTCAAAGATACAATCATTCTCATAAAGGTCACACAGCCTACTGCGTAACTGGTCATGGATATATATAGTTTGTACAGGCTTGTGGTCCATGTTGATATCCCAGATCTTCAAGGTCAAGTAATCTCTGGATAAGATGTATCGGCCATCTTGACTGAATTTGACGTCTGAAACGGATGAGATGATTTCAGAAAAGAAAGATCGGCTTGCTGGGTCTTCGGGTTCTTGGTAAACTATAAAAGAAGTAGTCGTACGCCATCATTCTTTTCTGTTTTTGCTTGAAATCCTTTTTTCCTCTCCTCCCTGGTCATTTGCTTACCTTTAGCGTATTGATCACACAATGCGGATGCACGCATATCGCTCAATTTGATGGCACCTTTACTTGAGCTGTACATGAACATATTACAATGTATCGGATGGAATTCAGCAGCAGTGATGACTTCGGTCAATTCTTCCATGTTGGCTGGTTTGATATCCACAATATCTTATGGCATCATTTTCCGGTTTCATTGATCAGCACAGGAACAGAGCAAGGGAGAAGGAGGGGGATCGAGAAGAAAGCAGAAAAAGAGAGACTTACTGAAGCTCTGATCCGATATATCAAGGTTCCACAAATTGATCCGTAAATCATCACCCGACAAGTATGTTTCGCTATCCGAGTTTATGGAAATGGAGTTGATGTGATAGGTATGTGCTAGTCAAATGAAGAATGAGGGAAAAGGTCTTTAGTCTCTCTCTCTCTCTCTCTTTGTCTCTTTGTCTCTATTATATAGACACGTGCCTGTTCTTTATAATCTCCCCTCCCCCCCTCCACCTCCTTCATCCATCTCTTGTTCTCTTTCTTCCGTCGGCACCAAAAAAAACTTACCATTGGCATAAACTCTTCGGGGAACAGCAGCAATGATTGTGTCGTGATGTGTTAATTTTGGTATACGAAGTGCAGGACCGTGCTGTTGTTGTTGTTGTTGTTGTGATGGTGGTGATGCTGCAGAAGCTGATGTGGGAATATTGTTCTCGGCCACTACCTTGAGCGACTTTTCAAACACCTTCCAAAGCTTGATTGTTTTGTCTATGTAAAACAAAAACAGAATTCACGTGTTATATAGGCTATAGCGTGTCTGTGCACCATCTTCATTTACGCTTCTTGTTGTTTACCGTTCGTGGATAGCAGGAAATGAGCCGAGTTTTGTCGTTTGCACCACTTGATTTTGTTAATCTTTTCTTCAATCTCCAAACTTTTCAAATAGTCAAATTCTGCTTCATGCGACTGGAACTCGGTATGGAACTTGTATTCACAGCCTTGTTTCTGATTTGGTTTTTTCCATATGTCGTCAACCATCATCCACCCATCGAAACCCCACAGTTAGATCTTTCTTTGAGCCTGTGCGTGTAGTCTCCACATCTCTCCTCTCTCTCTCCCCCCGCCAACACTCCTTCTCCACTCTTTGCTTTGCGTCCATACATCGTCGTTACGCTCAAACAAAACAACTCGGCCGCCTCGATCACCCGTCGCAAGATAATCGCCGGTAGGATCAAACTCGACCGCAGTAATAAGATCGGCTGGTTATTTAATGATAGTATCATCAACGTCGCAACCATGAGAAGGAAAAGAATCGATTATCAGTCAGTCCCTTTTGTATCCTTTCTTTTTTCCCTCCAAAGCTACTCCACCATCGATAATCAATCCCAAAACAAGTGTTCAATTCAAATCTATTCGCACACACACTCCCTCTCTGGTGTGTTGTTCTTCTTTTCTCTCTCTCTCTCTCTCTCTTTTTATACAGTAAGAAAGAAGAAAAAAACAATTACCGTCAGTAATGTCATCGGCATCGCCCTTGTCACCAAAACATTGAACGCATTTCCAATCGTGTTCGTCCTCAGTCATCGAGATTGCAACTTGAAATTAAAAGGTTTAACGCTGGGTGTAATTAAAAGTAAAAGCAACCCGAATGGCAGGTACAGGGGCAATATAAAAAAAAATTATAAGGTGAAGAAAAAGGTAAAAAGTAAAAAAAAGAAAGCTGGCGCTCTTTTCCCTTTTGGGGGCGACTGGAGTTGTAGAGGGTTCAAGGGCGTTTTGGGTCTATTGGTTGTTTGTATTCCCGACGAAGCACAGTGTGTCTTTTATCGTGTCCGGCGTAGCGCCCTTAATAAAGGCCACTTTTATTGTCAGCATGGATTTTGTATGATTCGATCCAGTATATCAAGTGTAGCAGTACTACTATGTTGGTTAACTTCTTTACCCATCTCTCCTATACCTTTTTTGCTCCTCCCCCCCGTTCAATGATAAAGCCCGCAACAACAACTGGGCGACTCCATAGTTTACTTTTGCTTATCCAAAATCTCTCTCTCTTTCCTTCCGGTTTCAAAAGGTTGTTCTGCTCAGTCTCATAAAGTGTGTTAGCCCATTTGTTTTTTTTTTCTCATGATACAGCACCTCAACAACGTGGACTCTCTACTTGCCGGCATGACCTTGGCGCGACGGCAGTCCTCTTGAGATACGGCGCGTTTATTAGCTTTTGCAGATGATAATCTCCGCCGCACCTGAAAATCGCGTTCCTGATCCAATCACATTGGCGCCAACCAGATGACACCTGTCCACACTGACTGACTGAACAAAAAAATTAATAGATCGACAAAAAGAAAGAGGGAGTTCTTTATTTTTTATTTTGTGTTGTGAGCGGGAATCTATGTGTATCATCATCGAATGATACGATGATTCAATTGCAAATCGTTGATCCTAGCGCAATGAAGGGTGATGAAGCCTGATAACGTAATCATGCGAGCATACCGCTTGTATTTCCCAGTAAGCCGTCCTTGGTCGTACGGATCATCTGCTACTTGTTCCATCAAGACTGCATCGAGCTCTGAGACTTGAGTAATGCCTGAGCATTCATGTGGATCATATTCCGGATCCAGTCGATGGATGTGTTCTGTCTGCGATCCTACCGGCACTTCCCACCATTGGATGCGTGTGCGACGACGTCGTTTATGACTACTACTACTGTTGTTGTTGTTGTTGTTCTTTGTGTTGCCAATCTCATGCTTGAATCCAAATAATGTCACGGGATAATTCGGTATACCGGGTATGCGCTTGACAAAATCATCAAAACAAATACGCGCATTGACGATGTGGAGGGACCGGAACGTTCTTTCGGGTAGCCTGAACACGGCCCATCCTCTTCTGTCATCATGCTTCAAGGTGCAATCGACAAGATGCAGATCCACAACCTCTTGCAGATAGGTCAGCAGTCGATCGAGTGCTTCCTCACCGTCCATCGTAGTCTCTACCAATGCAAGTTTCTCTAGCAAGAGATCGTGTGTGTGGTACAGGTAAGCCGTCGGTCGTAATTGCTCAACCATATCCATGGTCAGTTGTGTACGCATCAGTGTGAGGCGCTTGAGCCTTTTGCAATTCATGAATACCAGGTCAAGCCGAACCAGTTCGTGTCGATTCAATTCCAATGTCAGCTCTGTCAGACAAGGACAGTGTTGCAGTTGTTCGTAATGACCTGCTGTGGCATAGGCTGGCAAAGGGATGCACAGGTGCTGGACGCTGTAGCGGATACAACTGATGAGTCCGCCGAAATTGAAGAAATAATGGATGCCTTGGTCGCGAATACAGACATCGGTCAAGTGGGGAAGCCGGGCAAGCGGTGGGTGCAGTCGCTGGATGTTGGTAGCGCCCAGATGGATGAAGGAAACTTTGCTGAGATGACGCGGGAGTTGCATGCCACTGTAGAGAAAGAAAAGGACGGTTGGATGGAATTGGATTGGCAAGGCCCCGGTGTTTTCTAGTTCGAGCACGTCCAGCTGTTTGTAGCGGACTAGGATATATTCCAGCCAAGTGGAAAGCGAGTGCCATCCGTGTGGATAGACGAGTCGAAATCGACGCATTGTCCGCAGCTCAACGTCATCGTCATCCTGTTGCTGCTGCAGTTGTTGTTGATGATCTCGTTGTAGATAGTGCGAGATTCGGAAAAGCTCTGTCTCGTTGCATTCAATGGAACCAAGACCTGTGAGTTCCAAGTTGGCCAAGTTGGGACAACACACATGAATCGCGTCGAGATGATGGATATGCAATGTAGGAAAGAATCCACGGAGCGATAAGTTTTGGACATGGGGTGTGTATTTCAGCAAGTCGGCAATGTCGCCGTTGCTCGCTGGCGGCGGAATATCTTTCCAGGAGGCTGGCTCGTGACATTCCAAGGACAGCTGTGAGAGATGGTTCCCGTGGATGGCTGAGAGCAAAGGTAAAGGCGAGCGATAAAAATATCGATTTGACATTAACATGCACATCATTGTAGTAGTGGTCGTCGCAGGAGAAAGGCTGATCAACATGGGCATTGTCGGTGTGCACCATCGGAAATGGATGGCTTCCAGGCTCGGACACTTGCTTTGAAGGCGCTGCATGTCTTTATAGGAGAGGACACCGTCATCCACGATGATTTGATGGACACAGCGTCCGAGCTCAGTCTGTGACGACAGAATGCGTTGATGGACGTGTGAGTCGCGGCGGATGATGATTTGCTTGTACAACGAAGGGGTGAAAGCCGCATGCCATGCTTGACAGACAAACATGCACTCGTAAATATCACGGGCGGATAAGCGAGACGAAATCAAGGCAGCGAGCTCGTAAGGAAGCAGCATGTGTTGTTGTTGTTGTTGATGTAAACACAGAAACGAAATGTTTTGGGGAAACGGGCAAGGAGAGAAAAGGGCTTCTCTTAGTGTGGGGCCATGACTGAGATCTTTTAACCTGGACTTGACACATCCGGGCCCATCTGGACTGGGGGAAAGTGGGACATTCTATCTTACATTATTGTGTGTGATGACGGGATAGCTGCTACTACTGCTATAGGGGTCGTGAGCATTGTAAACAAATTCTGACTTTCTGCATTTGGCGTAGCGTCGGTCTGCTTGCTTTGCTCGCAGAGAGCAGTGTAGGTGGGAGGGCACCTGATGACTGTTTTGTGTATATGTATTAAGGTGATGATGGTGCATGATGAAACGTTCTCTCTGTCTCCATCCCTTTTCTCTCTCTCTCTCTCTCTCTCTCTCTCTCTCTTTTGTCCTTTTCTTTCTCTTTCGCTAGCCTCAAAGGAAAAAACCATGTCCGGTTCCAACCAGAGAATCAGTATTTTCCCTACTCGCATGTAAGGTTTTGACATCAACGAGAGAGAGCATATACGCTCCTGCTCATTTGCTTAATAAAACGCACATCCTACAGGGCCCTGACGACCATGAAAACCAAGTTAAAAGGAGCGCAAACGGGCCACTCATTGCTGAAACGCAAGGCCGAAGCCCTCACCAAACGTTTCAGGACCATCACCCACCAAATCGACGAGGTACATACTACTACTACTCCCTTATGCCCCCAAAAAAACAGATTCACATGCACAACCTCTCTTCAAGAACTGACAAACTCGTTTTTTTTATCTTGCTTGGGTGTTTTAGCTTAAGCGCAAAATGGGTGCCGTGATGCAAGCAGCTTCGTTCTCACTTGCAGAGGTGCAGTATATGGCCGGTGACGTGAGCTACCAAATCCGTGAAGCCTCCACCAAGGCACAGCTACGCGTTCGCTGTAAACAAGAAAACGTTTCAGGTAAGAAACACCTTCATTCTCCCGCCCCCCAACCGCCACACTTTAGAGTGGTTAGCTAAAAAAAAAACCCCCCTCCCCATTCCATCAAGGTGTCATGCTCCCCACGTTCGAAATGTATGTCGAAGGCGGAAACGGTAAGTGATCCCACATAAAGACATTCTCACGAATAACCGACTCAAACCCCCCCTCCAAACTTGAACAACCCCCAAAAAAAAACAGCCTTTGAATTCACCGGTCTCGGACGTGGTGGCCAGCATGTGCAAAAAGCCAAAGAAGTCTACCAAAAAGCAGTGGAAACGCTCATCGAGCTGGCCAGTCTGCAAACAGCCTTTGTGATTTTGGACGAGGTGATCAAGGCCACGAACCGTCGTGTCAATGCGATCGAACACGTCATTATTCCGAAATACGAAAACACAATCAAGTACATTATTTCTGAACTGGATGAGCAGGACCGTGAAGAGTTTTTCCGTCTCAAGAAGGTCCAAGGCAAAAAGAAGGACAAGGCTGCAGCAGCCGAGGCCGAGTGGCAACAGTTTGAACATGAACGTGATGATGATGATAATGGTAGTGGTCATGACGAGCCCATGTTCCAGGCAGCGCATGAGTCCGGTCAATTGAATAGCGATATTTTGGATCACAAAGATGAGGATGTTATTTTCTAGAGAATAATAAAAATAATAAAAATTGTGTCTGTGTGTGTGTGCGTTTTGGGGAGATCAGTCAATAAGTGGTAAAAGTAGCAGATGATGATGATGATGATGATGTAGTAGTAGTAGTAGTAGTAGCAGTAAAAGTAGTAAGAGTAAAAGTTTAAAGTAGTAGTTACAGTACCAAAGGGGAAAGGATGTTTTGCGCTCGCGCGTGGTGTCTGTTGTGGTCGTCACTGTGGGGGTTGGATTATTGGATGATACGAGATACGAGATAGATAGAGTTACAGAAAGAAAGAAAGAGGTAATAGAAAGAGTATATATGGGGGGGGGTGGGGTTAGTCACACAAGATGAAGAAGAAGAAGAAGAAGAAGGTGGGTGAGATGAGAATGGATGCATAAACCGTAAACCGAAAAAAAAAAAAAAGACACATGTCCTTTAAGACGCTCCGTGGTGCGGTGCAGGAGGAGGAGGCATGGAGGATCGTGAGCCGCCGGCGCCTAGTTGGAGTTGCTGGATGAATGGCTGTGACATGCTCGTGGCGGGTGTGTTGGGCGACGTGCCTTCCGAGAACCACGACGTCCGTGGCTCGTCGTCTTCGTTCTGTGGCTGGAACTCTTCCACATCGCCCTTGCCGCGTCGAGAGCGCCGGATCATGAAAAAGGCAATGGCGCCAAGCACAGCGGCTCCACCGACGCCGCCAACGACGCCTCCAATGATAGCGTTGGTATTGCTGGATCCGCCATCATCATCACCGGTGTTGTTGTTATTATCGTCCGGTTGGGATGTTTCGGTCGGTTGCGCAGAATCAGTGGCATCCTCCGTGGGCTGTGTGTCGTCGGTAGAGGAGGTAGTAGCTGCTGGATCGGACCATGAGGAGGAGGAGGAGGAGGAGGCCGTTTCGGTCTGCCACCACTCGGTCGTCGTGGTCGTCGCATCGGACCATTCGTCTGTGGCCGTCGTCGTATCCCACCAATTCGTTGTCGTAGCCGCCCATTCTTCGGTCGTCGTTGTATCCCACCACTCGCCGCTACCGTCGTCGGTAGCCGTAGGCTCGTATTCATAGTCGGTTGTGGTGGCCATATCGCCAGAGCCATCATCGGTGGGGTCGCTCCAGTCGTCTCCACCATCGTCGCCCCAGTCTAATTGGGTCATATATATATGACACGTTATATTATCTGAGTTTTTGCCCCCCCCCCCCTCCCTCCCTTTATTTTCGAGAAAGAAAGAATTGCTTACCACCACCCTCGTCCTGGGCCCACGAGGGCACCGTGATCATTGCCACGAGCAAGGCTGCTGCTCGCGAAAGCGTCGATAGTTTCATTTTGTTGTTGTTGTTCTTGTTGTACGGAAAAAAAGGAAGGGAGGATAAAGAAAAGTAGGGAACGAGTGGGATGGGTGGGGTTTTTTCTCTTGTTTCTTAAACGAAAAAACAAATGGGATAAAAAGAGAGAGAGAAAAAGCCCTAATGAGATCGTTGTTGAACCCAAAGAAAATGTTTTTTTTTTCAAGAGGAGTTCGTTACACGTTGCGTCTTGTCGAAAAAGCAATTCTAGACTGAGCGCATCATATAGGATACCAAATAAAAGTCGTTATTGAGGGAGGGAGTACAAGCCGAAATCGGCGAATGTCCACTGTTTCCATTATCACCCATCGCTTTTTTAAAACCAAACTATTTTTATTACCAAGCGACACACACTCGGTAACACGCTTGCCCTTCTTTTACTTTTTAAATAACAAAATGGCTCAACATGCGGGCGACCCACTCATTCAACTCCATTCCTCTCATGAAATATTTCTCCATTGTTTGGCGTTATAAAAGGAATAGTGCGCCACCAAAAGAAAGAAGCATACCCCCCCCTCTTATATAGCCATGTCACGCCTCCCCCGAACACCCCGAATGACTTAGGAACAAGTGATATGCCAAGTTCAGTCATATCGCGTGGGGGGGGGGTGCAAGTATTCCAGTACCACATAATAAAAGGGTTGTGCATAGACATGTCCTACAGATGTCTGGTCAGTGTGATGCGCCACACACTACGTATATTGAACAACCTTCTTCTTTGTTTAGGTTTAATCAAATAAGAGGCGAGAGAACTGGCAATATGGAAACTTTTAAGTGCTCCATGTAGAACTAAATATCTACAACACAGTCAATGGCTTGTGTACTCATTCATCTGAGCTCTCTCCAGCTTTCAATTGCCAATTTGGCACGTATATTGTTTCCACTTTGTTGTAACAAGACACAGCTTGTATATCTTGCACGATGGACACTAGTACAAATTAGTTTTCTTCTAAAGCAAAACTTGTACCACCTGTCAAGATTTCAGAGGGGTCATCATCATTATCATAATGCTAAAGCAATGAATGGGGTTAACATGGCACAGACGGAGGAGACTTTATTATGTATACATACACCTCTTTTAACTAGTTTGTGTTGCTCTACTCATCCGCAAAACAACAAGCGTTTCGGTATTTCAGCAACTCTGATTTTATTAGCAGTGGCGAGTAAAGAAGTAGAGAACTCCAACAGCATCCAATATAAATATCGTATCTACCTGTGATATGCCATTTACTGTTTGTACATACTGCGGAAAATCAATGCCCCTCCTACTGTATGTCTTACATTATCAGTAATTGCCAAGGGAGATGGATAACACTAGTAGTCGATTATGCGCTGGTGAATCATTAGTGGGTCACATACAAACAAGTCTCATATTTCTTCATTTCTCTCACAATGTATGGATTTAGTAAACGACTAGTGATGATTTATCTGTCTACGCTGTACCAGGGACTTGCATATACTCTTTAGGTAACATAGGAAAGGTCAATGATATACAGTATATTTGTGCCTAACATACTTCTAATGACCATATCTCCATTTTTCCACTCAACACCACTTTATTCTCAATAGTGAGTGCAATTAATCTTCGTGGCTCGACGCCAATACGACACCACGTCCATCATGTACATATACCTATCGATGATAACTCATCTCCCCCAAAACAAGCGGCTCGACAAAAAGCATTAATTATGTGAGCTGTTACTACTACTGTATATCATCTATTCTGGAGAATGAGGGGCATACGCGTTCTTTGATGTTGAAGCGGGTTTTGTGCTTTCCCCTACTCAGGAAAATGCAATCCCATCCTTGGCGCTGGCTCGTCGTATGTGCTAGTAGTCTTAGCATTCATGGTGAACGAGGGATTGGCCTAACGTGATTTGGGTCGAACTGTTATTAACGTGGAAAAGAAAAAAAGTCCGCAAATTGATCGGCATTCAATTATTTCAAAGGCCTCAAAAGATCAACAAGGAAGAGAAACGAAAGACGGCATGTTTTCCTTTGAGTTATGATATGAACTTGTTATATTAGCATAAAAGAAAAAGCAAGACGTGATGCAGTAATTAAGTGAAACTCCAGAAGCTTCTTATACCGTAATGGGCAGTATTGCATCATCCCAAAAAGGTAGAAAAAGTACTAGATTGAACGATGGTCGGGGCTACTACGACTTGGTTAGCTTACATATGCAACAAGTAGTGCGCATATGGCTACAATGACAATAGCCAACGGGCAATGGTGGTGCTTCTATCTGCGGAACCTTGTTCATCGTTACATCTCACTTTTTGATACAAGCAAACGCAACCAACAAACACCAATGAGCCGCACGGCGCATGACAGTGAGAAAGACGAATGATGACAGCCTTCTCTATCTTTATGCAACAAAGAAAGGCGACTTACTAGTAGAGTCACCCTTTCCAGCTTTATCATCCAGTTGAACCTGTTGTACAAGAGACACGTGGCAAGGAGCATTTCACGAGGAAGATTGCCGAACGTTAATATGTGGTTCGACTGAAAAAAACTCCACTCGGGTATTGTACGATGGGTACTAAACAATGGACTGAAGACGCAATAATAAGCTTGGCGCATTGAAATAATATTCATTAACTACCTATACATACCATCATTGAGCCCTGCCTTGTTTCAGGATACATGAGGGTGGCAAATAAAAAAGTGGGGGGGGAGGGGGAGGGAAAGTCTGAATGATTCCATTTTGCGAGAGCCACAAAGTATTAGACTCAAAAAAAATAAAAATAAAGAGTGCCCTGGACCTTTCCATCGCTTTATTGATTAGTGTAACCTTCAACGTATTTAAACTTTTTTTTTTATTCATCTTCTTCTCTTTTGTTTTTTTTTTTTCTACTTGAGTGTTGCGCAAACCATGTTTAAATACGGCAGAAAAAAGAGACAAGACGAAAAAGAGCAACTTGAAGAAGAAGAAGAAGAAGAAGCTGCAGCTGCAGGAATAGCATCGTCAGCTGCACCTCCGCTACCGCCACCCAAAGATATTTCTCCTGCTGTCACGTCGACCACCAGCGCAACCATCTACAAGCCGCTTGACGAGATTGACTTGCCACGCGATTTCAGAGCTTCATTGATCGTGACCCAATTCAACCCTGACCCACCTACCGATCTGTCCGTGCCTCAAGATGGAAAAAGCGACACCGAACGTCTTTCCACTTTACCCATGCCGTCCATGCCTTGGATGACGGCGGGTTCGACCGATTCGACGCGCCCACCATTGTCGACAATGACTGCCTCCAAACCCACACCTAGTACTACTACTCCACCGCTTTCGCCCACCTCGTCTTCTTCAGCGTCGGATACGCTGGTACGCAAAAGCAGTAGCACGCGTAGCAGTAATGAACCCTGGCGACCCCCCCTTTTGCTGGGTAGCGGAGGAAGGCAAATGAATAAAGGGGTAAAGGGATTTTTCTTTCTCCACCCATTAAGAACCGTTTGCTCAAACTTGCGTTTCTTTCTCTTTCTTTTACTCATTCTTTCATTATTCTTTGTTTATTTCCATGACGCCTTCACTCTATCACGATGATGATCCAAAGGACGATTTCCAAGATATCGCAACAGGCCCTCCCATCATTCCACGTAGCAAAACACCACCACCACTGCCTATCATGCAACCTATTGCGCTCAATCATCATCACAACAACAACAACAGCAAGGGCAAAACAATATTCGACTCGGATGATGATGATGAAGCGTCGGACAACGACCCATTCTTTCTTGATTTTTCAGCAGGCAGGCCCAGATCGAAATGTATCAGCAAAAAGTCAATGGCACCCACGAGAGATGCCAAGACGCAGCGAATCAGTCGATTTGATCTCTCTGCCTTTGCAAACCATCTTCACGAGAACCGACTATCAATGATGCAATTGCGCCAAACGGTTCATCTTTCTGAGGAGGATGAAAAGGAATTGATGCAGTTGCTTGAAAAGCGAAAGAGTATGGCACCCACTCGCGAGAGTCACAGTGACACTGCTGCTGATGTCCAAGATCAATTCGTAGAGTCATCATCGTCTGACGAGTTGCGACCACCAGTACCATTACTGGTACCACCACAGCGACCGGTATCCAAAAAGCCATCGTTATTGTTGCAAAAACTCAAGGGTAGCAGCCATAGTGCCGCCAAAGGTAAGTTAATTAAATTTTTCTTAATCCAAAAAAAGTATCTATTGGGTGGAAATCATAAAAAAACTCATTTCCTCTCCTGTTTCTTTTTATCATCACCTAAAAAGAACTCGATCCTGTCGAACCTACCCCTTCGCTATCCGCGGAGCAGCAGCAGCAACAGGCGGAGAGAAAACGGCGGGTGCGTAAATCGATGAGTATGGACGAAATCCATCGCATGACAACAGCAAAGAAGGACGAAAAGACACTTGTCAGCGAGGCTCCTACGGTACCGTCAATCCAGGAGGTTGATGTATCCAACAAGAAAACCTTGGCACCCTCTACTTCAACCCCCTCTTTGATGGCACCATGGAACATGCACAAATCATCATCATCATCATCCACGCGGAAACTCGCTTCGTTTACTAGCAACAACAACAACAACAACAATTACGACGACGCTAGCAAGAGCAGCAGCGCCAGTGATACCCCCAAGCCGCAACGAACAGCCAGCACCACACCAGGTCAGAAAGCAATTGGATTGTTTGGTAGCTTGCGACAAGCCAGTCGATCGCATCAACCCTTCCGAGGTCTTGTACGCAACTTGAGCAGTGCTGGTAGCTATTACCGAGCGCGTCATTCTTCTGCCAACGGTACTGTCGAGACAGGAGGCATGTCCCGTGCAGCAATGGCGGTCATGGAACATCAGCAAGGCAACAACAACACGAGTCACAGTAGCAGTGTGGGTACAAGAACACCCTCCAAAGATGCAAAGACAAAATTAACCGCCACAACAACAATGACCAGCAGTATGTCAACAACGGCAACAGCAACAACGAATACCAATGCGCCTTTTACCACGGCGGCAGAGGATCATGGTGAAGGCAGTGGTGGAGGAAATCTTTTAACAACTCTGTTGGCCAAGGCAAGCAAAAGTAGTAAAAGGACCAAGACGGTCAATATGAATCATCACAACAGTTCAGCAAACAGCAGCAGCAGCCGGCGACGTGAAAAGACAAAATCACGCGTCGTTCGACGCACCATCATATACGTACCGCCTGATTCGCTCAACTTTATGAAAACACTCCAACAACAAGGTGGTGGCGATGACATCTCAGCTGGTCTGAGAAAGAAGGGTCCAGCACCACCTCTACCACCTGACATGTTGGAAAAAATGCGTCAATTGCAAAAGTCACCGTCATCCAAACCAACAAGTAGAAAGCCAACATTGTTATCGCGTCATTCGGAAATAGAAAAAGACGATGCAGATCTCAGTACTGGTAGTAGTAGTAGCAGAAGCAGCAAGCAGCAAGATGATAACGACAACACACGTGCTAGTACGGTTGGCACCCAGGAAGAAGATGCGACCGACGACCTTGGAAGCATACTCAATTATTATGACGATGGAAGCTTGTATGACTATTACCAGAGCCGAGACTCGCCGACTGTACCACAGCTGGAAGGGTTGGAACTGCGTGAAATGAGCGACGGCACGGTCGAATGGGGTATTGTCAAGAAACAAGGCAATCGCAAGAGCTTTTATGTACACGACAACAAAAGACGAGATGTCGAAGAAGAAGAAGAAGAAGAGGAAGATGAAGAGAAAATTGAAGAGCAGGTGTTGGCATTGATGGGACTTGGCGTACATGGAGATGCTAGCAAGCAATCTTTAGCACCTTCCACAACTACTACGACTACGACAACAAGCCCTCCACCCGTTCCACGTCGATCGCCACGACGACGGATCGACAGTGCTGAACAACAAATGCAACAACAACAGCAACAACATGTAGACAACCATCGAGCCAAACATATTTCGACGATCCATTCACGGAAAGACGCGTCGACCACGGACGTTTACTTTGCGCCACAACAGACACTCCCTAGTCTGCTCCAAATGATAGCGGATTCGGCACAGGAAGAGGAGCAGCAGCAGCAACAGGCCAAACGAAAGAAGCAGGCTTCGGTAGAGGAGCAATTGGATGAAATGATGCGCTCATTCCAGCCACCTGTTGAACCTACAAAGTTCTAACAGTTTCTTATGAACATGACAACTCTTTTAACATCATTGCATCCCCATCCCCCACCTAGTACATTCTATTACTATTACTTTTACTATTGCCACTGCACCTACAATTACTACGCTAGTGTTACATGTATATTTATTACTACTACTTGTTTTTTAAACTCGCTTTTCTTTTTCCTAATGCTATTTGGTGACAACCCCGATCGGGAATTACACAGCATTTTGGCGTTTGTGTGTAAAAATATTCAATCATGAGCTATGTTTGTTTTGCCATCTTTCTTTATTCCCTTCAGATATATACACAAAGACTCTACTGATACCCCGGTTCTCTATTGATCTTAAATCTGAAGATCGTCCACTTGGCGGGCGCTCTGAATGAGCCGAGTGCTTAGATAGCAAAGTATAGTTTATACAGGCAACCCTCAAAAGAAAATGCCAGTTCTGTGAATTTAAATCAAAGAAAACGAGTAATGGGACGCGTATAGGATAAAAGTCACTTTCTGTTGCTTTTTCCTCTCTGTTCCTCTTGGTCCTATTGAAAATCTATAGAAAACAGAAAACTAAAAAACAAATCCAAATTATATCGTTGCTTGACCATCATCGGACCATGGGCGAATGACTTTTTTCTTCGCCTTCTTCTCTCTTTTAACCTTTTCTTCTTCTTTTACTGCTATCCCTTTTGCCGAGAGAGAATCCCCCATCCCTCTCACGTTCTCAGAAAAAACATAAAGACGAAAAGCTCGAGTTGAGAAGAGGTTAACACTTTACCTTTCCCGAGCCCCCATCCACGCAACTTGAGGACCGCATAGAGAACCGAAAAAACCATAGGAAATTTATATACACACACACACACAAAAAAAAAAAAAGAGTGAAGCCTACCGAAAAGAGGACCAATGAAGTTCGGCGCTGAATTGCAGGGCAAAATTCATGCACCGTGGCGACATGCTTACATGAACTACAACGAGTTGAAGCACGAATTAAAGCAGCGCCAGCTGAACAACAATAACAACGGATGGACCGAACGCGACGAACGCGACTTTGTCACGCGTTACGAGCAAGAGCTTGCCAAAGTCTACCGGTTTGTGGATGCCAAACTTACCGACATTAAGCGTCGAGTGAGTGCCTGTGAAAAGGCTCTCAGCAGTACGAGCACTGCACCCGCCGCCGCCGCCGACCACGACGACGGTGGCGGTCTTGCGGATCAACTTGCCGAGATTCTATTTCAAGTCAATGACTTGGCCCGATTCCATCGACTCAACTGTCAAGGATTTATAAAGATGGCGAAAAAACACGACCGCTGGACCCATTTAAGCAACTTGACGCAACACTATCACCAAACCCTCCAAAAGAAATGGCCTATCGAGACGGACATGGCGCACCAGTTGGATCAAGTTGTTGTTCGCATCTCGTATGCAAACGTAACGTGTGAAGAAGGAATAGCAGGACCATTACCACCACCACGATCGTCGTCGTCACCGACAACCCTCTATAACGATCAAACGGCCTTTGAACGCGCAACGACAAAGTATTGGGTGCATCCGGATAATGTCACCGAAGTCAAATCCATCATCCTGTTTCATTTGCCTGTCCATATCTACAACAAGGAAAAGCAGTACGAGGCCAAAGATGCAGCGATTTCATCTGTCTATTTCGATAATTCCAACTTTGACCTGTACACCGAACGATTGGAACGGACAAAAGGCGCAGAGGCCATTCGGTTTCGTTGGTATGGACAAGAGACCGACAGTATCTATGTCGAACGCAAGACGCATCATGCAGAGTGGTTGGATGGCAACTCGGTCAAGGATCGGTTCATGCTGAATGAAAAGGAGGTGGATGCGTTTGTCCAAGGCAGCTACACGGCGGATGCGATTGTTGCGGATATGCGTGCACGCAATAATAATAAAACCAAGAACAACCCTAATGATGAAGACACCCTCCAGCATCAGCATTTTGTGGCCAAGGGCGTCGAAAAATCATTCCGTGAGCGTCATCTAGAGCCCATGTGTCGCGTCTACTATAACCGTACAGCATTCCAACGACCCAACGACCAACGCTTACGGATTTCGCTCGACTGCAACTTGACATTTATCCGGGAAGACCAACTCGACGGCAAGGTGCGACGACCCCACAACAAGTGGCATCGCACGGACGTCAAAATCGACCATCCTTTCCACCACGTCCATCCACGCGACATTCATCATTTCCCGTATGCGGTGCTTGAGACCAAGATCCAGACGCATCTGGGACAAAAGGTGCCGGCCTGGCTACAAGCGCTCCTCTCTTCCCATTTGGTGTACGAGGTGCCGCGTTTCTCAAAGTATCTGCATGGAGCCTCACACATGTTTCGAGATCAGGTACCCGTGTTACCGTGGTGGTTGGAAGAACTGGACAAGGACATTCGCAAGCCGCCGGTCTTTGGTGTAGGCTTGTCCCGCTCATTGAGTCTGCAGCCGCTGGTCAATGGCCATCATCGTCGTTCACTTTTCCAACCATCCTCCGCTGCCGCGCAACCACAACACGTGTCCATCAATCTTATGGGTGATGCAAAGAAAGGTGCTGCTGCTGCTACTACTACCACACGTAAAAAGTCATTGATGATGGCAGCGACGGGTAGAGCCAAGGATGATGACAAAAAGGGAGGCAATGGAGACCTATTGTCACGATTCTATCCCAAACTGGTCGACAGCGGCAAAAAGTTCATCAGCAACAAGGAGACACCATCATCACAACAGCAACAACAACTACCACGTCCAATATCGCAACGCATGATGAAGCGCACAGAGCCAAAGACGTTTTTTGCAAACGAACGCACGTTTATCTCCTGGCTACAGTTCTGTGCTTTACTGTTGACGGTGGCACTCAACTTGCTGAACCATGGAGACCATATATCGCGTGTCATTGGTGCAGTGTTCATCATTATGGCGTCAGTTTTATGCTTGTAAGTAGTGTGTAGTGGGTTTGGGGTGGGGTGGGAGAGAGAAAAACAAACAAAAGAGACTTAAAAGCTCCCCTATTATAGTTATGCACTTGGACGGTACCAGTTCAGAGCGTATCAATTACGTACAGGCCGATTCATTACGCGCTATGATGACTTGTATGGACCCACCATCCTATGCATCTGTCTGGTGACTGCATTGATCGTTAACTTTTATCTTCGGCTTCCCGCCATCACCCAACAATCCACTATAACACCACCACCACCACCTTCATCTTAGAACAAAGAACGCATCCCATTATTCTTCTTCTTCCTCATGCATTTGCCTTGTTTTTGCTCTCTCTGTCGCTAATCATCTTTTCAAAGAGGACCCCTTTCATAGTCTCAAAACATTATCATTAAAAAGCAGCATATATATATATAGTAATGTAGAAAGCAACGTGCAGCCGGGATAACCATTTATATACTAGACTGAGCGCCCCCCCTCCCCACGAGAGAGAGTGAGAGAGATCACAACTCAATCTTTTTATTATTCTACACTTTTGGGAGAGTGCATGACACGCATACTTTGTCTTTTTCCATCACTTTTTGCAATGGGTGCAACAGCAGCAGCAATAGCCAACATGCCAACATGCCAATGGAAACTCTAACGAAAACTGTTCTCCTTTTTATTCTCTCTTTTTCTCTAACCTTTGTCCGCGCTCGCTGGTGTAACCCAGCTATTAGGTAGTACATATATATATACCATCTAGTAAATAGTAGTAAGTGTCACTGCAAACACACGACGGATCGACCGACACATTATAGCGCACAATCAAGAGGATCAACAGCATGAAATTATCGCAAGTTGCAGTGTTCGTGTCAGTGTAGTATAGTATCTCTTTGCGAACCCTGCAGCGTAAACGGAGCCAATCAAGAACGGAACCGTCAAGGCGTGGACAAGAACTCACCCTTTGAATGGGACCCTTTGCTCTTTTCGAAATTCGAGGGGGGGTGCTGTGAAATATGCAGGAGAGCACACTCAGAGAAAAAGACAGACATTGTAGGCAAGCTAGACGATAGAAATGAAAAGCGTTGTATAATTGTACCTATTTGATGTCTAGTGACGATGACAATGTAGACTAGCTATGATGATGATATGAGCAAGCCGACCATTTCTCCTCTTGTATATTTCTTCTCCCTTTTACTCTCTCTCTCTTTAATACATATCTTCCTGTCCTAACTCTCCCCTTCTTCCTTTTCTCTCTCTCTGCTCTTCACATAGAGACATTGGTTTTTCCTTTTTCTTGAAAAGTAGTAGTAGAACCATGAAATTTGGTGCACATTTAGCCGCAAGCATATTCCCACCATGGCGATCAGAATACATCCAGTACGACATGCTTAAGCTCCAGCTCAAGTCGCGTCAATTAGATCACACTTGGAACGACCAAGATGAAGCATGGTTCTCACAAACGGTGACAGCTGAGCTCAACAAGGTCGATGCCTTTCTCTCACGCAAACGCCACGAGCTCGAATCACGCATCAACTATGGCGAACAAACCCTGCAAACGATCGCACGCAATTCGCCACCCCCGTCTCAACGAACAGACACAAACACTTTAAGCAACGAGCAAAATATAGCATCGTTGCAGCAAGCATTGATAGAAACCCTGTACGATACCAACGACCTCAGCAAATTCATCCGACTCAACTACACTGGCTTTCAAAAGATCCTAAAGAAACACGACAAGTGGACGCAGCTCAATCTGCGATCACACATGATTCCGCAGTTTCAACAGCGAGGCGTGGATAATCAGCGATTCGACGACTTGCTGGTCAGAATATCCCAGCTACGTGATCTGTGTCGGCTTTGCAGCAGGTCCACTACTCTGCAAGAAGAAGAAGAAGAAGAAGAAGAACGCGCTCATGCGGATAACAGTGACAACAATAGCGATGTGGGTGATTTTGAAAGGGCGACAGAAAAGTATTGGGTGCACCCTGAAAATGTCACTGAAGTCAAGGCATTGTTGTTGTTTCATTTGCCGGTGTTGCGGTACAATGCCGATCATCCTTATGAGGAATCAGAAACGGCCATATCGAGCGTGTACATGGATAATCGACAGCATGATCTCTACACGGAGCGACTGCAGCGTGACGAGGGTGCCGAAGCGATCCGGTTGCGCTGGTAAACTATCCATGTTTGCGATAGAGAGATGACAAAGTCGGGGTGGGGGGAGGATGTGCTAATGTTCATATAAAAAAAATAAAATCATTCCGTTCAGGTACGGGGCTGAGACGACGCAAGATATCTATGTGGAACGCAAGACGCATCATGCGCCGTGGCTCGATGGCCAAAAGTCCATCAAGGAGCGCTTCCGACTCGACGCAAGCCACGTTGACGACTACTTGGCAGGCCGATACACGCCCGAAATGGTAGCAGACAATGTCTTGTCACAAAAAAAGAAAAAGTCCGTAGCCGAAAAAGCAAAGTCCACCGCCACAAGTGTCTACGAATCCATCCGGAAGAGGAAACTCAAGCCAACCCTGCGCTGCTTTTATCATCGACTGGCGTTCCAAAGGCCAGGTGACCCACGACTTCGCGTGAGTCTTGACACCGATCTGACATTTATCCGTGAAAGAACAAAAGACAACAAGAACAGGACCCCTTGCTGGCGACGTCCCGACGTCGGCATCGCTTATCCGTTCTATCATCTGGCCGACCCAACTGACGTGCACCGCTTCCCTTATGCCGTCCTGGAAACCAAGATCCAGACGCATCTGGGCCAGCAGGCGCCTGAATGGCTTACCCGACTTACCAACAGTCATTTGGTCCATCCTGTCCCGCGCTTTTCGAAATTTTTGCATGGTGCCTCTCAACTCGCTTACCAAAATCTTCCCCTGCTTCCATGGTGGCTCAGGTGTGTGTGTGTGTTTTCTTTTTTTTTGCCTGCATGATTATTTTGAAAGAAATGATGGCTGACTTTTTTTTTATTGATTTAGTGAGCTGCGCATCGATATCCGCAAGCCACGCACTGACCAGTTTGGCTTGTCAAGAACGGTCAGTCTGCGACCTTTGTTGGATGGCGGACTCGTGGCTATCGAAATCCCCCCTGATTCAACGACGACGACGACGACGATGCTGGATTCAACAATAAAGAGAGATTCCGGCATGGCACCCTCTCTGCTTAAACCTTTACCAGCAACATGCGAAAAGAAGACACCGACATCATTATTACCACCCACACCATCAGGGACTCTTGATACACAATCACCTAGTACAGTCGATGAAACAAAGCGGAAAAAGAGCAACAGATTTTTTAAAAGGTGGCTCCCACGGCGTTGTCGCCGGTTTGGCAACAACAAGCTGCGGAGCAGCAGCAACAACAACAACAACAAGCCAGCACTACCTAGCGTCAAGGTTCGCGTAGAGCCGAAAACATTTTTTGCTAACGAACGCACATTTATTTCTTGGCTTCAATTTTGCGCGCTGATCCTCACGATTTCCCTCAGCCTCATCAACTTTGGTGACCATGTCTCACAAGTGTGTGGCGGGTTCTTTCTCATCATTGCTGCACTCTTGGCAGTGTATGCACTCTGGCGCTACCAACACCGCGCACATCAGATTCGAACAAGAAGCAACACACGCTACGATGATCTGTACGGTCCTGCCGCTTTGTGTATTTTACTCGTCGTTGCCATCATTGTCAACTTTAGTCTTAGATTTAATCAGCCTACCGCACCTGGATCATCACCTTATCACGCTGCTGCTCCTGCTCCTGCTGCTAATCAATAAATCTCTTTTCCATTGTTGTTTGTATATATACTTGATTACATCATAGAGTAGTAGCAGTAGTAGCTATAGTATGTAGTAGCGGGACACAACATTTATTGATCATAGTCATTCAATAGCGTTATAGAATCGATTTATATAGTAACTAGTACTATAGTCAAAACCAAAATTCCCTTCAAATGTACATATCCGCAACATTCGATGCATCATCATCATCATCGTCACTTAAGAAACGGATAGATACCCTAATTCAGGAATAAGCAGAGCAGCATGAATTGTACACACAAGTGTTCTTGGGCTCCATCGAAGAATAACAAATGCGCAGCCATACATATGCGGGAATATAAAGAGAGAGAGAAAAAAGGAGAGCGTGATCGCATCAGTTTGCATGCAGCTAATGTCCCTGAAAATAGAGTTAAATCCAATCCGTAATCATTACAGCAAGTTCATACATAGTAAATAACTAACAGCAACAATAGAACATTGAGATACTCAAGAATAACAACAGGTTGTGTTGTATATGTTTTGACGATCTGAGAAAGGTGTATGTATCACACATTGAATGCCACTGTGTATGTAGCATATCTGTTGTATTCTCATCCAAACTGACAGCACCACGGTCCTTGTAGAGATTTGAGGCTTACGGCTCACTACTGAAAAGGCTGAAAGGGAGTGGGACTGTTTTCTTTTGACACGGTGTATATAGGTAGTAGTAGTAGTAGTAGTAGCGGAACTAAAAGTAGCATACGTAGCACACCTTGGACGACGACGACGGCACATCAAGTTCTACGAGTTTTGCGCCATGTCGGACCCCAACGGTGATTGCGGAGAGGCTGAACCGGGAGTGGGTGGGTAGTACAACAGCGCAGCAAGCAAAACAAAAACCAAAAGGGACAAGAAGAAGAAACCAGAAACAAGAAGGGGTTGGCAGCAATGTACTTTTCGGGCAAATAATGCACTATTCGAACTATTAATACCCACAAAAGCAACTACCTCACTCAATCTCACCCCAATTAAGGAATCCAACGTGACACCCGGGCAACACGGGTTGATTGGCTCACCCGTGAGGTAGTGTGCCCTCTCGTTTGGGTTCACTCAAATACGACACAATTCAGAATTTTTGCATGAAAGGAAACCTGCCCCTCCGCCCCCCCCTGCGTCATATGAACCGCCGCCAAATTATAGCTGGTGTACATATGTAATACTTATATTGCTATTATACACAGAGTGACTGATTTATATATATATATATATCTCTGTGTAATATACACGCCATTTGTTATATACAAAACCATAAGTGAGGGAGAGAAAGAGAACAAACATGCACCGTGCCAAAATAGGGCTAGCTGCCAAGTTGTCTCGGCCAAATAGCATTACGATGGAAGTGAGGGAACTAAATAAAGCTGTCACCAAAGCACTCTTTTTGTGTGCTTTCAAATGCGAGTCCAGGCAAGTAAATAACTTTTACATCCAAGACGACACATGCAGTAAGCCTAGATTGTCGCCGTGCGTTGTATGTTTACTTTTGATGATGATGTTGATACTACAAAGAGAGAGAGAGACACACACAGAGCGAGCCACACGCCATAGTAAGCAAGGCCGCTGTTGTTTGTTGTTTGCCTTGCTAACTACTCCAATAAACTACTAGCCCGCCTTTCCCCCTCTCAACCCCACCGCCCCCCACTGAGTCCCAGTTCCCCTTTTTTCTCACTTTTCTCTCCAAGATATAATAATACCGCATCTTTCTTTTGCTCTTCCTCAACTTTTGCTCCTTCCTGCTTCAATTGCTAATTCCCCCACCAAATCGAATGAAATACGGACTCGAGTTACAGGAGAACATCTTCCCTCCATGGCGCTTGTCCTATGTCGCCTACGATGTTCTCAAGCAGGAGCTCAAGAGTCGCCAGCTTGATCATGGATGGACGCAGCAAGACGAAGCCGACTTTGTCCATCTACTCGACAACGAGCTGACCAAAGTGTACGACTTTATCAATGCCAAGCTTTCTGAAATCGACGCCCGTATCCTGTACTGCGAACGCACCATCCACACCTTGCACAACAATCCCACAATGCAGACCGATGCGAGTTACAAGATCATGGACGAGGCCCTGACCGAAATCCTGTTTGATGTCAATGACCTGTCCAAGTTCACACGCGTGAATTATATGGCGATCCAAAAGATGCTGAAAAAGCACGACCGGTGGACCGGCCTGGATCTCAAGCAGGCGTTCGTGCAGAAATTGCGCGACAAGCCGCTGGATAACCAACGGTTCGATGTCTCCATTGTCTATATTTCAGCACTACACGCTTTGTGCCGTAGCCGTGGCAACCGCCAGGCGTCGTCGTCGGACAACAAGACGGGCATTAATGCCGACGGCGATCAAAATGCTTTTGAGCGTGCTACCGCCAAATACTGGATCCATCCTGACAACGTCACCGAGGTCAAGGCCATCATCATGCTGCATCTGCCTGTGCTTATCTTTAACCGTGACAAAAAGTGGGAGGTCGAGGATTCCGCCATCTCGTCCGTGTACATGGACAATGACAATTTTGACCTGTACGCTGGCCGGCTTCAACGCGATGAGGGCGCCGAGGCTATCCGCCTGAGATGGTAACGTAATACAGTCTATATCCGTAGTAGTAGTAGTAGTAGTAGTAGTAGTAGTATAAAAATCTAGTCATAGTTAAACGCAGCCAACAACAACAACAACAACAGCCAAGTAGTAACAAACAAAAAAAATCTTACTTTGTGCTCCTCCCCCAACCCCCAATCCGCCTTTACGCTTGGTCTCCTGCATTAGGTATGGCCCGTATGACACCAAAAGTGTATTTGTCGAACGAAAAACACACCATGCATCATGGCTACAGGGCGCATCCGTAAAAGATCGTTTCCGCCTGAGCGAGCCCGACGTGAATCCTTTCCTCCGGGGCGACTACTCTGCTGACCAAATCGCCAACGACCTGCGAGCGAAAAAGGTCGATGAGCCCACAGTCGACAATGTCCATTTTATCGCCAGTGGCGTACAGACGTCGGTGCGTGAAAAAGAGCTGCGTCCCACCTTGCGTGCCTTTTACAACCGCACTGCGTTTCAACTGCCCGACGACCAGAAGCTGCGTATCTCGCTCGACACCAACCTCACCTTTATCCGCGAAGACCACTTGGACAGCACCTCTAGACGTCCCAAGGACAATTGGCGCCGTCCAGACGTCAGGATCGACTATCCTTTCTCGTATCTCCCCGACTCTGAGATCTTGCGCTTTCCATATGCTGTTTTGGAAACCAAGCTCCAGACCCACTTGGGTCAGGAACCACCTGCATGGCTCTCGTCGCTCATTGAGAGTCATTTGGTTCATGAAGTGCCACGCTTTTCAAAGTATCTTCATGGAGGTGAGTTTTTCTTTGTTTTGCTTTTCTTATTGACGGGGCGAATGGACTCTAACTTTTTGTGTTTGTATTTGTTTTTTTTTTCCCCCTCAGCATGTCACTTTTATCGCGAACGCCTTGCCCTTTTGCCATGGTGGCTGAGTGAAATGAATCAAGACATTCGAAAACCACGAGCAGAAAACATTGGTCTGACACGCTCAAAAAGCTTCAAGCCTTTGATTGATGGTCGCTACAGACGCGCCATGATCGAAGAAAAAGAGCGAGCCAACCAAGACGCAGTGATGCGAAGCGGCCAGCCAGGCATTACGCTAGAGGATGCGACGCCCAACAGCCGAGAAGGATCGCCTGGTGCATTGTCGTCGAGTGAAACGCTGACGAAATCAAGAACCCCTGAGCGGCGCAGATTAATCGATGACGACAGCGAAACTCCTGAATCCTGGAAACCTGTACAGAACACCCAGCAACAGCATTTGACCGTCGATATGAAGCCTGGCAATACCACTGCACTCGGTACACCGGTCATGGTTCAAAGTCAATCATCGTCGTCGGTGAATAGGGCCAGCGGCAACAACAACAAAAAGAAGAGCGGTCCGATGGCGTTCTTGAACTGGAACAACATGATAGAAGAAGGCGAGAGTAATAAGCGTCAAAAGGTCAAGGTTCGTGTGGAGCCCAAGGTCTTTTTTGCCAACGAGCGTACGTTCATTTCTTGGCTGCAGTTTTGTGCTTTGCTCCTGACCGTTGCGCTGAGCTTGCTCAATTTCGGTGACAATTCAGCACGTATCGTGGGCGGTATCTTCATTGGTCTTGCTGCCGTTGTCGCCATTTATGCGCTGTATCGCTTCGAGAAGCGCGCATGGATGATCAATCGCCGCGTCGATGGCCGATACGACGACCTGTGGGGCCCTGCTGTGCTCTGCACGCTCTTGGTGGGCGCGTTGATTGTCAACTTTTACTTGCGTTTCCATTAAATTCTTTTATCTCTTTTATGTAATTAACAACAACAATCATTTTGCACTTTTCCCTCTCTCTCTCTCTTGCACACACTTCATGTACAGTTTTATTACTACCCAAATCCTTGGCTATGTCTTTTTTAATCTCCCCCCCCTCCGCGCAAAATCTCTCTCTCATTGCACGTAGAATAGCCCGCTTTGTCTTAGTGTAAAAACATCAACAATGCATTTATAACAAGACTTGACTTTTATGGTAACTTTTTAATTTACTGCTTTGATCTCCATTCAATGCATAGCTATAAAACAATAGAATGGACTAGCATGGAAAAGAAAAAATAGTCTGTTGCCCAGGTTTCTTTCTTCGCGTACTTGCTAATGCTGCCTCTCGAGATCTTGGAACGCATAGCATTGCATTTGCCGCGACGCGACATTTACTACTGTCTAATCGTGTGCCGGACATGGTACTTTGTCTTTCTACCATGTCTGTACCGATCGACCGAGATCAGTAGCGATGCCAACGCGTGCTCTGTCCTTCAACACGCAGACCCGTCACTGTGTCGCCGCGTACGCGAACTGGTCCTCGAGGACGGCATGTTGAGTACGCAAGGGATGCGTGACATGCGCAAAAGATGCCCGTCTCTTGATACGCTGCATTTCTGGTGGTGGCGGCCGTCGTTGTTATCGACATTGTTGGCGTTAAAGTCGCCCAGTGACTATCTTCAGGACCGCGAAGACACGGCGATCATTCAAGAAACAGCCGGCAATGTCATTTACTTTGAGTCGCCCCTGTGTGCGTTGACGGAATTCCATGGCGATCGCTTGTCTCAACTCAAACTGTCATGTCTGTCGTGGGACCCGCCGTCGATCTTTAACAACACGCCCAACGGGAGCGATTTTGATGACTGGTTACGTCGTGTTTTGACACCCATGCCAAGTCTAAAGCAGCTCGTCATGCAAAACGTGCTCCCAACGCTCGATGTTCGCCATCTGGGTATCATCCACGCGTGTTGTCCTGCTTTGACGCATCTCGACTCTGAAGGACCTGGCCGTATCCAATACAATGGTAGGAGCCGTCGTCATGTGTATCGTCCGGTTTTCGCAGGGGTTGTCGTTGTCAAGCTACTGTCATTGCGGCTTGCTTATAACGGTGGATGGAGCTTCACTGCAAATGGTTGGTTGTCGTATATCGCCCATTGTTACCCCAATCTTATCGAGCTTCATCTGGAAAACATGTCCAACAAAGCAGCATGGATTAATCCTGTAGCACCGCTCGATCAACGCTTGGCATTCCCGCACTTGCGACGCGCTCACTTGATCCGACTTGACCTCGACTACACCACGGCTGTCCAAATCCAAGAGCACGCGCCATTATTGTACCATCTGTCGATTGTTGGCAGCTGTCGCTGGTCATCGCCAACGTCATCATTGGTTGACAACGATAAAACTGTACCCATGGACCGATTCGATGCATTTATTGCAAACATGGGCGATGACGTTTTTCAACTCTCGGTGAGCTTACCCGAAGCCTACGATCGCCGTCTAACCATCTTTTGTCTCTGTGAAAAGCTCCGTGACTTGACACTTTGCGGCGGAGGCGAAGGCACCGCCACGCGTTGCAACACGAACAACAACAACAACGATAGCACCAGCATCACCACGACCACTACCAGCACAAAGATCAATCTGCCAATGCTGCTCGTCACGTGCCGGGCACTACGACGACTGACGCTGACACATATCGAACTCTCTGACGAAACATTGTGCGGACCGATCCAGTCACCCATTGAACGATTGGAGCTCCATCAAGTAACGCTGACATCGGAGAATATCAACAATGTTCTCAAATACTGCATGCATCTGACAAGTTTTACCGCGAGAAAATGCTATTGGCGAATCACCTCCATGAAAGCAGTGATCGGCGTTCAACTGCAGCTTCCACCACGCCATTTTCATTCGGTTCAGATGGACGACCAACGCATTATTTGGATGATCTCGACATATACAATCACATGGGAGCCAATCCAAGAATACGGCTTGTTTGCTGCTCAACATCAGCATCATGTCAACAATAGTACGGTGGGTCATCGCCGATGGTTACGCATCATGACCAGCTTGGAGCAAGAGACAAAGCTTGTTAAACGACAACCGCAACCTGTCACAATAAGCAAACTTGTCGAATTGCCACCTGGTAGTATGGAGCCATTACTACAGACATCGTACGATGACGTCTTGAGGATGCACACAGCTACGAACGACTCTTCCACTACCACTACTGCTGCTGCTGCTATTAATGATCATAGCAGCTGTATAGCCAAGCGAGGTGGATTTATGATGATATCATTTACGAATATCAAACATATCGCCCTCAATGGCCTCGCTGTACAAAGTTAACGACAACTTTCCTCCAATTCCCCTTTTACATTAACTCCTCCATCAGTGTAAGTTGCTTTTTATTTGCTCCAATGTGTCGTTGCCTTTCCTTTTTTTGTGTGTAAGCTGTTGTAAAAAAAATATTCTAATTTTTCTCCTTTGCTTTTTTGCAAGGTGCATCTATTACTTTTCCCTTGTCATGTACAAACTATCATATCACACACAGTACATAGCATGCTGCTGTTGATTTTGCTGCATCTTGGTTAATTTGTCGCACAGAAACAGGTAAACAGAGCTGCAATACTTTGAAATGGCTAAAAAAAGAAAACTGAGTGCTCTGTTTGTGTTGATAGTGTAGGTAGTACAGCATGTGCTTGTTTTGTTTTTTTCAGGTGCATATGCAGCCTTATCGTGTATGCATGTATATTTGTGTGAGAATAAAGCATGCTTGATTTGTTATTATGTCATACAAGGGAGTTATATTTTTCTCAAAGAATGGTTGACGATCTCGGTCGAAATTTCCTATGCTTCTGCTTCAAAGATGATATGAAGTGCGCGAAACCGTATTTTACCTGAGCGACAAACATGGTGCACGTTTAAATAATGTTGGAGGCTGAAAGAAGGGGTGCTCAGCTTCAAGTGAATGGAAACCCCAATGGCCCCGAGAAACGGGCCGTTTTCTCTAAAAGTCTTTGTTTACATTTTTAAAATCGTTGTCCATATACTGGTGCCGTATTATCTTTTTTGTCGTTCACTTTGCTCAGTTGCCAAATTAGGTCTAAAGACAATCCGTGCATTGTCGTAGTGTTACAGTGGACAACACATGTGAAAAAAAAAACCTGCCAACTTATCCGTAATTATTATTCACCAATACCGACCGCTAGTATGTACTCCTCCATACTCGATGTAATATATCCAATTAAAGAGGAAAAACACTCTGTAGTGCCACCTAGAAAAATGAAGATAAAGTGGATATTTTTGATTGTGATGAGATAAAAGCAAATAGATTATCATCAATTACTTTTTTTACTTGAAAGTATACAATGGCTTCCAATCACTCCATCTCATTAATAGATATTTTCGAGTTTGCAGCCACTGAGCACAACTGCACCTGAAAGAGGTTAATTATAAGTCATACAACCAATTCAACATCAGGAGAGGGGGGGGGTCTTGCTGAATTAGTTACTCTGGGCACTATTTTCATGCGATACTCTACAGCGTTATCTGTAATTGCCCGTGTACACCATTTGATTTTCAAGTGCTCTAGACTTCTTGTTGCTGCCTCCGATGCAAAAAAAAACACAATCCCGGCGTCGGTTATGTTGTCAAGGTCAAACAAATTCGATGCATCGTACTGTATCTACAGTACTTTGCTAAGCCTGATGACCAGTATGTCGTTTGTGACCATACCCATCTTGTCCAAGTAGAGATATTCCAGTGATGACGATCCTGATGTCGCCCTATTCTTCTGCTTATTGCTGCTATTGCGAAGTGTTTTAATGAAATTGCGTAAACCGGATTCTGTCACGTATTTGCAATATGTAATTGCCAGTTGCGGTCAAGCGGGTGGGAAGTGGCGATATAGTGAAAGAAAGCAAAAAGGTGGTATGCCGACGAAATTTTATTTATGCAACAGCGCGCAAAACGATAGTATAAAAGAATTTTATCCATTGTAACTGTTTCATTAACAATAACAGCAGCCACAGTATCATGGCTTTTGAGCATCATCTAAAACATGGCCAAACCATTGCTTTTCAGGATGTTTCCGTTCAATGCCTGGTGCCTTTTCGCACACCTTGGCCATGCGCAACAATAATGCTTCGTTCCACCACTCGCCATAGAGCTGCAAGCCGACTGGCTTGTTGTTGTAGAATCCTGCTGGTACTGTCACAGCAGGCAGTCCAGTGAAATTGGCCATTGTGACATAGACCATGCTGTGTGTCGTCTTGACCGTATCCGACATACCATAGGCAAATGCTTTCTGTGGAAGTTCAGGGGCGGTAATGGCAGTGGTGGGCAGCAGAATCAAGTCCACCTTGTTAAACAACTGGCCAACCTGGTCCATCACTTGTGTTCGTACTTGCTGAGCCTTGTAGTAGTCTTCGGCAGTGATTTGCTCCGATATAGCCATCATCACACGGGTCGATGGCGTGTACGCCGATGTAGATTTGCCTGCTGCTGCCTGTCTTGCAAAGGTATTCATTTCTGAACAGATAGTGATAGCGTGTGCTTTTATAAAAGATAGATTTACCGTCAATTATTTTTCAAAGTGTACGTGACCCGTTTCCTCTATTTCTTTTTAACATGTAGAAATAGTATTGCAACATACCTGCTCCAATAAGATCGATATCTGGAAGATCCACCTCCACAATCTTTGCACCAAGCTGTTCAAAGTACTTTTGGAATCGTCGAATATGAGTTAAAATGTCAGGCTCGCCGATTCTTGCTTCCCACTGCGGCACAGTCGCAATTGTAAGCCCTTCGAGACTTTCTGTGAGCTCGTATCCGCTGAGTGACACAGCCGGTTGGTACAACGAATTTGGATCCTTGTCATCTGGGCCGGCAACAATTGCATATGTCAAGGCCAAATCATCTGCTGTGGCAACAATAGGACCATAGACATCGAGCGTCTGAGTAAGAGTCACTATATCAAAAAAAGTAGTTGTTAATAATTGAAGACGATGAAAGGATGATAGTCAGAAAGTTAGCAAGTTTATCGAATGGTCGCATTTAACATGAGAGCTAAACTTACATCCACCGGTAGAAGGGAGACGACCGAAGGTAGTCTTGAGGCCGTACAGACCACAGAAGGATGATGGAATCCTGATTTGTTATGCAGAAACTGTTAATATTATAAACAGCGATCTTTGTATTTATTACTTACCGGACTGATCCTCCAGCATCTGCTCCAATACTGATGGGGACTAAGCCAGATGCTACGGAGCCTGAGCTTCCACCACTGGATCCACCGCATGAGCTGACCGAATCGTAAGGGTTCAACGGGGTGCCGGTATTTGGGTTTACAGTAAACACACTATATACAACGTTTTGATAAGCAACGTGAATGAAAGTTATTATCATCATGCATAAGACTTACTCCCAGCCTAATTCTTGCATAACAGTATGACCGAGGATAATAGCACCACTCTTTCGAAGACGCTTGACTACTTCAGCATCGCACCCAGCGGGCTTCCCATCATTGATGAAAGCAGAACCACCCTTGGTCTCAAAGCCTTGGACATCCATTTCTTCCTTGATTGTGACAAATACACCATCCAATTGGCTGAGTGGGTTTCCTTGGCCGTATCTTTCAGTGGATGCTGCAGCCTGATCCAAAACACGCTTTGCATCGAATGTACGCAACCAATGTCCTTTGGGGTTTCGTTCCTCGACAATCTTGAGTAACAATTGTGCGACCTACAATCCAAATTGACGTTGAGTCAGCGGTAATGTATGCATTGCTTTATCCCGACACACACTTCGCGTCGATATGTACCTTGGTGGGGGTAGTCTTTAGATCCTTATATGCCAGATGATAATCCCAGAACGAGTAAAAAGGCGATTTGCTTCTCGTTTCGCTGCTGAGTGTTGTCAGTGACGTTTCGGACGATGATTCCGAACTGCTGGAATGCTTATGCTTGTGCGGAATGGGCAGCAGTGTAGGCATTTCAACGAGTGTGCGATTCCGTAGATTGAACATGCGTGCATCTTTGGCAAGCTTATGTCCTACAAACGGTAACCAGTCAAGCAAGTTGGCGGCTGCGACCAGTGGTAGACCGTACAATGCAGGGGCTTCAAAAGGCTATGTAATGCTGATTATTTAATCATATGCCCAAAAAGATTATATGCCCAAAAGAATCCCGTAATACAATCGTACTGCCTATCAATGTCGAGTTTTATATGCAAGTTTATATATGTACCTTGTCACTCATCGTTTTTTCGCGTAAAATAAAGAAGTGAGAGATAAAGAGGTGCTTCCCAAGAGTACAGACATATTAAACGTTGTTAAATTCCCAGGATAGTCCTAGCTCAGATATTATTTCTATTTTTTGTGTGACATGGTAAATAATGCATCTTCTGGAGTAGCCTCTGCTCCATTATCAGAAGTATCACATGTATCCTTTTTTGCGTACACTGCAATGAGAATGTGTTGTGAACGCTATCTTTTGGTGGATCACCATCATTTAGCTGATATCCGTCTTTGACGGGCAACTAAACTTTGAGATGAAAGTAAATGTACATCGTTTTTTAAAGGAGACATTATGTGGTCTGTACCTGCTTTTAGTCAAGAAAGCGCATAATTGCTCTTCAAAGAGGTTGGCAGAAGTGGACTGTCGCTTCTTTCTCTTTAGGAGAAAGTGAGTGTTAAGAACGGACATGTCTCTTCCATATCAGTCGTTCGTGCCAAGCAAGTATTCCTGTAGAAAAGTATGGTAGTTTTAAATCATAAAAGTAGAATAAGTCATACGCGATTGATATATGTAATTCGACTTGGACTGCTACGTTGGAAAAACGAAACTTGAGCGATGCTATTGCTATCAAAAGAGGCGCGATTGTTTCAAAACGCCACTGAAAAGGTTGACGTCGGAGTTTGGGGAGAGCAATTTTAAACAAAAATGGTGGCAGCTCGCGTACTTCTTCACCTCCTCTTTTATTAATTCTTCAAAGATGGTGAGTAGCTGCATCCATGGAGCATTGGGAGAGGGAATTGCATCGAATCGCACCCGTATATCATGATGGATCCGTTTAATTTCTGAATGGATGGGTCCAACGGATGGATGGATGGATATGATGGAGGATGATGGATTTAATACTACTTTGGCAGTGTGGCGAGATTCAAATGGGGCCAATGTCAGCTAATTGACGTTCTTATGCGTATTTTTATAGTCTGCTGCCAGACCCGTTATCAACGTCCACTCCGAGACCGGCAAGGGCTCCGCCTCCACTGTCCCCTTGCCCGCCGTCTTCAAGGCTCCCATCCGTCCTGACATTGTCAACTTTGTCCACACCAACATGGCCAAGAACAAGCGTCAGGCCTACGCCGTCTCCGAGAAGGCTGGTCACCAGACCTCTGCTGAGTCGTGGGGTACCGGTCGTGCTGTTGCCCGTATTCCCCGTGTTAACGGTTCTGGCACTCATCGTGCTGGTCAGGTAAGAACAAGATCCAGATTCTCGTGGATTTTTGATCTTGAAGAATTCCGTTGGTTCCTAACAATAAGAATTTTTTTTTTACCTTCCATAATTATTTAGGCTGCTTTCGGTAACATGTGCCGTAGCGGTCGTATGTTCGCCCCCACCAAGACCTGGCGCAAGTGGCACATCAAGACCAACTTGAACCAGAAGCGTTTCGCCACTGCCTCCGCTTTGGCTGCTTCTGCTTTGCCCTCGTTGGTCATGGCCCGTGGTCACCGCGTTGAGCAGATCGAGGAGGTCCCTCTTGTCGTCAGCGATGCCGTCCAGACCTTGACCAAGACCAAGGATGCCGTTGCCCTCTTGAAGGCTTTGAACGCCTACGACGATATCGTCAAGGTCTCCAACTCCCGCAAGCTCCGTGCTGGTGTTGGTAAGATCCGTAACCGCCGTCACCGTCAGCGTCGTGGTCCCCTTGTCATCTACAACGAGGACAACGGTATCGTCAAGGCTTTCCGCAACTTGCCCGGTGTTGAGCTTTGCAACGTTCGCCGCTTGAACTTGCTCCAGCTCGCTCCTGGTGGTCACGTCGGCCGTTTCGTCGTCTGGACCCAGAGCGCTTTCTCCCTTTTGGATGAGCTCTACGGTACCTACGAGTCCCCCGCCACCTTGAAGAAGGACTACGTCTTGCCCGCTCACATCATGACCAACCCCGATGTGACCCGCTTGATCAACTCGGACGAAGTCCAGTCGGTTGTCCGCCCCGCTGGTGCCAAGAACAACAAGCGTCCCTTCACCCAGAAGAAGAACCCTCTTCGCAACACCGCCGTCATGGGCCGCCTCAACCCCTACGCCAACGTCCTCCGCAAGGCCGAGAAGAAGGCTGCTGCCGGCAAGGTCGCCAAGCCCACTGCTCAGAAGAAGAAGAGTGCCAACACCGCCGCTTCCAAGCAGTTCTTGGAGACTCTCCACTCTGCTTAAGTCTTTTGACTCCATGTCTTACGAGCGAAATAAAATGCTGCCGATATTTCTACGAGCATTGTTTTAAATTTAATCTTGCGTTTTGTTCCTTTTCATTTTTATTTGGATACGGTGTTTGCGGATTCTGGTAGTGGTTTTGAAAGTGGGCATACACTGGTTTTTGTATGTGAACTTTATGTGAGATTTGGTGATTAAACATAATTCACCATTTATATTTATTATCGATCATTATGAACTGTCCATGAAAATGCGCGAGCTTACACAGAACTCCACCAAATATTATGAACAGGATGGCTACTTCTTTTATAGTCTCGGCTGGCGAACGGGAAAGTTGGAATAGTGGCCCAAGTGGTCCTTCATTACACCAACTTGGATATCGTCCGTTACGGTTGCGGTTGCGGTCTTGTCTGTTCCACTTCGCACTATGTCAGCTCCACTCTCTCATCTCTTGAGACCGGAGACAGACTTAAATGTCAGTGCAAATCATATTCCAAAAAGAGATCACCAGCACCTCTACATATCAGCTAACAAACACAAAAAACAACTACATCATCATCAACAACGATTGGGCAGATGGGACAAGATCTGACGTTGTGCTTGAACCAAAAAGCAATGCGCTAAACTTGCCGCCTATTATCATTGAAAACCAGCACAATGTCAACGAGAACTTGATCAAACGGGCGACTGGATACAGCTTGCAAGCATTTAAGCGATACAGTCGCGAACCTTTACTTCTAATTATATGCCCTTTCCTCTTTACTGACTATTCTCAAAAATGACTACACAGTTAACGCGTGAGCAGCTTGTTTCAATTTTCCTTGCTGATTTTGGGCGAAAGAATGTCTAATCGTCTGCAAGGATAGCATTCAAGTCTGTAACACTACGACACCACTAGATCCATTTGTTATGCTTGGTCTCTTTCTTGGCGGAATGCTGTTTCCACTCGTTGCGAACAACTTACTTGGACCTGCATGGTCTGTGCGCGACGACAGAAAAGACCAGGACCTTCAGTAAGAGAGTAAGAGCGAATTGACAGGGAAGTAAAATCTGTCCACTATACAAAATACGGTAGTATTTTTTTTTTGCATCTACTATAGTAGGGCATATCGTACACCTTGTCTCATGACGTTTTCGAGTACAGTTGTTGTATATCCTCTTATCCAGAAGCGTGACGATACAGTAGACAACTGAATTTATAAGCGATCCTCACCTTATCACCATACATGTATGCTCGTCATATGTAGCCCAGACCGCCGGGTTCGATTCATACAAGCTGCTTCTTCAAATTAATTATGTTGTTTGCTTTGCTCGTACTTATCAAACCATCTTTCCAGTAACCCCATCTGAACTTGGCTATTGCCTACATGAAGACTATCATATTGTGGAAAAACTTCTTGGTCACTTGTAACTACTAGGCTTTTTTGAAATGGATTATTAGTTAGGCATGTGTTATATGTATACATTACTAATCATTATTAAACTTTCTTCTAGCATTGATTTGATCCAGGCCCCCTGAAAAGTTCTTCTGTCGTCCAACTGTTTGGAACGTACTGCAGCTTGCTTAACCACTGTTTACATAATCAATACTATCTTCATACCTAAGAATGATGCAGAGGACTTTCAATGGTATTATGTTAATTCTTTTAACCTTAAACACCTTTTTCTTTTATTATAATGCTTAGTATAAATCCAAATGATATTAATCATGTAGAATTGAAATCAAGTAGGATGGAAATTTCACATACCTTGACGGACAACATCAAGTGGGATGGTCTTGAATTACCCGTCCGTAATCATTCAGCTGCTAGTGTTGTAAGCGAATTTGCCGGCGGTATACACGTTGGTACTTTGGCTAAGAAAACCAGCGATGAGATTAAAATGGCTACCAATGCCCGCAAAGTAGTTTACCCGAATGCTGCGTTTACCAAGAAGCTTGATCGTGCCAAAGTCCATTGTCTTCTGTACTATGGTATGCAACTCCGTTATCTATTGTTATAGATAGATATTATGCTAATCAATGCTGTAACGCACTGTTGTGTAGATATGAATTTGAGTATGGATATTTTAGTTGAAGAAAAAAACAAGTACATAAAGAAGAATCTAATGCAAGTACTGATTTTTTATAATTATTTATTAATTACTACTAAAATCAATCCATCGAACGTGTAGATAACGCTTCCCCAAACTGAGGCTGACTTGAAGAAATTCGCAAGCCAGTTGGAATTATTATCACAATGGCGTGATACAGTGGTAAAGCATGCGGACGCTTTACAAAAAGAAGATTAATATGATCGTAACCATTCCTTTTACCCCTACCTGATGGCGCTTCTGATGAATTAATCTTCTTTGTCATGCCTTCTTTGAACTCCCTTTGAACCATTTACCACTTCTTTTTTCCACCTTTCAAACATCCGTCATCTCTTTGAGCTACTTTTGTAACATCAATCCACCAATCATTTCTTTAAATCACCTTTGCCTTTTGTTATAACATCCATCCATCGATTCTTTGACTTATATTTGTAACATCAACTCATTACATCCTGAGACTACCTTTGAAAATCCAATCGATATGCACCACATAAATGCACATAATACTATCCCCTTTACCTCCATTTTTTTACATACAAATGTCAGAATGATAGGACATGTTTTATAATAATGAAACATTATGTACTCAAGACACAATTATATTAGATACCATAGCATCCATCATAAAGCCACATACATTGTCGTCCCATGTTTTCAATAACTGAAGGTGCCATATATAAAAATGGTCATTTCAATGAGTCTACGACGCCTGCCTCTTGTAACCTTGAACGAAAAGATTCAGTCCCTTTTTTTTGGGGACTCAAACATATGGTATATTACTCAAATCTCTCTCTCTCTCTATTTTTTTTTTTTACCGAGTCAATAGTAAAAGAGTTTGTTGCAGCCATATGAATTTTGTTATTCTGCCAACTTATGAGATTACACTGCCAACGTAATTTTTCCTCCTGCCAATCTTGGAAAACACACCGCCAATCAAAAGAAACCTCCAGCGCTAAAATGAAAAAGATACCCCACCATCATGGGAAATAAGCTCCGCGCAACATTAGGAAATATCCAGTATGAAAAGACGGTGGGTGGTTTTTCGTCACACAGACGAAACGCTATCCAGATATTGAAGCCAAAGCTATCTGGTGATACATTCTTTTTTTTTATGGTGGTGATACATTCTTTAATTCTTCTTGTACAAAGTTACTATAACTGTAAAAAGCTTTGAAAGTTTCCACGGGATTCGTTTAAATTAAATCGGATCTGCGTTCATAAAAAGAAACACGTGTACTTTGTGGTAATGTTACGAGTAGTAACAGCAGGAACAACAGTGAGAAGCAGTGGCAGCAAAGAATTTAGAATTTTTACATGTTGTCTGAGACGATTTACGAGAGGGGTCAGTGACGCTGCAAGCAGAAGCAGAAAGCAGCAGCAGCAGCAGCAGCAGTATTTTAGGTAGTTTCGCCATTCTAATTGCGGGGAAACCATAGTGCGTAAGCTATATACCAACAGACGAGGCACACCACCCCCCAAAAAACGCAGCACTCACGGATTTTTTTTTGCGCGATCAAATTTAATATGGAAGCCATGAGATTAACGTTTAATACATGACAGAAAACAAGGTTGCGTTCTTATACCGTTTGAATTCTGGCACGCGAGGCATATAAAAAGGAAACACACATCTCACGCTAGCTTTTGGGTGTGGCTCACAGGACCAGAAAAAAAAGACATCTTATGTGCATAAACGTCCTGTGGCGATCACTTGCGCACGTAAAAGAAAGTCCGCGTGCACATCGCATCAGCAGCAACATAACGCGCTTTGCTTGTATAGGAACGATTACCCCGTTCCTCGCCCTGATCCGCTCCCCTCCCCCTTGATATTTTTTTTTTTAATCGGAGCCACTGTTGAGAGAGTTGTTGGGAATTATCGGTCCCACCTCTTGCTGAGCGGGGTGCCAATGTGCAAACTTAATTTGTGTTTTGCGCGCTCTTCTGTCCTCGTTGCTAAATTTCATATAAAACAGGATCGCCTCTTTCATTTCTATATGAAAGCTTATTTGCCACATTCGAGCACTTACGCACGTACCTGGGGCAATGAAACCCAATTCGCGGGATTGACGTCTTGCCTTGTCATCTCATACAGCTATATGTAAGGTGCATTGAACAACATGGCCAATCTTCGTTCTTGAAATAAGAAGCTGTTATGCGATGTGTATTACAGCTGTACCGCACTGCTTAATCTGCTCAGAATAAATGTTAGACGCACGATTATGTCTAACCAAAAGGAAAACGCAGGGTGCTACTTTGTCTGCTCGAAGCACAGGGACGAGTAGTGTTGTGTAACCCCTTTTCCTTTTGCTTTTGCTTCGTCACCTTTTCGCTTCCCCTTTCAGCCTAAGCATGCACTGTCGGATGGAAAAACGCGGTTGTACGAAAAACGCTGTTCTACGGGCGTAAACATTACTTTCCCTGACAAAACATCGAGGGTGAGGAAGCAAAAGCCATACAAAAAAAGTGACAGCACAAAAAAGAAAAATGCTGTAAAACGTACGAGGACAGAAAAGAACAGGATGACAGATAGTATAATCCGGAAATAGCACATACTGACAGAAATGACGCGCTGTGGGTAATTCACATGGAAACACAAAGATAATAGCGGATTCGCCTTGTGACATATTACGTTTAGGCGCACACACAATATAGTAAATAAGGCCAGTGATAGCGACAGTATTATAGGGTTAGTAGGAGAGAGTGTATGTATAACAGTGGTGCCTAAGAAAAGGGGAATCCAATTTCTGGTTCAGATTTAGCATTTAATAGCCGACAATACATCTACTAACCAATCCCCCATTCAATCCTTCGTATAAAAGTATCTCTTCCACATCTCCATTCGTTAGCCACCTTATTTTATCCTTCCCTACACCTTATTCTCTCAAAAAAGAGCCTTCTTTTCTTCTGAACGTCCAATACAGGCGTTCCTGTCCTTTTCTTCGAGTCCCGAAATTCCCCTTTTCATCATCTTCAATCTCGTCGAACTTTAACGATCTACTTTCCTTTACACATACATAATAAATCATGGCCAATAGCTTTGAAAAAGAGGCGCACAGAGCCCTTGCTATCAGTGGCCCTGATATGCATAGCCAGCAGCAAGATCAATCACTTTTGGATCGACAACAGAGCAACAATGAACCAGCTAGCGTGGAAAACAGCGTCATGGAAGAGTACTCTGAAAAACCACCACCACCGCCGCCGCGTCGGTTCTACAAGCAAAAGAAATACTGGATCATTTGCTCCATCATTACAGTGATCATTGTAGTCGTGGTCGTTCTATTGATCATCTACGTCTTCTTCCCCATGATCGCTCAAGCTTTGATGAACCAGTCCGGCATAGGCGTCGACAGTTCTGACATTACCTTCAACCCACCAGACAACCTCAACAAGCGTGATGGCGAACAGCTCAACATGAACAGCTCTTTTTACATGTCCATGACCAGCTCCATGAGCAATACCGGTCCTTTTGCAGCAGACTTGAAATTCCACAATCCTATCAACGTCTACTACAACGACACTCTGTTGGGTAACATTACTCTGCCCGACAGCAACATCGCCGGTGGCAAGGGTACCCTTCAGGCTGACACTCCATTCTTGATCCAAAACACAACCTTCTTTGCCGCATTTGCTCGAGAAATGTTGGCCAATGATGAATTCAAGTGGAAGCTCAAAGGCAAGCTTGATATCACTGCATTGACGAGGTAAAATACATTCTTATTCTTCTTTCACTCCCCAGAGCCAAGTATACAGATCAGCTTTATAAACTCATACATTTTTCTGGTCATTTAGAACTGCAACCGTACAACTTGACAAAGAAGTCACCATCCCTGGCAAGTCTTGAGAGCCTCGCTTCTATATATCTTCGTCTTATACCCCCCCCTCCTCATTTTGGGGCATCAAGCAAGTGATGCTAACTCTTTCCTACATGATTATAATAGGTATGGGCGGATTCCCCGAAGTCAGTATCCAGTCGTTTGAATTGCCTGGCGATGATCCAAATGGCGGTATTCTAGTTGAATTGGGCACCATCCTGAACAGCCCGTCACCTGTCGGCGTACAGCTCGGTACCATCAAGATGGCTATTGGCTACGACGGCGTCGATCTTGGCGAAGTCACTGCGGAAGGCATCAATTTGGCCAAGGGCAACAACAGCATTTTGCTCAAGGGCACCTTGCAGCCCCAAAGCGATCCCGCCAACTTGGAGAAGGTTGGCAAACTGTTCTCCAACTACGTTTCCGGTAAAATGTCGCAGACCACGGCCGTCGGTGTTTCGGCCGCTCCTGATGGTACCAACTCGATCGGCTGGCTCTCTGAAGGTTTCCAGTCTGTTCGCTTGAACGTTGGTCTTGGTGTCGACAAACCTTTGGACATTATCAAGTCAGTCAGCATGGGCTACCTCGATCTGGCATTCAGCGCCGACCAGCCCTATGCCCCCGTCTTGTCTGCTCCTGAGATCAATGCCGGTTTCCAGATTCCATTCGGTTTCTCCTTGGATATCACTGATGTTAAGCAAGATTTGCAGATGGCCAACAACGAGACTGGCAGTTTTGCTACCATCTCGGCTCCTTTCGTGCCTGCTCAAAGCAACCAAGAATCCGGAGAGCTCAAGTTTGCTATGAACAATGATACCATCCAAGCAATCGGTGGTCAGGAACCTGCTTTCAATGATTACACCTATGCTTTGACTGCTCAAGAATCGTACACGTTCCAGATCAAGGGTGAAGCCACGACCAAGACGGTGACACCCATCGGTAACATTACCTTGGGAGGCATCACGCTCGATGTTCCTACTAGCTTGAAGGGTTTGCAGTTCCTCAACAGCACCCCTACCATCATCAACAGCTTGGACGTCACTGGTGGCGAGACTGATCACATGAACTTGGCCATCAACCTGTCCATGAGCAATCCATCTGATTTTAGCATTTACACTGGTGATGTCTCATTCGACATGAAGGCTGATAACACCAAAATTGGTACTGTCACCCTGAGTCAGCTCAAGTTGAACCGTGGCGACAACGCTATCGTTGCGACTGCCGCCTTTGATCCCAAGAGCTCCACCGTTGGCCAGAACCTCTTGTCCACTTTTGTCATGGGGAGTGACAACAATGTTAATGTCGCCGGTAATGAGAACTCGACTCCCATCAAATCCTTGATTGGTGGTTTATCCGTCATTTCGATCGACTCGACTCTGCCCGGTTTGAAGGACCCACTCATCCAAGGTTCCAAGTTGACCGTGTTGAATGACACGCTTGACACTGGCATTGTCAATGTCCAAGTCTCCATTGCCAACCCCTTCACGGCTGGTTTGTCCATCACGTCCGTCAAGTCTGCTGTGACGTACTCCGGTATGCCTGTCGGTAACATCAACCAAGACGTGTCTGGTAACCCCATCAACATCCCTGGCCACTCCACTGTCCAGTCGACTCCTTTGGACATGACCATGAACTTGGAGCCCGGAGCGGTTGCCCTGTTATTGCGTGATCTCGCTGTCAAGAAGAACCTCGATACCCGTCCCTTGGATGCTCTTTTGACCATGGGCGGTTTCTCGATTCAGGGTCAAGAAGAGATTTCTGCTGATCCTTCCTTGTTCGATGGCTTTGACATTTCCAAGTTTGTCATGGAAGCAATGTCAGTCTTGGCTGTTGACTTGCAGCTTGAGTCTGGCTTGACCATTGGCCAGTATGTCAACACTCTTCAGTTTGCCCAAAGCAATGTCGCGACCGCAACGGATGAAACCGTAACCAAGTTGATTCCTGTCGTTGGCCAGCCTATTGTCCAACAGATTGTCGACGGTTCCGATTTGGCTTTTGAGACCATCACCCTCTCCGAGCCCACCAATTCCGGTTTCAAAGTCCAGATGGTCGGTTCTATCAGCAACACTGGCCCCATGGCTGCTTCCATCAGCTTCGCCCAGCCTTTGACCATCTCCTGGGAAGGCCGCGAGCTAGGCAAGGTTTCCATGGATACTATCAATACCCAGCCCAATGTCGGCGCCACGTTCAACGTCAGTGGTGAATTCTCCATTGCAGACGCCAACTACATGGGCGACTTTGCCGAGTTCATGATCAACAATGATGAATTTGTCTGGGACATTAACAGCATCGAAGGTGTTAACGTCGATGCTATTGGCTACCTGTTTACCAACATCAACATGACCAAGCAAGTGACGCTCGGCGGTGCCAAGGGCTTCAAGGACTGTGTCACCATCCACTCGTTCGACTTGCCTGCCAACGATCCTGCTGGTGGTATTTCGCTTACTTTGGACGTCACCATCCAGAACCCCAGTCAGGTCGGATTCTTGCTCGCCGGTGCTGGTTTCGAATCATTCTTCAAGGATATTCAGATTGGCGTCTTGGCCTCTGACGGTGCTGCCAGCTTCCCTCCCAAGGGCTCGAGCGACATGACTATGAAGGGCCGTTTGATCAAACAAGATTCTCAAGAAGGCATCGACGCCATCACCGAGGTGTTCGCCAACTTCTTGTCTGCTCAAAACTCGACTTTGACCGTCAAGGGTACCTCTGGTTCCGGTCCTCAAGGCCAGGTCAGCTGGCTGACTAAGGGCTTCCAGAGCTTGAGCATCGAGAACGTCACCTTGCCTGGTCCTGAAGTTGCTCCCGAATTGATTCCTTCTATCACTCTCAAAGACATGGAGCTCGATTTCACTGCTGCTGACTATGCTCCGATCATGGGCTCAAACTTGGTCAACGCTCAGCTCAAGAATCCATTCGGTTTCCCTCTTGGTGTCAGCTCGCTTAACATGGACGTTGAGGCTTCGTACCAGAACAACCGTGCTGCTCATATGGATGTGCCCGATGTCCCGTCCACCACTGATGCCAATGGTATGATTACCACCGCTTTCTCCGGCGTGCCTTTCGAAGTCTACGATGATGCCCACAAGGTCTTCAATGCGTTCACCAAGGCTCTTACTGAAAGCTCCAATGTTACTTTTGGTATGTCTGGTATGGCCAACTCGATTGCTGAAACCGCTGTCGGTCAGCTCAAGCTTACCAACATTTCCTACGATGTTTCGAGTAGCTTGTCTGGTATGTTACTTTTTTTTTATCGATTTCTTTTCCTAGAAGACATGAGCATGAGCTAAAAAAATCACTACTTTTTAACAACAGGTTTCAACAACTTTGATGGCAAAACCACCATTCTCAAGCAAGCCGTCACTGGCGGTACTCCTGAGGTAAAATAGCTTGTTTACTCAATAGCTGTGAGCATGACAACTAATGTCTACCTTTCAATGATAATGTAGTACATTGAAATCACGTTGACCGTTGCCTTCAACAACCCCTCGAACATCACTATCACTATTGGCGCTATTCAGTTCGAGTCCATCATGAACGAGCATCAGACCAGCGTCGGTACCGTCAAATTGCAAGACGTTGTAATCAAACCTGGAAACAACACCTTTGACTGTATCATGGAAATGAAGAGTTCCAAGAAGGAATACGTTGACCAGATGGTCTCGATTTACATGACGAACTCTCTAGCACCGTTGACTATCTCAGGCACCCAAGACTCAACCAAGATTGCTTCGATCCAGGATGCTCTTTCGACCGTCCGTCTTGGTACTGCCATGCAAGGTATTGTCAGTAACCTTGTTGAGCGTGCTGATGTCGAAGCCAAGGCCGCTGTTGTGCTTACCAAGAAGGCCAAGACCTGGGTCACTTTGAACAATCCCTTGAATACTCCTTACACCATCCAGAAGGTCTCGGTTGAAATCGAGAACGAGAACGACGGCAAACCATATGCTATGGGTACCATTGATTACGAGTTGCCCAACCCAATTACCGTCAACCCTGGTGAACAAAAGCGCTCGGACGAATGGCCTGTTGATGTTGATGCTAACGCTCTTCAGCTGCTTGGATTGATTGGCAATGGTGAGATCTCCATCAGCTTGCGCCAGAACGTCACTGTCCAGGTCGGCGATACTGATGGTGGTTATGCTTCCTACTTTTACTACTATCAAAACAACGTGCCTTGCGGTTTGGATATCAAATTGTTGGGTATTTCTTTGCCCGACGATGAGGACTTCAAGAAGGATGACAACTCTACTTCGTCCTCGGTCGAACAAGCTGCTTCTAGCGCTGCTCCTGCTGCTTAAAAAAAAACTACTACCATCGTTACTTTATAACTTGTACTATTTAAAAAAAAACCTGTTGTAATACTTTTACTATTTTCCTTTTTACCTTATCTTTTGTAATGACGAAGTCGTTTCTCCACTCTTCCTTCTATTCATTCCTTTTCCATTTTTTGGCTTCTCTTCTACACCTCTCTCCTTCTTAACCTTTAACTCTTTACTTCCGTATACCATAATCTATGTTACACATATGCTGATATAGATGTTACGTTTGTCGACTATTTGGTCGCTTTTAAATTAAAATTTATAATACTTATTCTCTTTCCTTTTTCTGCTCAAGAACTAATTCTGCCAACTGTACAAAGGAGTCTGCATTGATATCGACAAAGTCTAACTGTTTTTTTGGATCTTCGCTTGGACGGCAAACATAAGCTGTCTTTAAACCGTACTTCTTGGCTGCCTGGAGATCGTATGGATGAGCTGCGACCATGCATACTTGTTCCGGTTTCAATTTCAGCATTTCCGCAGCCCCCAGATACGCCTTTGGATTTGGCTTGTATGCTTGAAACAACTCGGCCGACATGATCATATCAAAGGGCATTCCACCATATTTCTTCATGTCGAGCAGTAGACGTACATTGCCATTGCTTAATGTTGAAGTGATGGCAAAGGAACTGAGTTTTTCCAAGCCAGCATTGGTATCAGGCCAGGGCGATAAACGGTGCCAGCACAGGTTGAGCTCGACGCGTGAAGCTTCGTCAAGGTCGATGTTTTCTTCAGCTAAAATACTATCCAAGATGGTGCGATGGATACTGTCCAAATCTGGGAAAACGTCAGGTTGTGACTCTGCATACGTGCGAACGCTTATATAGTATTCCTGTCGCCATCTGTTGGCCAACGCAACGTAGTCAGGTGCAGGTGTGGTCTTGATAAAGTGTTCAAGTTCCTTGACAACAGATGTCCGCCAATCGACACATGTTCCGAATACATCAAATACAAAACTGTATATAAAAGTTTAGTCTCTACTTGCTTTGCCGAAAGCATATCACGTCTCAAGTGGTATAAGATGCTAATATTTACGCTTGTGCGTCTGAGAGCGACATGATGCAGAGTAAGAGAAAGATGGTGGTAAATAAGATGCCGTGAGAGAAAAAGTAAATAGGAAAGAAATATGATTTATAATAGTGTTTATGTGCTTTATATACTAAAATACTAAAATGTCAATTAGAAATGAAAATTTACACGCTAGGACGCCGCTTTGCATTGTATTTGAGCACTGCCTCCTCGATCCGTTTGAAGAACCATTCTCTGACAGTCTTATCCGGAATCACCAAAAATGGCTCCCAACTCATACTGCGCAGATAGATTGCAATACCCGTGGACTCGGCTTTGATAGTCTGAATTTCCGTAAAGGGTTCTTGCCACTCCACAGCTAACCGACTGGTGCGAATCAGCATTAATCGGTTGGATGTAAGCATGGCCACACGCTCATCGCCGCTTTGCACTGGGCAGTGTGCTATGTATACATCGTTAAAATATTGACCCCGCTCCACATCCTTGAGCCACACTTGGCCTTGTGCTTCACGGACAGAGTATGGCTATATGATGTTTTATTATTTTGGTGAGTTCAGCATTCGTCATTGTACAACACGAATCCTGTTTACCTTGAGGATACCATCAGGTCCAATGTACCGTGGAAATCGGATCCGTACAATATCATTGGTATCTGTTGGTGTTGTGGAGTTACGAATGCCTTGACCGACATTACTGGCCATATCGAATACGCCGCCAACGGGTTTCGCAACAGCACTAAATGCCAAGGTAGTTTTCAATAAGAGTCTCTCCCTCTTTCCTCCTGTTACGATATACACTACATGCTTGATACTTTACCCTAATATACCCTTGTACATGCCCGTAGCAAAACCACCAACACCACCTTTTCGGGCACCAGCGATGGGTTGTGTCTATACAAATACATCCATCCGTCAAAGTGTTATTGTCAAAACAAGAACAACGATAATAATACAATCATGTATGTTGTATGTATGCATGTGTACAGATGCCTAACTTACCACTAATCCGGTCGCGCCACTAATCAGGCCATTAGCAAAGTAATTGGCACCTTGTACAACACCAATAAAAGCGTGTCGTGGTCGGTTACGAGTCATGTTCATACGTCGACGGTCCAAATACTCGCGATCCATTGCTACGGCTGATAAGCCTTTGCCCATACTAGCCGTAAACTTGGAGAAGCTGTCTGTAAAACCAAATACACTCTTGCGGAGGAGCCCGCTGAAGCCCTAAATATAAACATAAACAACGCGTTTATGGTTAATATCCCATGATTATATCTGCATTTGCATGCATAATTTCGTAAAAGTCCGGATTCTCAGTATACTTACCCTCGCAATACCAATGCCCAGATCCTGCGGTCGATCGCTATAGATGAATCCTTGCCATGACTCGTAGTATAGCTCGGCTACACCAGAACTCAAGTTGTTAAACAAGCCGATCGGATTGCCAATAATATCTGCAGAGCCAAGCATCATATGGAGTTGATTGACAAATTGGTTGCTATAGTGAATGTAGATTCGGTTTGCGAGATCAGGTCCGCTTGCTCGTAAGTTCTCTACAGCAAGTGCATTAAATCGTAGTGGTGCGGCCTAATGTATATATTATGCACGCATTAATTTACTTTTGTCGCTTCCTTTCTCGCGTACATTTGATCCTCGTACGAATCTTTAATAAACAAGAGAAAGCCATACCTGAATACTGCCAATGGCCATTGTCAATACATCGACAATAAAGAACTGTGATCTATAATAACCCATCCGCCACGCCGCGAGGATTTATCAATGAGTACTCCAAGTTTGAGACAGCAGTATACGTTGAAGAACAAAATATAGTACCTTGTCTGATCATCGTACTTGTCTGTGCGCATAAAAGACAAGTCAAAAGTGATGGGTTGAATATTCAGCATCTCAAAGTAGAGTTGGGCAATGTTGTCTTGAGGAGTGACGTCTGGAATGTCGGTACTGAACTCCCATTGTTTGCTAATGGTTTTACTGTTAATATAATTTTCTATGTTGCCAACAAAAAAAAAGACTTACGCATCATCAGCTGTATCATTCCAACCCTCTACACCTAGGTCCACAAAGTCAATGACCGCGAAAATGAACTCGGAATCCAATTCGACACTCATTTCTTGAAGCAGGACCGAAAAGTACTTGAAATACAATACGCCATGTGCTATATACAGAGAAACAAAGATCAGTATCAAGATATACTATATAGAATCCCCACATTTAGAATTACTAACAGTTATCCTTGACTCGATCCAAACCAAGCTGGAATGTTGGCAAAATTTCATTCTTGCCCTCAGCCGTAACATTGGTTGGGTACAGTAGGATCGGATAGACAGCATCATACAGTTGGTTGTCAATTTGAACCCACTTGATATTCCAGCGAACAGATTGGTACATGTTGGACTCGGTAAACTTGAGTTCAAGACCACGGAACGTAACGTACGCAATCTCTTGCAAGCGTTTGTTGACCATTGAGATACCAAACTGGGACATTTTGAGTTCAACCACAAAGTGAATGACAGGTTTGACGTCCACCGTTTCAAACCCTTCTCTTGCGACTGTCTCTTGTGTTTCTTGGGAAGATGCGGATGCGAGTGATACTTGCGAGGTCAATGGTCTAAAATAACTTTGTGATTGGTTGTACGGAGTCAGGTAGAGGATTTGTGTGGATTGGCTCGTTTTGATATCTATGGCAGTAATGGCCTGACGTCCGTCGCGGCCCACGTGCCGGAAAGGAAGTTGACTGCCAATTTCTTGCATGTTGATGCTTCGTTCACGACCGCCAATGTTAAGAATGAGCTTCTTGTCTTTGACGGCTGGCATATCCCATGAGTATGGCACTGTCTGGTGTGCAGGTAAGCGATAGCGCCGCGTTCGATGATTGCGCATTCGATTTTCCGTGTAGTCGTCGCGAAGAATGACAATCGGATCCTCTTGATAGAAGGTCATGTCTTCGTCTGTCTGATTGACAATACGGTATGGCCAAGCGTCCGATGCTTCTCTGTTAAGTATAATAAACACCGTGGCATTCTCCAGAATGGTTGTCACACGCATTAATACAGAAGTGGATTCATCTGCACTTTCGAGTCGCACATGAACAGTACCAATATCTTGGATATTGAATGGAGCAGACCTGAGGATGATAAGGCGTGTTACTTAGTGATCATTATCATTACGTCTTCCTCTGTTCTTATTTTTTTCTTACCAAGTGTTATTGATACCCGGAAGCTTGATTGAAAGTTGCTTTTCTGCATTCTTTCTCAGGTTATATAAGGGTATACGCCGGTTTGATCCAAGTTCATGGTCCACGCGAGACTCTGGTTCCCGATACCGTACATCGTCACCCATTTGGTTGCTGAGAACAAATCGTGGTGTAAATGTAATGACCTTTGTAAGCTTGTACTATATATAAATTTCATTGTTGTTAGTTCTTTCTCTAGGATATTATTTGGTTTTATTAGCAAGAATTACCTTTCCTTGACCTTCTTGAACGCTGATTCCCAAGTGAACTTCCTCAGTGCCGTTGACTTTGGGTAAAGTCACATCTTGAACACTACCAACTGCTTCTAAACTCAAAGGCTATACTAGAATCTTTAGCCATCTTTCCCCTCACTTTTTTTTTTTCAAAAAGATAGATCGTACCTCACTCCAGTCAGATCCAGATACTTGTATCAGCGATCGATTGCTATTTTCCAACTTGGGATATGAGAACATGAAAGGTTCCGGCTAATAGATTATTATTGTTAGATTTGGACATACATTCATCTTCTGCGAAGGTAATCAAGTACTTGTATCTATTCACCTTATTAAGCATTTTCCAAATACTAGCACCTTGTGGACCGGAGAACATCGTGCTCTGCCATGCTACCTTTGGCTTGAAAGCGATCGCACAACCAGACTTGTTCATCATCACGTATGGACAGTAAATGACATATTTGCGGGCACCGCCTGAATCCGGCATGTCACTACATAGAGGGAAAAGCAGGCGTTCAGATAAGCGAAATTATTCACTTTTAGTCACTTTTAGTCACTTTAATGCATACATTGTATTGATTCGAAGGGTCAACCGAACGTTATCCTTGCTTGTGAGCTGCAACGAATCGTCAATATTTAGATCCTCTGTGCCTCTTGTGCTGATGATGGCAAACTCACTGCTGCTGTATTCTACAATAAGAGAGCAGCAGAAGTCAGAGTTAGTCAACGCTTTTGTAAATTCCAAACTATAGAGAGGGAGCGGTGCCGAATATTTACCACTATCGGGCATATGAATATTCATCAGTAGTAAATGCCCATTCTCGATAACATGCAATGGCGTAGTTCCTCCTTTACGCAAAAATGAGCTGAAATCTTGTCCAGAAGTTTTGTCAATTATTCTAAAGTTAAAATCGTATGGTAGCAAGTTTTCAACTTCGATAGGTGCGCTCAACCGGATCTTCATGTTAGGATATTGGCTATCCATTGGTTACGTTAATGGGTTAGTGCATACGTTAAATATAGACATACTTGCGGTTCTTCTTACCCGTAATAAACATCCTTCTTAGCAAGGCGTGCATGGATCTGGAAGATAAATGGCGGCATATCACCATCGCGTGCCTTGCATTGAATTGTCTTGGGTGCTGGGTGCGTAGTGCTCGCGAAATTTTTCCAGTGAAGAGCATGGTCGATCCATGTGTACCCGAACCCAGCTAGATAGATAGTATGGTAAAAGTGCATGTTAAGAGAAAAAATCAGATTCAATTAAATAATGAGAACAAAATATGGTATCAAACTCACCGTCAGGCCTGATGCAGAATCGGTTGTGATAGGCCCGTTCAATAGGAAGTGCATAATCTTCTCCCGGTGCTATTTTGAAAAAAACGATACGGGGAAAGAACATGGGTTCTCCAGTCAGCATCACTAAGTACGAGCATATATACAAGATATATATGTCTCTATTCAAGAAGAGGTTGGATTATACGTACGAATCTTTTTGACAGGACCATCCAATTTTTGGCCGGCGTCATCCAAGAGACCAACTTCAACTGGCAACAGCGTTCGGTTCTCGATGACCATGGCAGATCGAATAGTGACCACCTTGAGATTATTCACAAGTTTGACATCAAAAACCACTCGATGCTGCACGTCATTAATTCTTGGACGTAAGCTATAAGTATGCTCGCCTTGGATATCCACTGGTACATTGCGAAGGGTTTCCCACAAGGCACCATCAAGCTGTACACTAAGCATGTTGTTGGTGGATGTGGTTGTCTAACATATTACAACAATTGGGTGAATGATGGTCCTTTAGCAATATTTAGAGTATCTTCTTATCTAGCTTGTTCCTTTGCTTACCTCACGTCGCTCTCGCCAATCTTCAAACCACCATGGCATATCTGCACCATCATCGAGCGTTTTCACCACCATCTTTTCAGGACTATCGCGGTTCCATACATGAAGACGATAACCAGTGCAGTTGCGCAATCGATAAGGTGCAACAGTACCCCGCTCACCACTGTATGCTGCTTCCTTTTGTTTGTCCCATAACATAAGTGTCGCCACGGCACTTTCCAAAAACGTGTGTGTAATGTTGGCATTTAATGCTCGGTTTGAGATCAACTTGATATGTAATGGATCCTGTACAGTCTTGCGATCCAGCTTTAAATCAAAACTCCAAGGTTCCAGTAATGGTTCCCAGTGAGAGTTCTTGGTGTTAAAGTAGTTCATAAACATTGAAAACGTCACATTGACAGAAAGCTATCATGATTGCATCGTAAGAAATGGGTGGAGGTTAGAACAAGTACAAAGAGGTGGAAAATAGTGATTTATGTTATGCTTACCGCTCGAGACCAGTTGGCTACATCGACACTGAATGGTTTGATGTTGATATCCACCATGGGCATCTCATGAATTTCTTCAATAAGAATGACCTGTAAGCCTTGGAAAGATGCTCGTAACTACAGTAAGTGTTAGTAACTACGTCAATGTTTGCGTCGTGGGTAGACTCATTGGAACATGAACTTACAGATTCATGCATCAAAGATTGTCCGACTGAACTGACAATCTGCTGCATTTGTTGGTCAACAATGCTTGCACTAGCACTATATAGCTCGTACGCCTTGTTGAAAATTCCAGTAATAAGCATAGCATCCCGTGACGACAAACGAAGCACAAGCGCTTCCACATCAATCTCCAGTTCTGTCATTGGTCCTGTTTGACCGCTATTGTTGTTCATTGACAAGGAAACGTCAAATGTTTGAATAAACTTGAGCGTCGAGGTCTGACGCATATCCATACGACACAAGAACATGCCGACCTGTCGCACTACAAGTGCCATCACAGCTTGTCGTGAAAACATGACCTGTTCTGCTGACAGTACCACAGCTTCGGAATCAGTTTCATCCGGAGTGGCAAGCAAGATGAACTCTGGATTGTTAATATGGATACGATAATAGATTTCCATCCCTTGTTCCTCTTCATCTTCTTGTTGTTCTTGAGCTTGTTGCTGCTTTTTCGATGGCGATGATACTGCTTCGTGTGGTGTCTGGTTTCGTCGTCGATGTGCTTCGAATGGTCGCATAAAAAAGTTGTACAGCAAGAATGTGTGGTCCAATGAAAGGACCACCTTTGGATCCGCCACCGTGATCATGGCAATGCCATGGCGCGTTGGGTTGGGTGCCGAAATATCGAGTTGCATCTCAAATTGATGGCCATTTTCGGTGACTGGCATAATGTGCTTGAATTTGCTTTTGATGTTGGGACGGGTATCGTCTATCGTCATGGAAACGATCTTGAGTGCAACAGACATGGTATCGTCCTTTTGCATCAAGATTTGGAGTGTTGTGTCGTTCAAAGCAATGCCTGATAAACCAACAAGTGCCAACGCGTCGGCTGTGTTCGTTGGATCAGACATGTACAGGTTTAAACCAATTGTTTTAGAAGCAAGAGACATCTTTAGCCGAGGTTGCTGTGCCTTTTGCTCCTTTTGCTTTTGCTTTGCCGTCGTCGATACTTTGTCAGGGACAGAAGGCGGCGGCGGTGAGGTGATAGATTTGCGTAATGATGGGCTCGTTTCCTTCCTTCGCGGCAAAGGTGGCGGTGAAGGCGTCTCTGAACTTTCTTCAGTTGCCGGTCCACCGCCAAACACGCGCGAAAACATATTGGCTGCATCCATCAAGAATGTATACTGACGATCGGTCAAATGCATGCGAATATCCGTCACGGAGCTGCAGATGGTAATGTCCGGTCGTGGCTCTGCTTGTGTCGAAAGCGCTTCATGAATACTCTTGATATCAAAGCTGAGATCGATATCATCAATAATAGGTAAGGTCTGCAAGTGGATCTGGCCTGGGCTACGACCGGGATGGTAGTATTTAGACGTCAAATTGATGGCGCGCACATCAGCCTTGATAACATTCATGCACATATCTTGTTCCGTCATAAACGTGTTGGACGTCTTGATCTCACCCAAGTGAGCGACAACCACATCAAGCGGATGCTCATGCATTTCGGGGAACAGAACAACAGGCGTCTGGATCACAATATCGAAATGGGTCTTGGCCGCAGATTGTTGAAACTGTTGCGCAGATTCGAGTGCTGCTTGCCGTGCTCGGTCATAAACGGATTTCATGGCTGCAAATTTGCTTAGAAATTCGAGCAGCTGTCGCACGGGTTGCTCCAAAAATGTGAATTGGGCCGATCCCATTTTGATATAAAGTGACTGGTCGTATTCGTCATCGACAAACGTTTCGAATCGCAGATCGATTAGCTCTTCACCTTGGATCGTCAGCAGTTGACGGCTGTCGTACGACTTTTGCTGTTGTGGTTCCGCTGGTGGACTGAGGTCATCGGTGAGCGTAAAATTGGCAAACTTGGCGGCGACCTGGGTCGTGCCGTGAGCCATAACAGTTGTCATGTCTCCATGAGAAAGTTCAGCGGTAGCGAGACGGACACCGTCGTTATTTAGAATGAAATTGACACTATCGAGCAAAAGCGTCACACGTATGCTTTGTTGTTGCTGTTGCTGTTGCTGTCGTTGATGGCTGTCGCTGTTTTGCTGCTGAATCTTTTGTTGTTGCGGTGAGTTCTGTACTGCTCGAGCATCCATGATGAGTTCATGGTCCACAAACGTGTTGAGCACAAAGTTGTACAGGGTAAGGACCGAGCTTCGTGTAACAATAAAGTTGAGCGTCGAGAGAGCAACCGTAGCTGTCTGATCCATGCCCTTGTACTTGTCATAATACTCGGGACTTGACTTGTCCACCCGAATGTAGTCTACGTGGACAAGCTCCTTTGCATCGTCCGATTGGCTTGCATTGTGAAGCACTTCTTGATCAGATGTGACCAGGTATTTGAACTCGTTGCCATGTTTCATACGATCTGTCACATCAAGAGACTTGAGCGATACCTCAATACGCATGTCATAGGGACGAAGACGGTAGTCAACAGACAAGTGTCGGAGCACCAGGTCGCACAGCAGCGTTTCTCGACCATCGTTGGATGCCTGGAAAATGTTGGCAGATGCTTGATCCACCCTGAAATTCAACTCAAAGATCCGCTGGTGCACATTGGCTCGCTTGCCGGAAGCTGCTGTGCTGTGCGACACCAATGTGCTGCTCCCTTCCTCATCGCTTTCACTATCGAGCACGAGTTCCTTTTCAGCTTGCTCCCACAACCGAGTATGCATCAGTCGGTTATTGTAGTCATCCCCTTCATCTGCCTCGTTTTCTTGTTCCTGATCCCGATTGTAATTGAGAATTCCCGACGCTTCGATCAACCGTGGGATTTCCATCAGTATCCGGTACTTGATGTCAGAAAAGTTGACAGCGAGCAATGGCAAGTGACCCGATACTTTGAGATTGGTGAGATCGGTCGAGTTTCGAATGATGCACATTTCCACCAGGAACGTCATGTCAATACGATCCACAAGGTGCAGATAGTTGTTTTCTTTTTTCGGGTTCCTGACTTGATCCATGCAGGTTTCGACCGATTCGCCGATCAGAATCTTAGTTTGTGTCAGGTGAACCGCAAATTTGTCGTACATGAGCGATCGTAGTCGTACATAGTCATCGCTCGTATAATCAGTGGCACGTTTGGTTTTGATTTGCTGTACGACTTCGAGTGGCGCTAGATCGCTTTCGACATTAATGTGACCCGCATCAATGACGATGCCGCGCGACTTGACAGCCGTGCAGCTAAATTACACTTTCAGTCTCATTTCTTCATCTATTGCTGTTCTTCCATGCGATAAAAACGTGCACTTACTCTTCAGGGATAACAATAACAGGTGCATCCATATCAACTTTGAGATCAAGCGTGGTATGTTGCTCCAAAGCGTATTCCAGATTGACTCGCGTTTGGTTTTTGATATCTTCAAGCGTGTCTCCCGCAACTTCTATGAGAGCATTGATACTATCGGCACTTGTCTCTGGTGGCGTGAAAAAGTCAATCACCTCGCGAATAATGAGAGGATTATAGACAATATCAATGTTGCGCATCACTAACGCGACTCCATTATCGGCGCGACCATCAAGCGGCTTGTGCTCGAATACCACCGAAAAGAATGGATCTTGGATCGACGAATACTTGAGTAATTGTGGATCAACATTGGATCGTCGACGAAGACTTTTCCTTTTCTCTTCATTGATAGCATCATTATCACCTTCGCTCTTCTCTTCATGTTCTGCTTTCTCCTTTGCGCCAATAAGCTGTCGATATTGCGTGTTTCTCGTTACACCATCGTAAAGTCGCAAATCACCTAATGCCGCTGACGCCTTGAAAGAATCCACATATTGAATTGCACCAAGTATGACTGTGTCAAAGATGAGGGAAATGACCTCGGCGGGTTGTCCGGCGTGTGGATTGCGTTTGATGGTAAACGAGCCTGTGTTCAAAGTCGTTCGAAGTGATAACTTCATAGTCTACAAGATAATAGAACCGAGATTTTATTATTACATATGCATAGATTTCTATAAAACTGTGTCAGTACAGAAAAAAATTCTTACATCTTTTGCGAAATCCACAGCCTCTATTGCAGCAGCCTTGTCTTCATCATATTCAATGGCGTCATAGAATTCTTGCTTTTGCTCATCCGTGATAACCAAATCTTGATTTGCCTATATTAACAACAAAATATATTAGTTTTGGCATTTCCTGAGATGCAAAAAGGCAGAAAGAAATGATCCTATTTTTACCACTTGGCCGCTTGCTTCATCTGGTGCCCCGCCATACCACCATGAACCTAACCAACCACCCGTAGCCGCTTGTTGAGCTTGAGCAGCTTCTTTACGTCTTTTCTCTTCTTCCGCTATTATACATTCAATGAAAAACATCAATATTTTTCTTCAAGATCCATCCACTGCGTGCCTTCATTTCCCTTGTCGTATAGAAAGGATTACCCCCCTAACTTACCAAGAATTGCCATTTCACGCTTCAGCCGAGACTTGGCTCTACTACGGTAGAACCGTATATCCTCATAAGATAGTCGGTGTTCAAGCTCATCCAACATATCCAACTGTTCCTGTGATGCTCGATTCAATTGGCTGTCAACATAGCAGTCAATATACGCGAGTCGATCATCCCTTCGTTTCTTGAAATGATCCCAAGTCCAACGATAATTCCGGTCGTGGATTTCGGACAATACAGCATTGGCAGCAAATTGAAAGTATCTTTTTGGATTCGTTCTTGGCGTAACCCCGTGTCCAGGATGAAGATGGAGATACTATATCGGTTTGGTTTTTACGTGCCTTTTTATATACCCTTTCTCATATATAGAACAATCATTTTACCTTTTGTTTCTTCAAGTAAGAATGGAACAGGTCCACCATCAAAATGGTATCACGATATTGCTCGTCGTCGATAACAAAGGATAATTCATCAAATAATAGCGTTGCATCCACTTTGGCGACATCACCAGCAAATTGTTTGCTCATTTTTATCTAGAAATATACACAAATTCTCTCGTTTAGTCATCCTTCTCTGCTGTTGCTTTTAGTGCCATTATTAAAAGATATCCCGCCGTGTAACGCAATTTACCCGTCCTGTTCCAGACACTGGTTTGAGGATATACTGGTGTTCAGAAGGAATATGTGCTTTTGTTGCAATCTAATGTTCTTGATGGGTTAGAAAGACATACCCATGGAATCCTGCCAGTACTCTCGCTGTTCTTATGAATCCTCGTAGTTTACCAATTCCTTGAATATCCTATTTGACTCTTCTTCTTCCATTTTTGCCAACGAGCGTGTGTTTGTATTCCAATAGATAGATAATGATTCCAAAGTAGCCAACTAACGACAAATGAATACGTTCCCAATTCAGTCCTGTTATCCCCCTTCTCCTATTTCTCCTCGATCATTGACAACATTTTTTGTTAACAAACCTTATGGATAGTGTTGATAGCATCGCCGATCGTCTGTGGCATCCAATTTTCGTCCGTAGAGATTGCCGACAGCTCACTTAATGTGATACCAGCCGCAAATCGTTGTGGTGCTGAGACATTATCTTCATAGCGTACATGAATATTGGTGACTGAAAACTGCAAGTTGTTCAAGATCTTTGTCGTGAGCTGCTCAGCAAACGTTTCGTTTTTGGCGTCTGATATTGGTTTCACGAGCTCACTATTCGCCACTTTACGCATTTTCTGTTGGTATTGTCGCTCGTCAAGTTCGTCGGCGGTCATCTAATGTATTATCGGATCAATTGAGCTTTTTGTTTTTTTTATTTGAAATGGTTAGAATGTATTTACCGTCGATTCACTGCGTGGTCCAGCGAGAACATAAACGTCTTTAATGTAAACCATGACCGGTTTGCCTTTAAGATTCGACCATGGTATATTCAGTGTTAATTCGCCAAGGTGCCCTGCAGAAGTTTTGTAGAATGTGTGAGACAATCCGGTGGTCTGTGTGTTGACGATATATAATATGCAACATGGTAATAATAAAAGCTAGGGTAACAGTGCAAGGAACGAGGGGGTATAGCTGCTTGAACGTAGCGTGTGCAACGCGCAGGACACACACGGGACAAGGGAAGCAAATTACCTTCCAAGACGTCGACAGGAAGATCCAGCTTGTCGAGAGCTTCACGTTTTAGCTTTAAATTGCGTAGAACCACTTCGCCTGTTTTTTTTTATATGATAACGAATGTTTGAATAAAAGGTTAAGAACGCGTAACGCTAAAAAATAAGGTGAGCCGCTATTGTTCATGTACCTGACCATATGCCGATCTGTAACTGATTGTAGTTTAGATTCGACACATATGCTCCAAGCACTCTATTTAACAATGTCGAAACCAGAGATTCCAACATTGTTGTAATAAAGGAAAAGGTAGTATACGGGTTCGAAAAAGAGAAGGAGAGAGAAAGTGCGAGACCCTCAGAAACGCTCACTTCTCGGCAATAATGTTACTCAAAAGGCGAATAATGCGATTTTGCTAATCTGTGTTTCAAACGAAAAGGTGGTGGTGTTGTCATGCTGATTAAAGCATGACATCAATCTTACTTCTCACTTTTGTTTATCTTTGGCATCTAATTACCGTCATTCCTTGAAGCTGGCATGTATAAAGAAGCCATAATGATCCATACAAGAAGATATATTTACGAGATCCTTCTTTTTTTCTTCTAGCTTGCAAAAAAAAAAAAATCATACAAAAAAGTGGGGGGACGGAAAGAATAGGGATTGCTACTATAACTACACAAAAAACGAAACGAAGCTATCGAGGATGACAAAAATGGGAGGGAGGAGGGAAGTGTTTGCTATTCTTCTTTTTTATTTTTACGACTGACGAGGTATATGCAAATCAGGGGTGTTGTCGATGACAGGATGTTGATGCTCAATATAAACATTCCAATCTTGCCAGCCTGTAGCAGGATTGGAAGCAGCAGCAGTAGTAGTTGGTGTTGACGAGGAGGTAATGAAGGACGATGGGTGATGTTGTGACGGTACTGTGTCAGCAGCAGTTTGATGATGGTGATGATGATGATGATGATGATGAGGGGTGGTCGGAGGCATGTTGAAAGCAAGTGTTGATGGATGGTGTGACGCCATGACGTATGGTTGTGGATGTTGTTGATGATGCAAAGCCGCAGCATGTTGTTGTGGTTGTGGTGGTGGTGGTGGCGGAAGTGGCGCATGCGGTGTGGCGAGCGAAAGAGGGTAGGAGTAATCATGGACACCAGGGGGAGCAGTACCATTTCGGAACGATGTTGAATGTTGGTAATGGTAGTTTATGGACAATTGCGACGTTTCAGGCTGTGGTAAGAAACAGCTTGTCGGCTGTTGTGCTATCGCGGATTCGACATCGGATCGAATGTCTGGCGTGATTCCACCGACGACACTGCAATTAATCATACGTTCAAAGAGATGGTTGGACTTTGGATACTCTTCGTCATTGTGCTGCCTCGTTGTCGTCGCGTCGATTGTTGCCGTGGCTGTCGGTATAGCTGTTGTTGTTGTTGTTGCTGCAGTCGAATGAATGGGTGGTGATGAATGGTGATGCTGGTGATGATGAAGGGTACGTAAAAGCGCAGATTGAGGGAACGGGGATGATGGTTGCGCAAGTCCTCCAGCAGCAGCAGCAGCAGCAGCAGCGGGGGCAGGTAACGATGACGACGACGAAGAATCGCATGGAAGGTTATTGATCGTAATGAGCATGTGGAGGATTTCAATGACACGCGGGACAGGGCACAAGTGTTGGTGTAACTTTAAAAGCGCAAGCGATTGTTCGAGTGTTTGCACTGCGTGTGTCGACGCACGGTCCTGCAGCGCATTGGACAGATGCACCAGCGACGCTTGAAACATGCCATAGACGAAGCACGTGGGTAAACAAAGCGACAAGAACGAGTGCTCGCGCGTGGGGACGCTGCTATGGTGACGAAGAATATCCGAGATGTTTGTGGCGGCATCAGTGCATGCTCTACGTGAGTCCGCGACAATGGATTGCAAATCAGGAAACTCGGTGGCAGACAATTGCACAAACGGGCGATGGACCAGTAACATGATTGTGTAGTAGAACACTAGCAGATGGCCTATGCAGAACACACACGCACACACACACACAGAGTAGCCAATTCATCAATTGGAAAATAATGAAACAAGGTTAAAGTTTAGTCCTAGCCTTAGCCGATTACCCGATTGGCGCACGCACTCGCAAAGAAAATTTTTGCCCAAATAAAGAAAAGAACCTATTTTACCTTTCTGAGTTGGCGGAATCACACCATGCTCCTCTTGTTCATCCAGCGACGCCTTCCAGTTCTTCAGGCGACGGTCAAACACGACCAGGATCGTGGGGTCATCCAGGCCCGCATTCGAGTTGCTGCGTTTGGCCTTGGGTGCATACAGTGCTTTCAACACACGGCCAAGGATTTCAGACAGTTTGATGAGCAGAACAAAATGGCTGTAAACAGGTTCAGGTGCGCTATTTTTGCCATTGTCGGCGCCACCACCACCACCACCACTCGCATCGGCAGTTCCCGCTGCTGCCACGACGTGATCTGTGACTTCATACATCGACGGCATGGCTGTATCGAAATCGCGGTCCAGAATTGTCAGCGGTTTTCCTGCGCGCGCACCCATCCAACGATCGAGGACATAGCAGGCGTAAAAGACTCGATGTCTGGTCTCAATTTCAGACGCGGGCAGCTTCCAATGGGTGCAAGAGCGATGCAAGCCTAAATCTTGGGCCATGCGGATGGCTGTGCCAAGCGTGAACCATTGCACAGACTCGACGTCGCCGTCGTCCATGTCCAAATACAAGGTCATGAGAAGTGCTGCTTGGACATGACACAGCCGCGAACGAAGCGAGTCACGCAGGCGTTTCATGACCTTCCTAAAGTAGAAGTCGCCGAAATCGTTTGCATGCTTGTCCTTGAAATGCTGTCCGGCAAAGCGAAAGGCAAGCGCAAGGGCCGCCTGGACAAGCGTCTGTGGGGCACGCGAGACACGGTATTGCTCGAGGAACCTTGTTTTGTTGATAATGGGGAGGAACGGATGGAGGTGTGAAAAATACCTGTTCGAATGTAACCGTAAAGGCATTAGAGTGACAGAAATTTTTGGAGCGGTTTTTTTTTTGAGTTTGTTTCTTGTGTTCTTGTGTCACACACACACACACACACACGATATGACTAGTAACAGCAGCTTACTGCTGGATGCTGCCCACAAACAGCAACAAGCAGGGCAAGAGAGAGAGAGAACAAAAAACTTACAGGCCAATCATTTTGTCCGACAATTGTTTGCTTGGCATTTTGTTCGCAGTCGGGGATGCAGACGGGTGGGAACGGTGGTCATCACTATCGAAAACCGTGGAACGCATCGATAGCCCCACGTCGAGCCGTGCGTCTGGCTTGCCAGTCTGGACTATCATCAAATCGTCTTGGCCCATCATTTGCAGCACCACATTGTCGCGGCCAGGCCATCGGATATACGGCTGTTGTTTAAACACGTCGTGGTCAACGACTTGAAGCCCTGCCGAATGGCCAGTGTACTTTATCGAGTCGTAGTCTTTCAGGTCGAGATGCGTCAGCCGTTGCTGGAGGTCGGCTGTAGGGTCGAAATCGTCGTCGTCGTCGTCGTCTTCGTCGTCGTCTGACGATGAGTCAGACGGTGCAGGTGGCGACGCAGCGTCAAGAACAGCGCTGGTGTTGGCGCCAGAGGCAATGGCCCCGTCCGGTAAGATGTCGTACTTGAAGTCGTGCTTTTCGAGTTCCTTGATACTGGCGCTGGTGAGCGATACGAGTAGCTGTTCCATCTTTTTACACCGTTTCTCGAGATTATCAACGTATCTGTCATGTTCAGAGTCTCCTTAGCAAAACAGCAGTTGTGTGCAATGGGTGGTTATCTCTTTGTTTCTATGATAGACTTACACACTGGGCGGCCCCCGTTTCTTGCGGACGGTTTGAAACTCGCACGTATAACCCCACTACAAATTGTTTATTGATATACACACAAATTGAAAAAAGTAAGCACGCATGCATGCAATGCAAGGATTGTTGTCTTTTTTTTATATGAAAACGTACGGCTCTACAGTTTGAGCAAGGCACTGAGGAGTCGGCATCGCAGCGAGACTTTCGTTTACGGCAAAAGTCGCAGCTGCGTTTAGCACGGGTGCGTTTAAGCGGAATGGATGCGCTGGAAGGCGAGGGCGACGGGGTGGGCGGATTATTCAAATGCGTATGCAAGGGATTCGATGCTGATGCGGTTGGAGAGTAATGCAAGCTATTCATTTAAACATGGAGTAGTAGATAGTTTTTTAAAGGGGAATATAAAATTTGAAAGGAAAAGCGAGAAAAAAAAAGTCTATATAAAGGTTGGCGGAATATAACAATCACAACTCTGAATGTTCGCAATCAATATGATTGGCTGAGAGTCCCGGCGCCCCATCCCACCCCCCCCCCTTCAACCGGGTGTTCGAACGTAGAAAAACAGAAAAAAACCACACACAGTAGTGGTGTGCACACAAAGATATTATTTTACTGCCGCAGCTGCTGTTGCTGTCTCAGGGTGTTAATTACGCTATATACAATAGAATAAAAGTCATGAGCATACTACTACTACTACTACTATCACTATCACTACTACTACGTCTCTTTTTTTTTTTGCTCGTGCCTGCGACACCCATACGCTACCTCAACATTTTTACATTTTCTTCACGGTACTGGTCTCGTTCGTTCAGTAACTGAGCTATCGTGTTCGCCTGATCCCTAATTTTGGCCTATCAGATTGTTGGCGTAAGGCGTCAAAAGTTCCAAATTAGTTATCAGCCAGAAACCCAACCACACACTCTGTTTCTTCGTAGTCAGATCGGTTCTCCCTATTATATTAGAGATTTACCTCATTTTCGGTATTTTCTTGGGTTGCCCATCGCAATTCCATAGCATTGCCGTTGAATTTATCGGTGAGTGCTCTACTAACTTCCTCCATCTCTGCAATCTTGGCCCGGTGTGCTTGATGCAGTTTCTCCAGATCTTTTTGCTGTGCGCTTGTTACAGTCCGTAATCGATATGAAAAGTCTTCCAACTCTTTGTCCTTCATGTCCAACAACTTTTGCTGCGTCTGGTGCAAAACTGTCAGTTCCTTTTGATGTTGTGAAACCACCGCTTGCATTTTCCGTTCCCATTCAACCTAAAGTTGTTGTTTTTTTTCACAGATAGCGTGTGTTTAATAAACATACAAATATTTATATATATACTCTGGTCCCTTAAAACAACCCAGTGTATTTACACTGGTTGTGTGAGCCTTACCTCCTTCTTTGCCATGTGTTGTTGTATATCACCGTTTCGTGCATCTTTGGCCATGCGCTCTCGAAGTCTTTCTTCGACTTCTTCGATTTCCTTGTCCTTGGCACTGATCATTTTCTCGTAAGATATTTTCATCACTCGCAATTCCTCTTCCTTGTCGCCAGACGATTGCAGACGACGCATTTCGTCGTCGACCCGCTGCATCTCCGCCTCGTTCCGTTTGGCCCGCTCGCGCTCGCTTTCCATTTGCGTCTGGACTACCTGCAGCTCATTTTGATGTTTCTGCGTGTTTGTCCTTAACTCTTCTTGCCACTCGGATTTCTCTTGCGCATGTGATTTTGTCATATTGGCAATGGTTGCTTTGGCAGACTAATTTAATTTTTTTTTGATGTTGGTAATACATTATCCAATTAGTACAATTTGTGTCAATATCGGTTAATACATCAAATTAGGAATTTGCGTCTCGTGGTGACCTTCTCTTTCTCTCTCTATCTCTCTTATTTATTACCTCGGCTGCTGAAGAGAGCTTTTCTGACCGGGCACTCATGTTTTCCAATTGTTTCTGGAGAGCTTCAATAGCATTGGCATGGTGCTCTTCGAGTCTTTGGATACTCGCTGCATGCTTCTCGGTCAAAGCTTGCATTTGCTCCTTGTGTTCGGCGGTCAACTTGCTCCATGCAGCTTCAATGTCTCGTTCTGCATTTGCCTCGGCTTCCTCACGAAGCTTTTGATACTCGGCTTCACGTCTTGCCCCAGCAGTCGTCATCTGTTCCTTGTGGCTCTGTTCCAAAGCTTCCTTTTCTTTGCCAGCCAATTCACAAAAGTCGTCATGTTGCTTGGTTACGCTTGCCAGATCAGATTCGAGCCGTTTCTTGGCAACCGTATGCTCCGCAATCAAGCTTTCAATCTGATATTCATAGTTCTTTGCAAGATCGGCCTACAGACACAGTGTGTATCAAAGTAAGTTGTGTTTGTACGTTTGAAAGTGGGATTGTTTCATAACTTGTTTCTTTTTTTCTGACAATTCCATAGCAACAACAACAACAAATACCTCAAGTTCAGCCCGCGCATTCTCAGCATCCGTTTTAGCTTTCACTTCAGCCTTTTGCAACGCTTTAGCATGTTCATCCTGCAACTGAGTAAGTGCGGCTGCATGTTCGTGTCTGAGTGCTTCCAGTTGAGCTTCAAATTCAGCTGTCGCTTGTGCCTAACATTCAAGGCGAAGAGTCAGAAGGAGTTGAACAAGAGTTATCATGAAAAAACAACGCACCTTTGCCTGGGTAGTCACCTCGTGGACAGTACCATTGGTTTCCTTTGACTTGACTTCCAGATCCGCAACAACTGCTGCGTGAGCCTCCTTCAGCTGTGCAATCTCATCACTCTGCACCTTTTCATGCTCAAGCTGAGCGTCCGAAAGCGCCTTCAGTTCCTGTGTGTGGGCCTCTTTGATCTCTTCCAGTTCTTGCGCGTGCTGGATCTTTAGAGTAGCAACGACATCCTGGCTTTCGCGGAGGGTCTAGAACACAAATGCACGGATTAGGAAAATAAAAAGTGAACGCGACCCGCATTTGGGGGTTTTTTTTTCATGTAAAAATAACTACAGCAACAAAAGAAGGTTTGAGTTACTGCTAACCCCTTTTTATAGAAATTTGTTTACCTGTGCTTCTCCTTGAGCGTCCTTGAGAGCTGTGGCGTGTTCGGCCTTGAGTTGCTTCACTGCTTCGTCGTGTTCGTTTCGGGAGGTCTCAATGACTGTGGTATGTTCTGCCCTGAGCTTCTCCAACGCTTCGTTGTGCTCTTTCTTGAGTGCCTCTAATGCTTCACCGTGCTCTGACTTGACTTTCTCCAATGCTTCGACATGTTCCTTTTGAGCAGCCTCACGCTCTTGATCACGTTGACGGGTATACTGCAACTTGAGTTCGTTCAGTTGAGAAGTGTTTGTTTCTTGGATCCGCGTGAGCTCTGCTGCATGTATTTCCTTGAGAGCCACCTAAAGTAAATGCAAAATAGTTTAATAAATCGTGAGGTTAAAATGAGGCGTCAATGTTTACCACAGCTTGGTTCCACCGACTTTTTTTTTTTTTCCTTTTATCCCTTTCCCTTGTTAGATTTACCTCAACTTCACGCTTGATTGTTTCCAAATGGCCATCACGTTCAGAGGTAAGGCTTTCAATCTCGTGTCGATGCTTTTCATTCAGCTCATGTTGCTTGTCAACTGCATCCTTGAGTTCCGTCTCGAGCTTTTCTACACGCGCACGATGATGTTCCTGGACATGTTCCATGGCCTGCTGATGACTTGAGCTTAATTGTTCAATCTTGAATTCGAGCTCGGATCGTAGCTGCGATTCAGACTGGACGAGATTGCTGCCAGCGGCTCTTGCCTCCTTTACTGCCTCTTCGTGCTTCGTTGCTAGTTCTTTTAATGCCTCTTTATGTTCCTTCAATAGCTTGTCCGTATGTTCATCCTTTTCTCGCTGTGAAAGCGATCTGAGCTCCTTGATGGCAGCTGCATGCTTTTGCTCTAGCTCAGCAAGTGTGTCGCCATGTTTGTTTTCGAGCTCGGCTATCTTGTCCGCATGATCCTTTGCGACATTGGCCTAATTTCGATCAGAGAGACAGAGCATGGTGAGAGTTTGTCCCAAAGTTCACTTTTGGACATAGTCATATTAGGGCAGTACACATTACCTCGTCACTCTGCTTCGTGGCTGCAATGCGTGCTTCGTATTCCTTGATCAAAGCTTCTTTTTCATGGGTTGCAGATTCCTTGAGAGCAGTGCACTCGTCTTGTGCCGTCTTTTTTTCTTGCTCCAGTTTATCCAGGACAGACTCAAACTCTTGCTTAGAGGACAACAAATCCTGTTCAAACTGGCGACGGCATTCAGCCTACACACATATTTTATACCCAATGTCAGTAAAAATATGGATCGTCTTTCCACCATTCAAGGGCCATCTTGTCTCTGCTCTCCACCCACCCCGCCCTCCAGACCATGGATAAACAACTACCTCAATATCACCTCGAGCAGCATCAACAGCGCTGACGCTCGTAGCCTTGCGGACCTCATCCAGCTGAGTCTCATGAGTTTCGGTGATGGCCTGCACCCTTGCATTGTGTGATTTTTGCAGAGTGGCGATCTCTGCCTAATATACATATTTGCAATGCATATGTGTTTTGCATATCCTTGTTAGCCATAAAAATGAAAAAAAAAATATAATTCCACTCGTGCATTGCTTTACCCGCAGCGATGACGTGATTTCATCGAGTTTCTGTTGATGCTGTGCATCCATCGATTCGTTTTGTGTACGCAGCTCTTCCAACTTGTTTTCGTACGAGTCAGTCAATTCTTGCCGTTGCGTGTCAAATGAAGCTGTCAATTCAGCCGCCTTGGCCTCCATGTCCTTTAAAAATGATGTAATATACAGTTAGGGGACATCCTGTATAGTAGTCAAGCCTCCAAGGTAACTTGCATGTTGTTCCCCTTACACTCAGTTTCTTGCTCAGCGCTTCATCAGCAGCCTTGTCATTCGAACCTGCAGCCCGCAATGTTTCCAATTCACTTTCGTACTTTTGTTTCATTGCTTCGATCCGCTCGGCATGTTGCTGGTTGATCTGATGGGTCAAACTGGTCAAGCGGCTTTGATGCGATTTATGCATTTCCTAAAAAACAATTCGTGGCATAAGTGATACAGTAAAGGGTCATTAAACACAGGTAAAAACCACCATGACAACACATGTTTTTTTTGTTTGTTTGCAATGTGCAGTAAAAAAAAAAGCGTACCTGGATATTGTCGCGCATTTCATCCATATCCTTCTTCAGTTTGGAAATTTCTTTTTCCTTCTCTAGGATCCGCCCATGCAATCCATCCTTTTCACTTTCCAACTTTTCACGGAGCTTCTCCATATGCTCACGAAGCTTTTCTTCGATCGCCTCCCGCTCACGTGTTAGTACAGTACGTTCCTCTTCATGCTCGCCTTGCACCTTTGCAACAGTTGCCTGTGCTTCTTCACCGGCCTTCTTCAGCTGTTCCTGGACCTCAGCCAACTCCTTTCGTAGCGCTTCAATCTCTTGTTCTTGCGTTGATGTGGTTGAATCCTCAGCAACAACAGCAGTAGTAGTAGTAGTAGTAGTAGTGGCATCACCATCATTATCATCATCAGCTGGTTTTCCTGCATCGCCAGACTCCTTGATCGTTCCTTGTTGATTCTGTTCTTGCTCAGCTGCTGCTTCGTCTGATGATGATTTTTCATGCTTTCGTTGTTGTTCCTGAAGCTCAATTTCTAGCGCGCTGAGTTTCTCCTTGAGGCCAGTTAGATCGGCTTCTTTAGAATCAAGCAACTGTTGCTTCTCCTCCAGTTCCGCCTTTAGCTCTTCGTGCTATATATAGTATTTTGTGTTGCAATCAGTAAAGATACACGCGAGAAAGAGCTTTCTTATCGATGAGATTTTGAACAGAAACTACGTTACCTTGGCCCTCAAGGCTTTCAATTCAGCCACTGCTTCTGAAGGCTTGATGCCATTCGCGGTGGTAGATGTCGTACGCGTAGCTGTGGCTGATGAAACAGGTCTACGTGCCGTTGTCGAAGTGGTGCTGCTTGTTGCTGTGGAACCGCGTCGTGCGGCAGTAGTGGGAGCAGTACCCGTAGCTGATGAGGCAATCGAGGGTCGTCGTGTGGCCGAAGCAGTAGGTGATGTGGTAGAAGACGTTGTCGTGGATCGACGGCTCAAGGTCGATGCTGTTCTGGACACCGTCGATGATGTTCTACTTGCTGCTGCTGCTGGTGACGGTGGTTTTGTTGCAGAGGATGCAGTTCGACTTAGGCTTGTCGTTCCAGCAGTTGCTCGCGTGGTACTCGTTGTACCAGCTGTTGTTGTTGTCGTCCGTCTTGCGGTCGAAGACGTGGGGCCGGTGGGTGCAGGCGTCTTGGTGGCACGGGTCGCTGCTGTAGTAGCTCCAGCAACCCCTGTACGGGTGGTGGTGGTGGTGCCAGCCCTAGTTACAGGCGTCTTGGTAGCTCTCGTCACTGGAGGACTTGCTGGAGTCGTAGGTGTAGCAGATACGCCCGCTGCCGCCAGTGAAGACACTCTGGGCTTACGAGCCGCTGTAGCTTTTCCTTCGGTCATTACTGCAATCACCCCGCACGCCATTCAGTTCTGTGTTTTTCTTTTTCTGTCGTTGCTGCTTTGCTCATATGAAAAAAAAAGAAGGGAGAAACGCTTACTTTAAACCGAAGTGAGACTCTGTGTGAGATGAGTAAACGAGAAAAAAAATGAAATAAAAGGAAAGCTGCCCACACACAACTTTTTTTTATAAAAGCGAGAAAAAAAAAAGAGTTTGCGGCATCTTGACGGAGCTAATCCAATTTATGTGCCGCAACCGTGTTTAGCTTATACATTACGCGAACGCTTTTGCATTTCTGATAGGAAGATCGTCTGCCCTATCTGTCCCGCCACTACCATCCACCCGGAGCCACCACCTCAGTCAGCAAGTATTAGTTCATTGCATTTTGTGGAAATTTAAAGCGTGAAGATACTAAACAAAAAAACGAACGATGGATAGAGTGGATCATTCGATTTAAACCAAGCTGTTCCTGCATGGCAAATGTTCATAAAAGAAAAAAGCCGACGATTTGATCGGCCTTTCTTTTTTTTTGTGTGCGGGGCAAATTAGGTACAGGACCCTGGCAACATTTGAAGAAGCCATTTCTCTCTAATGCAATAATCACTAGTAGCTGCTAGGTAGGCTATCACTGCTCTCTTTTGTTCCCATGCAACCAAAGCGCATGAATATCCATAGCAATGAACACCATACGCTATGAAGCTGGTTTTCGTCTTATCCGGTGTCTCAATTTGTGTCCAGCATCATTAATGACTATTACTTGCTGCTACTGAGCTTCCCTTATAAGAGATATTCAGCGATCGATTTTGCGCATGCACATTTTTGCTGCAGCTATCACGGAGGAGGCGTTTCAAAATGCTGCAGCAACTGACGCCAACAAATGTCACCCAAATAAAACAGATGCGACGCTCGTTACAAATAACAAGGACAGGGTGAGAGAGAGAGGTGCCAACAGTAATAGGAAAGCTTACGCAAGCTCTTTGACCATATATGGCGCGAATGCGACCGTACTGAGGAGCAGTCCCTGATACGAGAACAATAGCTTGAAATTATCAGAAGATGCTCTCAAGACTTTTGTAGCCTGATATTTCATGCATTCTCTTAAAGAGAGTTATAGTGGACAAATAACAGAATTGTCCTTGAGGGGAAAGTTACATAATAGAAGAGCAGTGGGTTATTATTCTATACGCCACGTTGCCTGTTATTTCAAATAAGCGCAACGATAACCCGTTGCAAGAAAGTTGCACCCTGGACATACTGTCTACATTAACAGCAGCAGTAAATGTTTGCTTCATAAGCAAAGTCAAAGGCCGTCTGGAAGGTGTCAAGCTGTTGCCTAGTAGTCAGTTTTAAGAAGGGGGAAGGAGAAAAAACCCAGCAGCTAGAATTCGCTTTTCTTCGGCTCCAGACACACAGACACACACACACAGAGCATCAACACAGCATGGGTAAAAAGAAAGCAGCTTCGCGATCGCAAAAACAAGAACACCAATACCAGAAGCCTGTACCACCCAGTGGCCCACTGATTAATCGTATACCCTCACAAACTACCGGCGATGATGACAACATACCCGAAGATGAAAAGCTTCGCATCTTGAGCCAGACGGGCTTGATGCAACAAGTCAAAAAACGCGAAGCCGAAATAGCAGCGGGACAAGCAGCAAGCCAGATGAACACGTCAGTATATGTTTGGCAAGCTCTGTTCATGAGCATTCCATTTGGGTTCTTGCTCGGTGCCTTTGATGTCACTGTCAGAGTGCAATACAGCGAACCTTGGAGCCATCAAGAATGGGCTATACGCGCATTGAAATCAGTACCAGGTATATATGCTTTATACAAAACACCCAATCTGGTAGCAAAGACGGATGATAACTTGACATATCAATCAACCAAATCTACATAGCTCTTTTCCCACTTATCTATTTGACGAATCGACACAGACAAAAAAAGCTTGTCCAGTCCATCATGGCAGTTGGATCGGCGTTGGTGGGAGCGTTTCTGTTGTATACCCTTCGACGGACACCTTCGCTTGGTCAAATGTCGAGAGCACCCGGGTTGGCCACGATATGGATTTACTTTGTAGTTCAGTTGGATCTGTTACCAGCTGTAGCGACTCTTGCACTAGTTGGGTTTTATTGGTACTTTGGATTAAAAACAGACTGAGGAAAATGAAAACGAAAAAGATGATGATTGGGAAGTTGATGTGCAGATGATATAAAGACAGGAAGTTAACAAGGGGAAAAAAGGAGGAGTAGGACGCAAACAAGATAGGGAACGGGTGGATTACCGATGTGAATTATATATAAGTGGGGGCGATGTTGTGTTGTGGCATTATTTACTTTCGCTGGTAGAAGCGAACATAATATGCAGTGCCAATGGCAGCTGCTGCTACGGAAAGCGCAATGGCAGGCGACCAGCGTGCCAATGTGCTACCTGCAGATTTCTTTTCACTGCCAAGGGTAGGCACCAGCTTGTCTTGTTCAGACAACTGCTGGATTTCATCAAACACTGCAATGTTGACTTCGAAGGATCGAATGGCTTCGGTCACGATCAGATCTGGAAAAAGATTACAAACATCCCGTGTTTCGCAGTTAGCAACTTTCTCTCTTTTAGAGTCACTACACACAGTCTATTGGTTTTTTTTACCTCTTGTTCGCTTATCAACAGGAGCTCTGTTCAAACGCTCACGATATTCATTCTTAAAAGCGCTCTGATTGCCAATGTTTGCAAAGTCATAAAAGTGAAGACCCTCGTCGCTATCCCAATCACCATCACCTTCCGACAAACCGAGAATGTGCTTCTTTAACCTTTTGGCCAGAATTTGTCCGCCGCTCAAATCACCAAGGTAACGCGAGTAGCTGTGTGCCACGAGCAATGCTGGGTTCACTTCACATGCGAGTTCCATCGCTTCCACGTATTCCTTGACAGCTGGTGTCATTGTAGCAGGATCTGTGACCTGCGATACCTTGTCCTTGCCGTAATAGAACTCGAGATCTTGAAATGAGGAGGAGAACCAAGTGCTTGTGGTGAGTATATTTTTTTTGAACGTGGACACTAATTTCGGTGTATGTGATAAAAACTATATATACCTTGCAAAAGAGCATGGACTCGGTTCAACTCAACAGGGAAATAGATCGTCTTGATGGCCAGGTTGTCCTTGTGCTTTTCCAGTAAGGACTCCATAGACTTGTACACGAAATAGAGCGATGTAATGTAACGGCCATATTCGTCGCGGTTGATTTCACCCTTCAGGAAGCGCCTAAAGAAATCGTAAATGTATGAATAAAAAAAAACCTTAATTGATATCTGATCATTGATGATCTGATAAGAGTTTCCTACTCTAGTCTAATACTCCTCTCTAGATCCCCCCCACCCACACGCATACACACATGCGACACTCTTCATCTCTTCCTCTCACTTGTGTAGAAACATACTTTGTGAAAACGCTGTTCTCTGCAGCCTTGTGGGCAGCCATGGTTCCTTCACGCATAGCGGCAGCCAATTGAGGGTCTTCCATGATTTCGCTCTCGACGTCTTTCTTCAATGGTGCTGGAGCAGGAGTAGTAGGCTCAGCAGATGTTACAGCGGCTTCATCACCGGTTGAGGCGACTTTGCCCATTGCGGTATCAGAGACAATCTGGTTAAGCATTTGAACGAGGATGGCGCCTTCAGGGGACTCGGCAGTTGCTACAAAAAAAAGTCATTTGATCAAGTCAAAGCAGCAAATCGGTTTGAGTAACTGTCATGTGGTTGTAAAATGTTGCCTACTTACTTTGCATGTCGATGTTAGGATGTTCCTTTGGCATATTGGAAAACAATGATCGGATTTCTTCCTTGTTCTTGTTGGAGAAAGGACAACCTATAATAATAATAATAATAATAATAATAACCAGTGATCAAAATGTAAGTCTTTGTTTTTTTGTTCCTGGGATCTAGAAATGAACAATAGATAATGCTAACCTTCTTGGAAAGCAGGGCTAGAGGGAGGAAGAAGAAGGAAAGAAGGCGTGAGCCAAAAGTTTATTAGCGTTATATAGTCTTTCGTATCTTGATGCGTTTTTGTGCGGACTTTTCAGGATACACAAACGAACAAACGGGCCCTTTCCGTGGTTATGTGCGGGAGGAGGAAAGGCCGGGAAGAGAGGAGGTCTTGCGCTTACCATTTCGAAAGTTCGCCGAATCCGCTAATGACATGATTATCAACCTTGGCATAAGGACAGCCAGCAGCAAATGCAGGACATTGGCTTCGAAGCTCTTCGGTGTTTGCCAAATGATCAAGGCCAGGATGAGGGAACGAAGGTGGTGTAATGGTAGTTTCAGTCATTTTTGCGATAATTACAGAAATCAGGAACCGGGTTTAAAACAGTAAAAGATGAAAAGAACAAATAATCAACATGACACCTCATTCAATCATACGTTTGCTCAGCTGAGTTTCATTTGCGCGCTTCGCCGGGTGAAGAACATTGACATTATTTCCTATGTTTCTGTCGTCCCATTGTTCTTGATCACACACGTTATACGTTTTTCTCATGCTTAATGTACCAGACATAGCAGGTCAAAACACTGATGATGAGACGAAGTAAAACTGCAAGGTGTACAGCTGCATAGAAGAGTTATCAGTAATAATCTTTGGTCAAGACTCTCAATTTCATATCATTCACTTATACAATGTTTCTTCGTTTTGGTGCAAAGAGTAAAGGTGCCATCTGTATATGATAACCGGCAAACAGCATTTCCTACAAGTATGTATGTAGTACCAGCACATCTCAACGTCGGGACAGTAACGAATTCCATTTCGTTGCTGGGAATTAAACCTTGCCTTTTAGCCACTTCTTAACAACAACCAACAGTATGGTACCTGTTCTTCCATCATTTTTGTTAACGGAGCTAATAATAACGACAACTGACAGAGCATGCTTACTTTGTTATATTAAATGACATCGTCTAATTTATGTGTGAAGAAAAAAATTACATACAAACTTTACTGCATACACGGGAAAAGGTCGCAGAAAAGCCAAGTTACTATAGCTTCACAGCTACCATACGTTGGCGTCCCAGAAAAGAGCCATAAACATCTCACTGGATTGATTAGCATCATCGCACCTGGTGACTAGCATTTGTAAGAATGCCTCTTGCAAAATACCTACTATCGGCCAGTATGTTGGTATCAGCGCGTACTATAAATCACGAGCAAATCGAAAAAAAGTTTCGTATCATTGTTAATCAAAAAAGCGGCGCAACAATGTGCCCTCATGCTCATGCGTCGTACAATTAGCGCTTTAATGGGTTGACCGTGCATATCTCCGTTTCCGATCTGATAATAGCCAAAAAAAAAAAAAGTCAGCATCTATACTATGTGTAAACGGATTCTTGTGTTCCCGTATCGAGGTTTCCAGCAAAAGAAGAGACATGTATACGGTGCGCTCACCGTGGTTGGATGAGATATGAAAATACATGGATGTTATGCTCGTAGTTGTTTAATAATAGCTGCAGTTACTCTATGATAAGCAAACGCATATTTAAAATACTTTAAAGGTTCTATCGACAAAAGTATTAGTTGTGATACGTTTCTCTGTTCTATGGAGGAGTGATCATGAACTTCATATGTCTTGGAGGCCATTTCAATACTACGAAGAATGTATATGCTCTTTGTACCAGAGCGAGAAGCAAATATTAACGAGCTTGCAGTTTTGATTCCTGTCATCGGTATCGAGAAGATTTCAAACGGCTTGGCGAGAAAATGGTTGAAGTGAGTGAAGAGATTGTTGAAGTGTGGATCTCCCAAATACCAATCCTGTTTGTACTGGTACGTGCTAGATTATATCTTCCTCTTATAGTTCAAGAGCGTGTTTTTTGTACACTACTACAGTCATACCAACAGGCCAATTGGTAGAACTTTCCCATGCAAACCATTACATGTTGTATGTCTGTAGCACACTTCATCACGGCATTCGCGGAAATAAACACATTTGCCCTTCAAGCAGCAGCGGGCAAGCCTACTCCATTATATAATGCACATATCATACACGTGCTACAATGGCATTATTTAAAGAATCTGCAGGCCGGGATTATCATTAGGCAGAACAAACACACGCCGAGATAATGGAACTACAGTAGCTCGCCGTCTGCTGATAGACGATTGCATCGATTTTGGTTTCTTACTTACAGCAACCATTCTCACACGAAAATTGATCCAAACCTTTTTAATCATCGCATGTGGAGCGTAATCAAGACAAGGCTCGGAATGATGTGTGCAATGATCGATGGCTTTACTGGTTTGCTTGTTGTATGATATCAGTGCTAGTAGGGGCCTATAAGGGCAAAACCTTCTGGTATGCAACTCGTTACAGTTGTACCCCGGTTTTTGCAACCGAGGGTTTTCCGATATTTTTTTTTGCAAAAAGTAAGGATTTGTGCAAGTAACGGGGTAAACAATTCTGCTTCAAGTAGACACTGGATAAGTCATCCTATTAACACTAGCCCATTGTTTATCTGTCAGAGATGATGTACGATACGTTCTTTGGGAATATTCATACAGCTCTAAATGTTACTACTTGCATATTTAAGACCGTTCTTTTATTAAGCTGTCTAGTGGTTTGATAATTATTAGCTCTTTTAAGCATGACAAAATCGCTCCACAAGCTCACATCCAAGCAATAGGATCGAACCTACGACGAGCACTTGAGCGGGCGGTGGACCAAAGCGCCGATTTGCCTATTCCAAGGCCAACGTCGAAGGAAAAACAGGTTGCAATTGCAGGAGTTCTGAGCTTTTTGGATAATATCGATAACTACGACTTAAAGAAGTCTTTGCGTAGGATTCAAGAGAGTCTCAGGCAGCAATCATTCTCCCGACAATCATCCCTTGATGACTTGTTTGATATGTAGTTGAAAGCTCATTTGAGCAAACATTTTATTTCTATATCTATATGTAGTGTGTTCACTTTTTCTTATATCTTCATCATTCCTTTTGTGGATTCAACCCAATCAGTGCTATATATGTGTCCCCATTCTACTGGCTCAACTACCAAATAATAATTTTTATTTCGACAATACTGTAAATACATCTTCATATTTACATATTTATCTTGCAGTAACCGCATCATTTTATTCCTCATAATCCGCAACAGATGCTTCTTTCAGTTGATATTGCAAAAATTGAAGCTGTTTTTACCCCGATAATGTGCAAATCGTATAAACTCATTTGCAAGCTGCAAATTTGCGAAACTACTAAGTTTTTTTTTGGATTTTTCAAAAAAAAGTTGCAGATATACGAGGAATTGCAAATCCAGGGGTTGCAAAAACCGGGGTACAACTGTAGTGAATGCGAGGCAATACTGATACGGATGGCCAGCGCGTGTGGAAAGGCACCAGACGTCGAGGTTAAGCATTCCGGGAACCAATTGTTCGGTTACATTTCAAAGGATGCACAATAGCCGGTGGTACGCGTTGTTCGGATCTTGCTTTCATTTGATCGATTCCTGTCACCGCTTGTTGAGTTCGGCAAACTCGGAAGCAATTGCCTTTTGTATATCAGCTTCGCTGTGATACACAGAGGCGCAGTAATCTACCTTCATTTCCTAGTAGGTATCTCGTGCAAATTGGTGTAAATGACACGGCGAAATGCTAAGCTGGACGTTATTGTTGCCACCATCCCTGTAGACGATGTCATCCGTTTCTTGTCTCGTCCTATGCTAAGTTGTACAAAGCAAGGCGGATATTGATAAGGTGAACTTTTGACTGCGTCTTCCTTTTCTTTGATGACATCAGAGAAAGCAGACGGCATTGTGCTGCTTTTGAGCTGCGGTACAGACATCACCTTTTCTTAACCCGAACGTAAAGGCATATTGAATATTGGTCCTTCCTACTTAAGATATATCTTGTTAGTAAAGGTTTCTGAAGAGAATTCTGGACTGTTTGATGTAGTTGCTTCCAAATTTGTTATCCTGTTTCTATTCATGTGTTGCGTATAGTTAATAATTATTTAACCATAGCCAATTCAAAAAACTCCCCGAGTGATGTAACTGCGGCAGAAGCTGGTTATTTGTTTAGGTTGAGGGTAAGAATATAATCCGCAGCAACAACAAAAACAACAACAAGAAAATCCTGCACGAAAAAAGCGTTTTTCTTCTCTTCTTTTCTTTTCTCAACAAACAAAAACTAATCGAATGTCGTCAACAATCGAACCCTTTGAGATCCCATCAATACCCGCTGAAAGACTCGCTTTGCTCAAACAGAAACTCCAGAATGCCGAGTATCCCAACGAGCTGGAGAAGGATGTTGGATGGGAGTATGGTGCGCCACGATGGGCTGTCGAACCACTTGTGAAAGCATGGCTCAATGATTATGACTGGGAGAAGGCGCGTGCCGAAATGAATAGTTGGCACCATTATCATGCTACGATTCAAGGTTTGCACGTTCATTTCATTCACGAGCCCTCTACCGTGCCGAATGCTATCCCTCTTCTTTTAATGAATGGCTGGCCATCAACGTTTTATGAATATCACAAAATAATCGAGTCGCTTCGAAACGGCGCTAACGGTGGTCAGGTAATACACGTATAAACATCCACAAGGAGCAGAACTACACAGAAAAAAAAGAAAGCCAAAACCAAAACATCCATAATATCATAACCATTTACAATGCGATAAATAGGCTTTTCATGTCGTTATTCCAAGCTTACCGGGTTATGGTTTCTCAGAAGCACCCAAGGTACCAGGCTATGGTGTCGCAAAGAATGGCGAAATGATGGATGAACTGATGGCCACCCTTGGCTATACTCAATATAGTAATGTCCTTTGTATTATTATCATTGATGTATTCTCTACATACGTCATCCCATCTAATTCGCACACTAACTTCATACTGTAAAAGTGCTGGCGGGTTCTGACTGGGGATCTAACATTGGCAACTGGATGGCTAGAAACTGCTCGGACCGCTGCAAGGGATTTCATAGCGTTATGCCGCTTTGTTTACCACCCTCACCAACAAACACGCTATCGCTTTTATGGACGCACCCGCTTCACGTAATCAAGTTTTATGCAAGCATAATATTGGGCATCGAAGCCGTATATGGCAATGGGTTTGAAGCCGAAGAACTGGCATTTGCCAATGTGCAAAGCGATCCTGAATCAGGTTACCGTGCTATCCATGGCACCCGTCCTTATTCATTAGCGTATGGCCTAGCTGATAGCCCTGTAGGTCTCTTGGGTATGTTAAAATCTGTATTATACTACCGCTGTTGGTTAATGTTGTAAAACTGCATATTCTAACTTGTCACCCCTAACTCATTTTGCTAACATAGCATGGATGCTTGAAAAGTTTCATAATTGGACTGATCATGGCGGTATACATGACACCGAGTCGTTACCAGATACCATTTCTGTTGATGAATTCTTGACGATGGTGACCATTTATTGGCTGACAAATTCCATGTCTTCATCCATACGTATATACTATGAGGCCTTCCACGAGGATGAGACCATGTCAACTTGCACGGGTCGCGTCAATATCCCTACTGCGATCATTCAATTTCCTGCTGAGCTTGCAAAGGTACATATAGCTATTAGTATTAAATCATTCCCAAATGCACCACGATCTTTGTGCTAATGGGTCAATTCTTTTCATGTGCTAAAACACAGTTTCCCAGAGACTGGGTGGAAACGAGTGTAAACTTACAACAGTATAATGAACCGGATGTGGTAACAACTTGTGCTTTTTCTTATACTTCATTCATTATACATATATGGAATCCTGACGACTGGATCGTGTGTTTTCTGTAGGGAGGCCACTTTCCGGCCTTGGAGACAGATCAATTACTATTGGATGATCTTCAGCGCTTTGGGAAACTGTTAAGAACCGAAAAGTGGATCAACTGATATGCATGGTGAACTATCATAATACTTGCTTGTATACCTGCTCAATGGGCACGCATCGACCAAATTATATCATATCATTGTACGCAATGAGCTTAACTATTGCCAATATATCTTCAAAAAATCGTGATTTGTTATTTCGCTCAATTATAATGATACGGGAGTGTAGGAACGAAGGGATTGAATAGAGCTCCTTATCCAAACTCACATTGTTATTTCTATTACCCACTACCACCGAGCCGGTTATTCATATCATAATATAACCTTTAATCCACAACAATGCGAGCTTCCAATTCAGCAAATTCCTCAAAGAAGACCTGGATGGAATATTATCGACGAATTAGCTCTTGAATCCGAGATCTTTAAATCTATTTGATAACATCCAGCAAAACAAAAAGAAGGTAATACCTGCAACAGATCGATTCCGTGCTTGACATCGTCGGTACCACCGACTTCACGGATCGAATGCATGCTGAGTTGAGGGTTACCCACATCTATCGAACCGCGACAACCAGCAAAAGCATAGTCAATATCAAGATACGTATATCCAACCCATTGATTGTCTGACTTACCAACTGTGCGAAGTCCAAGCTTTGCACTAAGCATTGGGCCAATTGTCGAGCCACAAGGGCTATCATTACGAACAACAAATTCCTTTTAAACCAATATATTTATCAGCTCCTGGTATCACTTTGGCCACAGTAGCCAACGCAAAGACAAAAACCTACCTGAATGGGGATCACATGCTTCTTTGCCAGCTCTTTCAAGACCAAACTGGTGACTGCAGTCGTAGCATATCTCTATTGTATTGTTGTCAACATCTCTTGTGCGAGCCATTTTCACAGTTCTATGAGCATAGTTACCTGGTTTGCGTTGATCTTAATAACAGTACCCTTGTGCATGTGTGGTCGGTGGTTTTCTTCGTGTTTTTCGGGGTAGTTGGGATGAATGGCATGTGCCATATCTGCACTGATGAGGATACTCTTGTGCATGGCCTCTTCAAAGGCAGTGGGCGATACGTTTTCGCCAGATAACAGTTCAGTGTTGGCCAAGCGCTGCAAGGTGGTTGGCAAAAGATTCGAGTCAGCACCGTGGGCGGTGGTGCTGCCAATTTCTTCATTGTCAAAGCAAACGGTCACACGGACGTTGGTATCGTTCTCAATGTTCTTGGATTGCAGCAATGCTCGGATAGCGCAGTAGCTCATTTCTTGGTTGTCAAGACGAGGTGAGAAAATGAACTCGTTGCATACGCCACCAATTGTTGAGCCCTGTATATTCATACCCAGAGTGATTAGCAAAACATCAAGTACTGTTCTCTCTCTCTACTACTATCTAGCTGTTTAATTACTTGAGTATCGTACAGAGCCAACTCGAAATCGCGAATTTGGCTTGCTATAAAAGATAGCAGACGTCAGTAAAAAGACAGATAGGTCAACCATGACACAGTTATTCTAACCACAATATAAAGATAATACTACTAACGTTTGACGCCCATTTCGTCGGCAAGTACACGAATCAACAAGGGGTGGTGGCCTTCTTCTGCTTCAATATGTTCGTCACTTTCAGTCTTGTTCAACTCTCTAACCGATGAAAAAATTTGAGTTTCAAGTATGCATATAAAAGAAAGAGGGTATATCTAATTGTATAAATGGAAAAAAGGAATGTCATGTACGCTTTGGTGGCAGTAGCAAGAATGGGTGCAAGCTGGACTTCTTTGTTGAACGTGAACTACGGATAGTAAATGTGTTCAGTTCATTAAATAGAATTTACTTTCATTTTCTTATTTGCCAGCACATTAATATACTTACACTGTCGTTGGCATTACGATCCAAGTGGATTGCAAGTGTGGGAATACGCAAAAGAGGTCTAGGCACCCCAAAGTACATTAACCAAACAATGTACCTTCTCTATTCCACTAACTCAAAAAATTCATCCTTTTACCTACCTGTCCACTTTTACCAATGTGTGACGATATTTGCCATCGTTGTCTTCGATCATGACGCGTCCAGCAACGCTCAAATCACGGTCAAACCATGTGTGCCTAATCCGCAACCCCCATATTTGTTAGGTATCCGAGTTGTTTATCACGATTCTTGTGTCCCTTACCAGATACCACCGCCGTAAAGCTGGACGCCAACTTCCAGATAACTACTCTTTTCCTTTTTGGAGATAGGCTTGACCTGATGTGCATAGTATCATAAGTAAACTTTTCGATTCAACAAGAAGCTTCTTTCCTTTCATGTAATTTTTACCTTTAAGCAAGGAGAATCAGTATGCGCGCCCACAATAGAAAATCCGTTACCAGGAATGTATTTGCCACCGACAACAAAAGCAACGATCGACGAGCCGTTTCGAGTAAAATAGTATTTGCCATTGCGTTCTATAGCACCATTCCAGTTGTCACGTTCCTTGATCTCTTTGAAACCTGCCTATATTTACCCCCAACTCCGTACGTAAGGACCAACTTTTGTCTGTTCTATTATTCATATTTGCCAAAAATGTGTGTATACCTGTTTCAGCAGCTCAGCAGCTTCATGAGTGCAGTGGAAGGGCGATGGCGACTTGTTGACGAAATCCACAAAGTCGCGTGCTGGATGTAACATTGTTCTAATACTTTAAAACACATGCATAAAATTCGAGAAGTCTGAACAAAAAGTTGAGGGTGACATACCTTCTTGAGGAATAGAAGGATTGAACTATACAATTCAATTCCGAGAAAAGCTAACTTAGTATATTACACTTTTATAGCAGCAATAATCGTTTAATGGGTTACCATGATTCTTCTGGAAATGTACGTGAGAGACTAAATAAAAAAAGAAGAAGCTTGCGTGTGTAGTATGTATGCGCGAAAATAGACGGGCGAAAGTTTTTCCTGACGGAATTGACGGTCATTCCGCTGTCAGGTGGGACAGGCTGAACCTGATTACAAAAAAGAGTAAAAGTTGCCTAAAACGAGGGTCAGCCTTCATTTGACGTTGATAGACGTTTAACCATTACACCCGAGAAGATTGGTCACTATCAATCTATTCAAGAGCTCTCAGAAACGTATCTCAATAGTGGGATTCCCAGTGTATAAAAAAAGGAAGGGTGGCAGTATTAATACGTGAGTAGAGACCGCGAGAAAAATTGAACAACTTTATTCTTCTTTGTAAAGATAGCCAGGTAAGAAAAAGAAAGGTTAATACTGCTACTGCTGCTAAGGAGAAGGGGAACCATGACAGCCACAACTGCTGCTGCTATCGCTACTTTAAGTATTCCATCGTCTTCAAAAATTTGCCAAATCGTTGCACCTCATCCACCAGCAAAGCTCCACACTCCAAGGCCGGAAAATGACCTCCCTAAAGATAGCAGAGAGTGAGAAAGAGAATACCATAGTGAAGCAAAAGCATATATGTACATACCATGTCGAGTTCGTTGTATTGCTGCAAATTGAAGTTTGCTTCAAGCCATTCGCGAGGGACCTACATAGTAAGATTCAGTCACCGTGCTGTCAGCTTGTTTGTTTCATGACAATCGCACCATATTTTATCAAGTAATACCTTGCTTAGATCAGCAGGGAAGCAGGACACTGCACTCGGGATGTTGACGTAAAGCGGGAACACCGCCTTCACTCCTGCATCATTGAAGGTTTCATAGTAGAAACGGATCGACGAGGAAATTGAATTTGTCAGCCAGAAGAGGGTGGCTTGAGTGAGGAACTCGTCGGTGGTGATGGTGTCTGGCAACACGACACTGTCATCTTTGTTTTCCGGATATGACCAATTGTGGTACTTTTCGAGTAGCCAAGCTAGGTATTTTTTGTGTCAGTTAGTGGGAAAAATGATGAATTTCTATAACAATTACTAATGATAAATGGGGTTATGATGCACTTACCCAAAAGGCCCACTGGACTGTCAGTCAAACCATATGCTAGAGTGTACGGTCGTGTACTCTGGATGGCACAGTAACCAAGCTCAGGATCATTTTCAACGTCGACAAACGATCGACCCTTGATTTTGGAAGTACCACGACCATAGACTGTGTCCATACCGAGAGCGATGCTAGCCATAAACTTTGCCACCTTGAGTGGGTGGGACCATAGAAAACCGTGCGTTGGGATGGGTGGCATACATCAGGACGTGGCCGTGTGGAATCCCTTGCACTGCTGAGGATGCTTGACAGCGAGCCATTTGCCGACCATGGTGCCAAAGTCGGATCCGTGAACCACTTGAACAGATAGAGGTATATATTTATTCAGCATATGCTCTTGGTATTGCATCGAAAAAGAAACGGTCGTATTCACTGTAATCATCGTAACCGAGTACTGATGTCATGAGCTGTGAAAGATTTCACCGCTCTTTGAGCCACCGTGGCCGGGAAGTTTGGGTGCTTCTGAAAAGCCAAATCCAGCATGGCTTGCAATCACCACATGGAAAGCCTACGGTATGCGCGCCTTTGTTTCGTATCATCAAAGCTTTTCTTTTTTAAGAGTTTTTGTTTTTCTTCCTACTTACATGACCGCCATTAGCACCGTCTCGAAGAGAATCGATCACCTTGTGATATTCGTAAAAGCTTGACGGCCAGCCGTTCAGCATGAGGAGAGGAACAGCATCAAGGTTGCTCGAACGTTCATGGATAAAGTGCTCCCGTAAATTTTGGATTTCCACGCGGTAGTGGTGCCACTTGTTCATTTCGGCACGCGCCTTCTCCCAGTCATAGTCATTGAGCCATGCTTCCACTAGTGGTTTGACAACCCATCGTGGCGCACCATACTCCCATCCAACCTCCTTTCCAAGCTCATTGGGATACTTGGCATTTTGGAGTTTCTGTTTGAGCAAAGCGAGTCTTTCAGCGGGTATTGATGGGATCTCAAAGGGTTCGATTGTTGATGACATCTAATTATTTCTGTTTGTTGAAACAAGAAAAGAAGAGAAGAAAACGCTTTTCCATGTTGTTGTTGTTGCTGCGGATTATAATCTTACCCTCAACCTATACAAACAATGAACTATTTTAAACTTCTGTCGCAGTTACATCGCCGGTGAGTTTTTCTTTTTTTTTTCTTTTTGAATTGGCTATGTTGAAGAATTATCGACTATACGCTGCCCATGTGTAAAATTACGGTCAGCGAAAGCAACTACATAAAACAGTCCAGGATTTCCTTCAGAAGCCTGTACTACAAAAGACATATGTACATAGAAAGAACCTATATTCAATATGCCTTTACCAATCCCAGCTAACCACTATTGAATAAAACCTTTTACTCGGATGATTCACCTTACGTGAACAGGACAATAAACCTATCAAGTATCAACAGGTACATCGGCCATTACATCAGCTAACGCCGGTTTCAAAGATGTGCCCGATTAACATAGCGACTTCAATAGAAGTTCTGATACGTCTGTCTATCACATAGTTTATCCACTAGTATTAGGATGAATTGATATCGTCGTCGCGCAAGAAAGTGTTGCTACCTTTAAACAAAACCGTTTGCAAGTAAGTATATAATTTTAGCTAGGAAAAAACAACATTAAGACAACTCCTCTGACCAGTGTTTCTCATTGCATTTCTCTATAATGCAGTGATGTTCTTAGCTCGAAGCGAGGATGCCTTCGAAAAAGACAAGCAACGTAAATTACATCTTCATAAAATGCATACTAAGGGTATAAGGAGTAATGCATGTACGTTTATTTACACTGTTTATCATAGATCTTTACATGACGGACAGCATCGAGAAGGAGGAGCAACAGAAGGGTTACGAATATCAAGCAATCGAAGAGCCGGACGTTGACTTAGACGTGGATGTGGCGGTAAAAAAAACGACGTCAGAGCGTCATGGTAACAGAAAGAAATTTCTCCACGATGTACAAGAGAGCAGTGACGATGACAAACCTTTGAGAAAAGAAGAGCCGTGTAGTAAAGGTGTAGTAGTGATAAGGTTTAGTGTGGAAGTTCGCAAAAGAATAAAACGTAGTTCATGTGAGAAGGTCTTTGTGAGTTATAAGCGATGCGCTTAATAATATGGGTCGATTTGGGTTACTTCTGGTTTTTTGCTAGTAATGAAGGCACGTGAATATCAGTAGATCCTTGTGAAAGCTGTTTTTAGTGAATCTGGGCGAAATTGCTAAACACTTACCGTGGTGATACTCTACAAGTACTGGCTTAGCAGCGTCGATAATGTTCAAGCGGAACGGGAAGCATGCGAGATCCATCCTAGCACTACTGGTGTATTCAATTTTGATTCAAACGTGGCAAGGTCTCTTGGCGTTGTCACACTATGATACTTGGCTTTTTTCTAACCAAATCTACGCATGACAGCCTATGATCTTTACAAAAATGGCGTCACTACTATTGTGCTCAATGTAAGTTTCTATATTTTATCTATGCCATATCCATCTTTTTGCAGTATCATAACCCCATGAAAAACTGCTACTGCAAGAAACGGGTCTACTGTAATTACTACTTAATGCTATGACGAGAAAGAGGTAGAAATAAGAACATGGACCAACAAAGGAACGATTCTTTGGATGGATCAGAATAGTAACTATGACATTAAGTACTTTATTTAAAGATTATGATATAAGAGATGCTAACTATGGATGGATGATCATATTTAAAGTTGTTTACATGTTCGTGGTATTTGATGATGGAAATTGTCAGTTGCAATGCACCATGCAGAAACGCTTTCTGTGGAATTTGTCCATGATTGTATCCATGAAGGGTGTACCATTTGTATCTCAATGATTTTGTTCCCAGAAATCTGCGTCAACAAGCGTTGTGATCTCCAGCGTATGGTAAATGTCATAGAAACGGCTGATATTTTCTGTAAATTTGGAAATTTCCTTAATGCATGTAGGCAGCTCAAACGAGTGTAGTTCTGCCATCGTGTACGTGCCGTCAGCGATTAGTGTCGAGCTATAGAATGTAATAACAGGCCCTACATTACATAAATAAAGAGATTTGATGAATAATGAGCTAAAAGCGTGCGTTATATCTTGCTCAGCAATTTCACCCTTACACTTAACCAACTGCTTGAAAGGTTACTATTAATTTGGCTCGCGAAAAATCAATCGCGTCCTTGGCAAAACGTGACAATCTCATAAGGTCGATAGCACTAAGACGGTCCATGGCTGTATCGGGTTTAACTTCGCCAAACAAGCATGAATGACAAAATGCCAGTGAATTGATATCGCTCGGTATTGAATCTGGGTGCACAATCCTTTTTGTTCGACATGCTCATTCAACGGCATTGCAGGATGTGCAGTACCAAATTGGCTATAAATTTACAATAGTTTTTGATATATCTAATAAATTGCTTGCTGCTATATTAAATTATATCATCCATTTTGATATTTTATCAATTTTATGACATCATGTGACCAAAATCATGTATTCAATGATTATAAAAATTGAAAATCCATAATATAAACAAAGAACGACCCAATGGATACAACAAACTATACACCACTGATTACAAATGAAGTAAACTCAATTATTGCAAATTATTAGCAATTCCTAGAATGGAATTGGCCTACTGTATATAATAAATATAAACATAGAACTGATTTGAAACATATTAAATTCATAGAAAAAATCAAGGATGAATTGTTACGTAAATTAGGTTATGTTGCTGTATTTTATTTTCTAGTAGTTTTATATACAAACAAGAAATATCCTGGACCCTACTTTGAAATTAAAAAAGGATTGTTTTTATTATATCATTTAGTCTCTAGAGTATATGGTGAAGAATTTGAAAAATACTTACTACATAGCACATTTCATACATTTTATAAAAAGTTTTGGATGGATGAGGACAACTACAAACGAATCAACAAAATAGTAAATGATTCAATGAATAACATGTTTTCATCTATCAAATTACGTATTCTATCTACTAGAAAGCATAATCCCGACTTATTTAAATATGTAACACTTGTATTGGATGGTCATGATTCAAGAATTAACTATGTAGATACTGAAATTGACCACTTTCAAAGAATGTATTCTTATAAATTTAAGAAGAATGGAATACGTACCCAATTTGTTAGTGATATGAATGATATGATTATTTATACTTCTAAAAGTGACTTTTGTTCTGATAGCTCAGATGGTAGCATGTTTTTAAACATGAAATTATTTAAATATATGCATGAGAATGACATAATGGCAGTTGATAGTAGATATACTTTGCTTATCACATAATTTACAGAGCTTGCTAATGAAAAAGGATATAACTTTAGTCATGATAATTTTGTATATCCTATATGTAAAAATGTAAATGAGCCCTTAATGATTACTGAGGATCATTTTAATAAGACATTTGGAAGTTTTAGGACAAAAGTTGAGAATCAATTTTCAGAAATTGGGAATAAATTCTGCCGATTCAATAATAACAAGTCAGTTGTTAAAATGGATAACATAAATACTATAATCTGCAATTTCGTGTAGCTTGTTTATTAAAAAATATTACAAAATTTGTAGGAATGTTCAATATTCCTATTTTACCATACCATAAACTATGGCACAGTAATGATTTTAATTTTCCAGTAGAGCATAAACTAATTGATATAGTGGTCAGCAATGATAAACAAAATAAAGATAAACTAGATAAAATGATCAGATTGCAAAATGACCTGCTTAATATGGCTATATCAAATGAAGAAATGATTGTTGATAATGAATCTGATAATAATGTAAATCAGAGTAATAGTGATAATGATGATGTTCCAAGATTTAATGAGCATAGTAAAAAAAGAAAGCGAAATAAAGGGAAACAACAAGCAATGGCATAATATGAAATAGAAGAGATTATTAGGCATAAAACTGAAAATGGTACATATTTGTTTGAGGTAAAATGGGTTGGATATAGTGCTGATGATAACAGTTGGTTATCAATTGATAAATTTAATCAAAAGGATTTATTGAAGGAATATATCAATAAGCATAATCTTGGTATATTATAAAATTGCATACTCTACTATTTACAATATTTTCTTCAACTAGTATATAATATAATGTGAATTCATACCTAGTATTCCTTTCTTACCAATTATTTTTATATATACACAAAATTCAATTTTTTGTACAATTTGGATTTTTACAGCCAATAAGTTTCTTACAGCCAATAGTATTATCTAATATCTAATTGGAGTTAGATGTCCCCCATTGATTTCTGGCCTGGTGCGTACATATGAGGAGATCATTCAAATCAATGAAAATTGTTAAGTAAACAAAAACACGGGAACTAGATGAATGAAAAACGACAACATTGCAATAAAGCATATACATACCATCGTAGGCGACGTTCCCTAGAGCTCAATAAAGGTCTCAGGATCAAGTCTATGACTAATGGTATCAGGTCATGCTCCCCTAATGGCTCCTTCAAACGCAGTTTGGGAAAATCTTCTAGGCTGGTATGGTTCAAAGTTAATGGATGAATAGCAATTAGTACACATTGTCACAGCGATAGGCGATTCATACAGTGATACCCTTTTCACTTACATGTTCAACTAGACACGGATAGTTCTGTAATGGAACGTCCTTGGTTGGTAACCGTATATTTTCTTGTTCAGTTCTGTAATGACTGTGTCAGCATTACAGTAAGGTAGATCCAGTGGCTTTTCAGAATGGAAATAATAGAAAAAAAGTATGAGGACTTGTGATTATGCTTTTAGTGCTAATCAATCATGTTGCCTCTACTCACTTTAAGAATAGCGGCAATGGATGTCATGAACGACTGATCAAACGTATTGAACATAGAGCAATGGTTCTCTAATACGCGCATGTGCGTCTGCTGGAGTACTTGTTCGCCAATTATATCTTTTTGAATGGTAGAGAATTGGTTCGCCTTCAGTAAAAGAACGTGATTTAAGCCACTATGTACATCTATTATTTTAGTGAGTGTAAAACAACCCTTAAGCATCCCAGTATATATATAACAAGGTACTTACACAAGTTCAGTGACATGCGAATTGTAGGAGAACTTTATCAATCTTGTGAGAGCCTTGACATGGGACTTGTACAGTCAACCCCCATTAACGTCAACCCCAATAACGTCAACCCCCGATAGCACCAACAGATTCGCTGGTAACCTTCTAAAGTTAGCAGTTATTATCTGAAAATGGATTCAATTCATTAAAGGCTTATGGAGCAAATGCTTTTGGATTAAATAAATTATCTATTACCAAAAGATTAGAATGGGTTGATCAACATTTTTTAGAAATCTTAGATTTAAATTCAGGATTATGGAGAAAAGCTGATGAACCTATGTTATTTTTAGCTTTTTGTTTTGAGTTACAAGGTTATAATAAGGATCCATTAAACTTTATTTCTAGATTACCAATTTATTTAAATGCAACATGTAATGGTGTACAACATTTAGCTGCAATGATTTCTGATTTTGATCTAGCTAGTAAAGTTAATTTAGTTGAATCTGATATGAAAGATGATCCTAATGATCTTTATAGTTTAATATTAAATCCTATTAATGAAGAAATTAAGAAAATAGAGGAATATGATTTAGAGTATATCAGATTAAAGGGTTTAGTATAAAATAGAAAGATTGTAAAAAGAAGTTTAGTAACTATTTCATATAGAGTTAAGATTAAAGGAATTTATGATCAATTAATTCAAGATCATTTTTCTATATATAAAAAAATTGATGGGAAAATGTTTTATAAACCTAAAGATGAGAATAAATTAACTTTAATCATAAGTAAAGAATTAATGTTATTAGCTAAATTTATTCATAAATCATTATATGTTGTACATCCTAAATTAAATGAATTATCTAACTATTTTAATAATATGGTTTTATTAATATTTAATTTAAACTTCCTATTGTTTAGATTACTCCTTCAGGATTATTAATTAGTCAAAAATATGTGAAATTCACATCTGTAACATTATCTACTAAAGTTTTAGGTAAAACTAAGAAAATTCTTGTAAAAAGTCCTATTAAAGAAAAAATTAATAAGATTAAACAAGTAAATGCATTTATTCCTAACTTTGTACATTCAATGGATGGAAGTCATGTAGCGTTATTAATTAAAGAAATTTTATCTAAAGAAAAAAATATAAATATTTTAACTGTACATGATTGTTTTGCTACAAATGCTAATGATGTATATATTCTTTAAAATATGGTTAAAATAAGTTTTATTAGAATTTATGGTAATGATGAATTTATTAACAATTTTCACAAATTTGTCTTAGATTATATTAGTAAAAATTACTTAATTAATATTGATAAAACTTTAGTGATTGATAATAATAATAATGTTTATAGTATTCCCCATAAACCAGAATTTAAGAAAACATTAAACTTAACAATACAATTACTGAAACAACTTATTTTATTAATTAAATATTAAATTAATTAAAGACAAATATGTTTTTTTCCTCATTATCTAGATAATAAATGGAGATGGGGTTCTTTTTATGGTATACGTATCGAAGAAGGATAGTTTAAAGTGGTAAAGATAATCTTAATAAAACATAAAGATAATCCTATAATTTTAAACTCCCTTTTTATAAAATAAAGGTAACAAGGAGCCTCTAATCCCACCCCCAGTTTCTAATAATTTAAAATCTTTATTTTATTTATCAATTTCATTAAATACTATTAAAAGTAATATATAAATTGTATTTAATTACAAAAAAAGGAACAAAATATTTCATAAAATATTATGTTCCATAAAAACATTAATAAATTTATTATTAACAGTTTTTTATTAAAATTGTATTTATTCATTAATAATTAAAGGTGCTGTACTAACCCATTCACTATTTATAAACACTTTTTTTCGTTTGTTAAAATTAGATGATAATCTTATCTCTATATTTCTAATTTGAATATTAGCTGTATATAGATTTTTAAACCATTTCATTTTATATTTAGTAATAGAAATACCTGCAGCAAGTTTATTAAAATCTTGAAGTGTTAAATCAGACCCAATAGTTCTTGCTTTAATAATTATATCACTATTATATTTATCAACTAAATATATTTTAGGACCTACATATAAACCATTAAAATTAGATTATTCTAATTTTAATTGTCCTAATTCTGCTCCTACATATTCAGAAGGTAAAGCTTTATCTACAATTAAAGAATCTGTATCTGTTTAATAATATATATACCCTTTTAAATGCATTAATTTATTCATATACATTCATGAATAGGTTGTAATTGCTGCTGCAATAGGAATAGATTGTGAAACAGTTCTTTTTGAAGAATCATATTTTAGAAGTTCATTATCAAAACCTTGTTCAGATAATTCACATAAATTTTGATCAGGAGTAATATTATATCTAACTAAATGTTTGTTTTTAGGTAATTCAAAAATAGTACAGTGAACCCCCGCTTTTTGCAACAGCGGGAATACTGTCAAAAAAGTTGCAAAATCTGAGGAACTGCAAAATGTGAATATGTTACACAAGTGGGATCGATAAGCTGGCAATCACATCTTTCCTTATTTAGTTTAAAAGCTCTTAAATAATAGAATACAATAGTGTATCTCTTTTGTCACTAGTTCGAGTCTTACTGTCTCTGAAGTTTGAGATTAATATACAATATATAAGGCTGAAGCGGGAAATTGCAGGTCCCGATTTCTAAGTTGCAATCTGCAAAAACTGAGGAATCTGCAATTTTACTAAGTGTTGAGCGGGAATCTGCTCAAAAAAGTTGCAATAAGTGGGGATCTGCAATAAACGGGGGTGCAAAAAGCGGGGGTTCACTGTATTAACAATATAGGAAGTTAATAATTTATCCATTTCTTCTTTATTTATTAAATCATCCCTATTCTTCCAAATAATGAATTTAATAATAATTTATAAACTTCTCGTAATGGACCTTCTGATCTTTATTTATGGAAATAACAAGTTAGGACATAATTTATAGAGACATTTATACCTCTATCAAATTGATAACTATATAAAACATTAATTTCATAATTAAATTCTTTAGATTGTTTTAATTCTTCAGAAAAATACCATCCTTTCCATGATCCTAAAGGACAATGCATTTTTTCATTATCTCTGTAAGGTAAAGTAGGAATAAATAAATTATCTGGTGTTTTAATTTCAGCATAAACAAAACCAAAGTAATCATCTAAATTTGTATTACTACTAAATCTTAGTTTTCCAATAGGCATATCATTTAACATTGAGAAAAGATATAATGAATTTATAACGTATTGATATAAATTAGATCCTTTAGGATTAAATACATCAACTCTCCCACCATAGAAACTCTTTCAAATATCATCATGAGCTCTTCCTTGTACTTTATAAATGTTATGTTTCATAAAGTTAGTAGTAAAAATATTTAGTGCTAATCCCGAAATTGTAATAGATTTAGTAGTATTTAGTCTAAATTCATTATAAATTAATTTACTTATTTCATCTAAGATTTGATATAAACATAATAAATCTTTTTCTAGATAATAATTAGTTTTATCTCTTAAAGACTAATTAGCATTAATTAATTTTTTATAATCATTAATATTAAAATCTTTATCAAACATATAATATTCATAATGAGGAATTGTTCTAACATATTCTAAATTATTCTTATTTACAAAATCATATAGAAAAACTCCTTTTTGTGTTTCATTATTAAAAGCTTTACCTAATTTTTTTAAACTACTTGGTAAGAAATTTAGAGAATCTAACAATGTAATACTAATAAGATTTTGCCTATTCTCTACCCCCAAGGATCGTCAACCCTCAATATGGTTAATACTTTTGCTGGTAACCTGAGGGTTGACGTTAACAGGGGTCGACTGTATGCGTAAAACTTAACAGCAATGTCGTCATTTGACCTTAGCGGTTCTCCTATGTCGAGTTCGCTTGCTGCGATTCTAATAATGTTTGGCTCAGGTAAAGTCTGACATGACTTAAAATAGATGATACCATCTTATAGTCAAATATTATAAAGAAGTAAATGATGATCAAACAACAAAAATAAGAAAGTAACCTCTTCGTCAAACACCTGCTCCTCCTATCAAAGATAAGATCATTGAAAGTTTAGATCACATCTGCTGGGTCAAGGTTTTTTCAATGTTTTGACCTACCTTGTCCTTGCTTGAGAAAATTCAGTAACCGGATCATCGACTAATTGTCATTTTGCTCGCTCCTTATCAACATTTTCTTTACAATGTGAACTATCGTCAACGTCATTAGCTCCAGGTTTTATTAAGTTCTAAGTTTTAAAACTGAAAGTAGATACATACCTTCTTCTGCTGGACGCTTTTTCGCTGACTGTGGTCCTACCGAGCTTGATGGTTGTGTATATGTTTCTGAGGATGTTGACAGTTCTGGGCATGCAGGTGGTCCTCTAGTAGTCGATGAGTTTGTTGTTTTGACAATGGATGTTTGTGCTACTCCGACGAATCCATTATTATTAGGTGCATATAATACAAGTGCTGTGTTATCCGCTTGGCTGCTGGTTTCAACTGTATCATTCTACACTCATTGATTACAAAAAAGAGAGCCTGGTTAAATAAATGACCAACACAAAACTGAAAAGGAAGATTAACATTTGTTGGGCCTCTTTCTTTCTGCAAACGATGTAGCCGACAACTTCACATGGAAGATCGCATGAGCGTAACCACTTCAAGTCATCAATGAATTCTAATCGAATTAGTCTCTTCTCTTTATCCATTGGAAACTGTCTTGAGTATGCCTCCAGGTTCCATTCCAACAACGGGCGGTTAGAGAAGAAATTACGCGTGCCTTGTGCTTCGAGTTCAAATGTGCAGGTTGCGAAATGCTTAGGAGGTTTAATGGGTTTCATATGTAAGGCTGAAATGTGTGGGTAGGAGAAAAGGGTTATGTGTAGCGTTGGTGAACACAGAAGGTTGAAGTGTGAGAGTGTGCGGGTGTAGGACTTTGAAACGGCGACTTTTACCAAAGCCCATTTAATGCAACTACACCTGCGCTGATACTCTCACTCATTTTCTACATGCTTGTCCTATCAATGTGCTATTTGGTACACTATCTGGTCGGACTTATTTCTTTTCTCTCCTACGACTCTACAAGTTCATCATGCACTCTTTTCACTGAGCTTTCCCTATAATCCTTCTGCAGTCAGCAGCCATATGACCATTTCTTGTATTCTCCACATCTGTGGTCCACCCGCTGGCGCTATGTTTTTGATCAAGTCCCCTTTAACCACGATCGCATTTGCAGTAATATCCATTTTCTCATCACCAACAACCGCCCTTTCATCAACTATGAACCACCCTAGCACTTCTGCATCCATATTACATTCCAAAAAAAAATGAAACCACAAAAAAAAAACAAAATCAATCAGTACCCTGTCTCCAAAGTATTACGCACCCCTCTTGCACCAAGTCCAACCATCTGTCTCGTCGTCGTCCAGAGTTACTCTTAGTTATTTCGTACTTAGTCTCCAGTCTCATTACACCATCCATTCTCTTGTCTATATCTCTTTCACTCCCCAATACATATAGGCAAATAAAAATTGACCCACAGTCACCTACAAAAAAAGGTAACTACACCTGCGAATTTTTGGGAATAGGAAGAGTGCTACATACAAAAAATAGTAGCACTTGACGTATTATATAAACTAGCGTTGAAACCAAGAAAAACGACATATAGCTATTTAATACAGACAGCTGGTTCTGTTATAGAGGAGTTGTTGATAACAAACAACTAAGCAGTAAATATTCCGTGCCTTACAAAATTCGAACATGCACGACTCATGACTTGAGTCTCTTTTTCGGTGCTTTTATACCCGCCGTCAGTGACACTAAAAATTTGAGCAGTCCTGGCTTGCTTTTATTATTACGTTGGCATTCCCACATCGCCCATTCCTGTTGCGTTGACGACAAGCAGTTTCAGACTGCCGAGATGTATGCGGATACTTATAGAATTTAAGGCAAGTATTTTCTCTACCTGTTTCAGAGAAATGTTTTAAAAGACATCGGCAAAACACAACTTGGCCGCAAGGTGACAAAAGTGTCCCGCTTTGCCAAAGGACTCTGTAAGGCATTGCCATACACTGTTGTGAGCAGTTCTGTGAAACTGGCATCTATCCTATGATGTGACAAAGGCCCCCTTCAGGTGGTGGGAAAAACCTTGTTGTTTCCTGTTGTCTGAACACGGCTGTTTCGCGAACTGTGAGATGTCTGTGGTGAAGGACATGGCTTGGCCGCAAGGTGACAAAAGTGTCCCGCTTTGCCAAAGGACTCTGTAAGGCATTGCCATACACTGCCATGAGTAGTTCTGTGAAACTGGTATCTATCCTATGATGTGACAAAGGCCCCCTTCAGGTGGTGGGAAACACCTTGTTGTTTCCTGTTGTCTGAACACGGCTGTTTCGCGAACTGTCCTTGCCTTCACCATTGGTATACAGCATTACATGAAATGATATTAATTGATTTCGTGGCAAGCCATTGTATTGTGCTATAAGACAAAATATGATTATAGGGAATCCTGCATAATGTCTCTTATCGTGATAGTAGTAGATAAGTACAATCTTTTTTTTCCAAAGCTTTCATAAATCTATACTAACAATCTGGCCTAACAACCGCTCAAATAGGGTCCCGTATACTCGAAGAAAACAAGTTGTGACAACCTTTACGACAGATGAGGTGAGCTGAGAAAAAAGAGGAGAGAGCAATTGTAAATTGGTCGTGTATTCACTTTCTATCACTCCTCGATGCATCGAAATAAGGATACTGCCCTTACAAATGCTACCACTATTAGTTCATAAAGACAAGGATAGCAACGGTTGAGAAACGAGACTAAGCACGACAATTGGGTAACAGATGGAAGGAAATACTCGGATGGCTGGCATGTTCGATTACTGAAAGTATGCTGAAGATTGGGAAAACTGTTAACGAATCATCAACCACCGTCATGGCACCCACTACCCCCGTCGTGCTCGAACCCTACTGTCAGGCCGTTTTGGATAATCTTCCTGAGTTTGACATCACTCAAATCCCTCCTGAGCTCACGCGTGCTGCCGAGGGTAAGGTGCCCGTTGATGTACCTGAAGTGCTTGAAGAGCGCAAGTCGATCCCTAGCCGCGACGGTTCCAAGTCCATCAGCCTCACAATCACTCGTCCTGTCGGTAGTGAGAACAAGGTTCTTCCCGTTATTATCTACCTGTACGTTCTGCATTGCCACACAGTGTGTTTCTTTTCCCATCACGCAGTAAACTAACACATATAATATACAGGCACGGCGGAGGATGGGTTTTAGGTAGTGAATTGAATTACAAACCAGTCCGCTACGAGGTAATGCATTCTCATCGATTTTTGTATCCACAACAACGTTAGCGCACTCACGCTAACATATCATTCATATGTGTAGCTCACTGTCCGTGCCAACGCCGTTGTCATTTTCGTAAACTACTCACTATCCCCCGAAGTGCGTCATCCTGTTGCCTTGGAAGAATGCTATGATACCCTTGAATGGATTGCTAAAAACGGTGCCTCCATCAATGTCGACACGAGCAAGCTGGTCGTTGCAGGTGATAGCGCTGGCGGTAATCTCACTACTGTCTTATCAAGTACGCTTTATTCCACACTTCTTTTGTTTTCCCCCCATCTTTGAACCATTATGCTCTAGAAATAGTTGGCTCATATGACGTTGCATTGAACCCCATTCTTGCTACGCCTTGTTTCTAGTGCTCGACAAGAAACGCGGTCTTAATGCCATCAAATACCAAGTACTTTACTATCCCGTGACCGATGCCAACTTTTCCACTGGCTCGTACAATCAGTTCCAAGAGGGCTATTACTTGACGCGCAAGATGATGGAGTGGTTCTGGAATCAGTATGTTCCCGAAGAAAAGGATCGTCGCGACATTACCGCAGCACCTTTACATGCTTCGGACGAGGATTTGAAGGGATTGCCACCAGCTTTTGTCATGACGGCAGAAGCCGATGTATTGCGTGATGAAGGTGAGGCGTATGCTCGGAAGCTTGTGGCTGCTGGTGTTCAAGTCACTGCCGTGCGCGTGCTGGGCTTGATTCACGGTGTATTCAACGTTGGCAACTTGAGCCCTCTCACTTCATGGGTTGTTGATCAAACCGTGGAGACTTTGCAAAAGTTTTGGGGGACGCGTGCGAACCTTTGAAAGCCTTCAAGATATACAATTTGTAATACCGCGGGAATAAAGTCTCTTTTTATGCACCCTCACACATGCATATAAAAATTTAAGGATCTTTCGCCTATTTTTGTCTTTTTGCACTTTTCTTCTTCTTCAATCTCCCTAAACAAGACACAGCGACAGCTACATACAAAAAACAGCATGGCACCTGTAGAAGTTGCACTCGACCCGGTTTATGCTGCGTTCTGTGAACAGGCAAAGCACAACCCAAAATTTAGCGACGGATCTATACCTCTTCCCGCCTTTCGCGAGGCTGCTAACCAGCGCTTGAAAGGAGTCAAAAACTTGCCCGAGGTTATCGAGGAAGATAAGGTCGTCGTTCACAATAGCATTGATGTCCGTTTGACTCTTTTCCGGCCACCAGGAACCGAGAATGAAATTCTCCCTGCTGTCGTATTCTAGTGAGTTCATACATTCTTATTGACCTTCGATATCCTCTTCTCTGGGAGGTTTAAACAATACTAAACCTGTTTCTTTTTGACATCAATTCAAAAGTCACGGCGGCGGTTGGGTTTTCGGTAGCAAATATACTCATGGCAAACTAGTTAAAGATGTAAGTTCGTACTTTAAGAAATGGAAAATTCACATGTATGATTACACACCGCTTCTATTGAATATCACAAGAGGAATACTAATGGCTGGCTCCTACAACCAGATTTGTGTGAGGAACAATGTAGCGGTTGTATTCGTTGACTACCCACTCGCTCCAGAGTCCAAGTATCCCGCAGCTCATGAAAACGCATTTGCAGCGCTCTCTTGGGTTGTTGAAAATGGCCACTCCATAAATGTTGACGTAAGCCGTCTTGCTGTCTGCGGCGACTCAGCAGGAGGCAATCTATCTGCAGTCATTCCATGTATGCATTACTATGTATATTAAGGATACGAAAGATTGAAAAGACAAAAGTGACAAAATGCAAAGCTAAAGAAGGACACTTTTACCGTTCTTAGTGATGGCCAAAGAACGTGGTCTACCAAGCGCTATCAAAGCTCAGATATTACTTTATCCCGCGACAGCAGCTTCGCGCGACAAGTACGAATCTGCAAAGCTTTTTGGCGGCGGCGACTACTATTTGAAAAACGAAGACGCTATATTCTTTGATAAGGCGTATTGGAATGACTGTGAGAAGACAAAGATCGGATTCCCAATGTTGGCGACCACCGAGGAGCTTCAAGGACTCCCACCAGCTCTAATTTTCACCGCAGAAGCAGACATTTTGCGTGATGAAGGTGAAGACTATGCTCGTCGATTGACCAATGCTGGAGTACTTAATGCCACTGTTCGGGTCATTGGCGCAAGTACGTATTATACTCTATGTTGAAGCATGCTTCTTCTCTTTGTTACCTTACTACTACAGTGGTGGATTGTGATTACTCATGGTTCCTTCTTGTATGTGCTTAAAAACAGTTCATGGATATGCTACTGTTCCTGTTGATACACCGGCGTATAAACAAACCATGGCCATGATTACCAATCAACTGAGTGAAGCTTTTGAGAAAAAGTGAAGTACTAATATGCGAATGTTTCTCTGAGCAATGTAATCGTCGGTGATACTGTGTTGAATCGTTTGTTGTCCCATACATTTATACAGTGGTTCCCCTAATATATCATTCTTCAAATTCATGGAAACCAGGGATTGTGAAAGTTAACGAAAGCTAGGTCAAACTGCCATGTACAGATTCTTTATCCAAACAGATCTTGATGTTACATGGATTAACCAACACTCAGGAAAATTGTCACTCTGACGGTCATGTACTTTATGTAGCCTATTGTCCGATACATATACCTGGCCGTATCGACATATTCTACACTACTTGATTCTGATGTTGAATCACATAATTCACATTGTACATTGCCTGCTGTCAAATACATTTACCGGGCCGAATTAACCTTTTCTTCATATACATTATAGATAAAGATACACCAAATGAAGAGACGATGGACGACCCTAACAAGGCTAGCGCAAAACTGTGAAAGAATTTCCACACCATTTCGGGAAGCCTTTCTGAGCATGCTCAAACGGTCGTAGGTTCGACCTCTCACTGCTGTCTGGTAAAAACGTCTTGCCTATGAAAAACAATCATCTCGCAGAATCCCCAGTGACAAATTGGATAGCCAACGCTTATGATAGATTTACCCATAGAAGCACACCGATGTGCCCTAGTTTTTCAACCAGGTTTCAGATTGTGTGTTTAACGTAATTGTCAGTTTTGATATTGTACATATACTAATAAAAAAAGGCTTGTATTGTGGTAAAGTTATTCTTGGTAGTTAAAGGTTACAGAGTGAGAGAATCCCTTACAAACAGACTCATTGTTTCTCACACAATCTTGCAGTTGACATGCACTTGGAAGAGCTTTATCCGAAGGCTGGATCATACACGGGCACTTGAATTAGTGTTACGGGCATGCGTCATAAAGTGAGCCGGAAGCGACGACAAAACAAGACAAGCCAAAGACAGAGGAGAGATGAATCTAGGTCAAGGCAAGAAGAATATCGGAAGGTCAAGGAGACCAGATGATGAGAAAGGAACAAGGAACAAGTCGAGTGATTACATTTATATTTAAGAAGGTTGATAAGTTGGGTGATGATTGACGATAAAGATGTTGAGGGATTGAGCAGAGGTCAACGAATAGTCATGACAGGAAGGGCCTCTATTGGGGTTAAAGCGATGCAAGCGAAATTTGAAAATTGACCCACAAGTCGCTTCAATAGCGGACGTTGCCCATAAACTGTGCCATTCGCTGCGTAAAAAAAGTTTCTCAACGAATTGGATGCGGTGAATAAAGCCAGCAGTGGTATTCCAACTGTGTCGGGGGCCTTCGAGCTATCGCCGGGTTGACATCGTGCTTCTACTTTTCGAAGTAGGAGTGGGGAGCTGAAAGTTCTTTTAAGAATGATCAGTTTCTTTTCCCATTCGTTCCCCACTTTTTACACAAAAAAAAGAAAATGACAATAATATAGCATCTGGAGCAAAGTCCAGCTTACTCGCTAAATTTTCCCTAATTATTTTTTTTTTCGGGCGAGTCTAACTTTTGCAAGCGGACCAGCTTTTGCTAGCGGACTCACATATAATCTTAGCGAGTCTATCAGAGTCTGTCAACTTTGACAAACCAATTGTCAGCAGTGCTAGCAACATCTACGTTTTGTGTGATTATTCTTAAAAGGCAAAGGGTTTTGTGCCATCAAAGAAGAGTCGGCTTGGGCTCACATGTATTAAAGAAAGCAGAATGGTTTAAGTGTGGTTGAAAATCGACTTCCCTATATGCCCCTAAGCACCAGTGAAAGATGCTCTCGCGACAATGTGCCGAATAAGGAAGCATGTCGATCCTGTTACACACAGTGCTTGTGATCCAAGAAAGAACGATGAGCACATTAAAAGAGCAGGAGGATTTTCGTACGGGTTGTTTTTCTGATAAAAAAAATGACTGATGCCGCTGCCTTGTGGTGATGTAAAAGAACCTGTCTTTGATCAATGGATTCATCACCGCAGCCCTGCGTAAGATTTACCTAAACAGACTGCTGCGGCGTTCGTGCGACTTCGTTACCATGGCAACCCGTTGCTGATAGCGTACTCTTTTTAACCCTTCCGGTCCACCACGCGGTTTGTGTGTTATCTATTTATATCAGCTCGGTTTGCATGAAGCAATGATCCTTTCTTTCTTTCTTTCTTTTTCACACACGCCCTTTTTCCTTCTCTGTGTCGACACACACACACACAACACGAATAAGACAAGACCCATGTCTAGCATCGAACCTTTTGAAATCCCGTCCATTCCACCTCAGCGTCTTGCTTCGCTCAAAGAAAAGCTACAGAACGTTGAGTATCCGAACGAGCTCGAAAAGAATGTCGGCTGGAAGTATGGTGCACCTCGACGAGCTGTTGAGCCTCTCGTTCAAGCCTGGCTCAACGACTACAACTGGGAAAAGGCGCGTGCCGAAATGAACAAGTGGCATCACTACCGCGCGGAAATCCAAAGTTTACGGGTGCACTTTATCCATGAACGTTCGAGCAACCCTGATGCTGTTCCTCTCCTCATGCTGAACGGCTGGCCGTCAAGCTTTTACGAATATCACAAGGTGATTGATTCTCTTCGAGACGGTGCTAATGGCGGTCAGGTAAGTAGAGAGAAAAAAAACACTCTTAAAAACGAAAAGCTGCGATGATACGAATGAAAGACGCGCATACGCAGGCCTTCCATGTGGTGATTGCAAGCCATGCTGGATTTGGCTTTTCAGAAGCACCCAAACTTCCCGGCCACGGTGGCTCAAAGAGCGGTGAAATCTTTCACGAGCTCATGACATCAGTACTCGGTTACGATGAATACAGTAAATATGACCGTTTCGTTGGATGCAATACCAAGAGCATGTGCTGATAAATGTATACCTATATCTGTTCAAGTGGTTCACGGATCCGACTTTGGCACCATGGTCGGCAAATGGCTCGCTGTCAAGCATCCTCAGCAGTGCAAGGGATTCCACACGGCCACGTCCGGATGTATGCCACCCATCCCAACGCCCGGTTTTCTATGGTCCCACCCACTCAAGGTGGCAAAGTTTATGGCTAGCATCGCTCTCGGTATGGACACCGTCTATGGTCGTGGTTCTTCCAAAATCAAGGGCCGATCGTTTGTCGACGTTGAAAATGATCCTGAACTTGGTTACTGTGCCATCCAGAGTACACGACCGTACACTTTAGCATATGGTTTGACTGACAGTCCAGTGGGCCTTTTGGGTAAATGCATCATAACCCCATCTATCATCAGTAATTGATCATTTTTCCCACTAAATGACACAAAAAATACCTAGCTTGGCTACTCGAAAAGTACCACAATTGGTCATATCCGGAAAACAAAGATGACAGTGTCGTGTTGCCAGACACCATCACCACCGACGAGTTCCTCACTCAAGTCACTCTCTTCTGGCTGACAAATTCGATTTCCTCGTCGATCCGTTTCTACTATGAAACCTTCAATGATGCAGGAGTGAAGGCGGTGTTCCCGCTTTACGTCAACATCCCGAGTGCAGTGTCCTGCTTCCCTGCTGATCTAAGCAAGGTATTACTTGATAAAAGATGGTGCGATTGTCATGAAACAAACAAGCTGACAGCACGGTGACTGAATCTTACTATGTAGGTCCCTCGCGAATGGCTTGAAGCAAACTTCAATTTGCAGCAATACAACGAACTCGACATGGTATGTACATATATGCTTTTGCTTCACTATGGTATTCTCTTGCTCACTCTCTGCTATCTTTAGGGAGGTCATTTTCCGGCCTTGGAGTGTGGAGCTTTGCTGGTGGATGAGGTGCAACGATTTGGCAAATTTTTGAAGACGATGGAATACTTAAAGTAGCGATAGCAGCAGCAGTTTTGGCTGTCATGGTTCCCCTTCTCCTTAGCAGCAGTAGCAGTATTAACCTTTCTTTTTCTTACCTGGCTATCTTTACAAAGAAGAATAAAGTTGTTCATTTTTTTCGCGGTCTCTACTCACAAGTATTATTACTGCCTTATACACTGGGACTCCCACTATTGAGATACGTTCCTGAGAGCTCTTGAATAGATTGATACTAACTGATCTTCTCGGGTGTAATGGTTAGACGTGTATTCAACGTCAAATGAAGGCTGACCATCGTTTTAGGCAACTTGTTTCTTTTCTGGTAAATAGGTTCAGCCCTGTCCCACCTGACAGCGGAATGACCGTCAATTCCGTCAGAGGAAACTTTCGTCCGTCTGTTTTCGCGCATACACGTACTACACACGCAAGCTTCTTTTTTCAAATGTATCTCTCACGTACGTTTCCACAAGAATCATGGTAAAGCTAGCTTATTAAACGATTATTGCTGCTATCAAAGTGTAATACATTAAGTTAGCTTTTATCGCAAATTGTAATGTATAGTTCAATCCTTCTATTCCTCAAGAAGGTATTTCACCCTCTACTTTTCTTTCACACTTCTCGGATTTTATGCATGGTTTTAAAGTATTAGCACACTGTTACATCCAGCACGCGACTTTGTGGATTTCGTCAACAAGTCGCCATCGCCCTTCCACTGCACTCATGGAGCTGCTGAGCTGCTGAAACAGGTATACACACCTCTTTTGCAAATATGAATAGTACAACAGTCAGAAGTTGGTCCTTACGTACGGAGTCAGGGGTAAATGTAGGCAGGTTTCACAGAGATCAAGGAACGTGACAACTGGAATGGTGCTATTGAACGCAATGGCAAATACTATTTTACTCGAAACGGCTCGTCGATCGTTGCTTTTGTTGTCGGTGGCAAATACGTTCCTGGTAACGGGTTTTCTATTGTGGGCGCGCATACTGATTCTCCTTGCTTAAAGGTAAATGATTACAAGAAAGAAGGGGAAGCTTCTTGTTGGATCGAAGTGTTTATTCATGTTCCATACTATTATGCACAATAGGTCAAACCTATCTCTAAAAAGGAAAAGAGTGGTTATCTGGAAGTCGGTGTCCAGCTTTACGGTGGTGGTATCAGGTAAGGGACATAAGAAAATAGTAAGCATTGCGACTCGGATACCTAACAAGTATGGGTTTATCGATCAGGCACGCATGGATCGTGATTTGGGCGTTGCTGGATGCGTCATGGTCGAAGACAACAATGGCAAATACCGTCTAACAGTGGTTAAAGTGGACAGGTAGGTAAAAGGATGAATTTTTTGAGTTAGTGTAATAGAGAAGGTACATTGTTTAATTAATGTACTTTGGGGTGCCTAGACCTCTTTTGCGTATTCCCACACTTGCAATCCACTTGGATCGTAATGCCAACGACAGTGTAAGTATATTAATGTGCTGGCGAATTAGAAAATGGAAGTAAATTCTATTTAATGAAAATGAACACTCTTACTATCCGTAGTTCACGTTCAACAAGGAAATCCAGCTTGCACCAATTCTTGCTACTGCCACCAAAGCGTAAATGTCACCTCTTTCCCTTATATACAATAGATATACAGTATCCTCATTCTTGTATACACATACTCAAAATTTACATATTCTCATCTGTTAGAGAGTTGAACAAGACTGAAAGTGACGAACATATTGAAGCAGAAGAAGGCCACCACCCCTTGTTGATTCGTGTACTTGCCGACGAAATGGGCGCCAAACGTTAGTAGTATTATCTTTATATTGTGGTTAGAATAACTGTGTTATGGTTGACCTATATGTCCTCTTACTGACATATGCTAACTCTAATAGCAAGCCAAATTCGCGATTTCGAATTGGTTCTGTATGATACTCAGCTTATAATAAACAGCTAGACAGTAGAGCGAGAGAGAACAGTAATTGATGTTTTGCTAATCACTCTGGGTATGAACATACAGGGCTCAACAATTGGTGGCGTATGCAACGAGTTCATTTTCTCACCTCGTCTTGACAACCAAGAAATGAGCTACTGCGCTATCCGAGCATTGCTGCAATCCAAGAACATTGAGAACGATACCAACGTCCGTGTGACCGTTTGCTTTGACAATGAAGAAATTGGCAGCACCACCGCCCACGGTGCTGACTCGAATCTTTTGCCAACCACCTTGCAGCGCTTGGCCAACACTGAACTGTTATCTGGCGAAAACGTATCGCCCACTGCCTTTGAAGAGGCCATGCACAAGAGTATCCTCATCAGTGCAGATATGGCACATGCCATTCATCCCAACTACCCCGAAAAACACGAAGAAAACCACCGACCAAACATGCACAAGGGTACTGTTATTAAGATCAACGCAAACCAGGTAACTATGCTCATAGAACTGTGAAAATGGCTCGCACAAGAGATGTCAGCAATACAATAGAGATATGCTACGACTGCAGTCACCAGTTTGGTTTCGAAAGAACTGGCAAAGAAGCATGTGATCCCAATTCAGGTAGGTTTTTGTCTTTGCGTTGGCTACTGTGGCCAAAGTGATACCAGGAGCTGATAAATATATTGGTTTAAAAGGAATTTGTTGTTCGTAATGATAGCCCTTGTGGCTCGACAATCGGCCCAATGCTTAGTGCAAAACTTGGACTTCGCACAGTTGGTAAGTCAGACAATCAATGGGTTGGATATACGTATCTGATATTGACTATGCTTTTGCTGGTTGTCGCGGTTCGATAGATGTGGGTAACCCTCAACTCAGCATGCATTCGATCCGTGAAGTCGGTGGTACCGACGATGTCAAGCACGGAATCGATCTGTTGCAGGTATTACCTTCTTTTTGTTTTGCTGGATGTTATCAAATAGATTTAAAGATCTCGGATTCAAGAGCTAATTCGTCGATAATATTCCATCTAGGTCTTCTTTGAGGAATTTGCTGAATTGGAAGCTCGCATTGTTGTGGATTAAAGGTAGTATTATGATATGAATAACCGGTTCGGTGGTAGTGGGTAATAGAAATAACAATGTGAGTTTAAATAAGGAGCTCTATTCAATCCCTTCGTTCCTACACTCCCGTATCATTATAATTGAGCGAAATAACAAATCACGATTTTTTGAAGATAAATTGGCAATAGTTAAGCTCATTGCGTACAATGATATGATATAATTTGGTCGATGCGTGCCATTGAACAGGTATACAAGCGAGTATTATGATAGTTCACCATGCATATCAGTTGATCCACTTTTTGGTTCTTAACAGTTTCCCAAAGCGCTGAAGATCATCCAATAGTAATTGATCTGTCTCCAAGGCCGGAAAGTGGCCTCCCTACAAAAAACACACGATCCAGTCGTTAGGATTCCGTATATGTATAATGAATGAAGTATAAGAAAAAGCACAAGTTGTTACCACATCCGGTTCATTATACTGTTGTAAGTTTACACTCGTTTCCACCCAGTCTCTGGGAAACTGTGTTTTAGCACATGAAAAGAATTGACCCATTAGCACAAAGATCGTGGTGCATTTGGGAATGATTTAATACTAATAGCTATATGTACCTTTGCAAGCTCAGCAAGAAATTGGATGATCGCAGTAGGGATATTGACGCGACCCATGCATGTTGACATGGTCTCATCCTCGTGGAAGGCCTCATAGTATACACGTATGGATGAAGACATGGAATTTGTAAGCCAATAAATGGTCACCATCGTCAAGAATTCATCAACAAAAATGGTATCTGGTAACGACTCGATGTCATGTATACCGCCATGATCAGTCCAATTATGAAACTTTTCAAGCATCCATGCTGTTAGCAAAATGACTTAGGGGTGACAAGTTAGAATATGCAGTTTTACAACATTAACCAACAGCGGTAGTATAATACAGATTTTAACATACCCAAGAGACCTACAGGGCTATCAGCTAGGCCATACGCTAATGAATAAGGACGGGTGCCATGGATAGCACGGTAACCTGATTCAGGATCGCTTTGCACACCGGCAAATGCCAGTTCTTCAGCTTCAAACCCATTGCCATATACGGCTTCGATGCCCAATATTATGCTTGCATAATACTTGATTACGTGAAGCGGGTGCGTCCATAAAAGCGATAGCGTGTTTGTTGGTGAGGATGGTAAACAAAGCGGCATAACGCTATGGAATTCCTTGCAGCGGTCCGAGCAGTTTCTAGCCATCCAGTTGCCAATGTTAGATCCCCAGTCAGACCCCGACAGCACTTTTACAGTATGAAGTTAGTGTGCGAATTAGATGGGATGACGGTATGTAGAGAATACATCAATGATAATAATACAAAGGACATTACTATATTGAGTATAGCCAAGGGTGGCCATCAGTTCATCCATCATCTCGCCATTCTTTGCGACACCATAGCCTGGTACCTTGGATGCTTCTGAGAAACCATAACCCGGTAAGCTTGAATAACGACATGAAAAGCCTATTTATCGCACTGTAAATGGTTATGATATGATGGATGTTTAGGTTTTGGCTTTCTTTTTTTTCTGTGTAGTTCTGCTCCTTGTGGATGTCTATACGTGTATTACCTGACCACCGTTAGCACCGTTTCGAAGCGACTCGACTATTTTGTGATATTCATAAAACGTTGATGGCCAGCCATTCATTAAAAGAAGAGGGATAGCATCCGGCACGGTAGAGGGCTCGTGAATGAAATGAACGTGCAAACCTTGAATCATAGCATCATAATGGTGCCAACTATTCATTTCGGCACGCGCCTTCTCCCAGTCATAGTCATTGAGCCATGCTTTCACAAGTGGTTCGACAGCCCATCGTGGCGCACCATACTCCCATCCAACATCCTTCTCCAGCTCGTTGGGATACTCGGCTTTCTGGAGTTTCTGTCTGAGCAAAGCGAGTCTTTCAGCGGGTATTGATGGGATCTCAAAGGGTTCGATTGTTGACGACATTCGATCAGTTTTTGTTTGTTGAGAAAAGAAAAGAAGAGAAGAAAAACGCTTTTTCGTGCAGGATTTTCTTGTTGTTGTTGTTGTTGTTGTTGTTGTTGTTGTTGCTGCGGATTATATTCTTACCCTCAACCTATACAAACAATGAGCTATTTTAAACTTCTGTCGCAGTTACATCGCCGGTGAGTTTTTCTTTTTTTTTTCTTTTTGAATTGGCTATGTTGAAGAATTATCGACTATACGCTGCCCATGTGTAAAATTACGGTCAGCGAAAGCAACTACATAAAACAGTCCAGGATTTCCTTCAGAAGCCTGTACTACAAAAGACATATGTACATAGAAAGAACCTATATTCAATATGCCTTTACCAATCCCAGCTAACCACTATTGAATAAAACCTTTTACTCGGATGATTCACCTTACGTGAACAGGACAATAAACCTATCAAGTATCAACAGGTACATCGGCCATTACATCAGCTAACGCCGGTTTCAAAGATGTGCCCGATTAACATAGCGACTTCAATAGAAGTTCTGATACGTCTGTCTATCACATAGTTTATCCACTAGTATTAGGATGAATTGATATCGTCGTCGCGCAAGAAAGTGTTGCTACCTTTAAACAAAACCGTTTGCAAGTAAGTATATAATTTTAGCTAGGAAAAAACAACATTAAGACAACTCCTCTGACCAGTGTTTCTCATTGCATTTCTCTATAATGCAGTGATGTTCTTAGCTCGAAGCGAGGATGCCTTCGAAAAAGACAAGCAACGTAAATTACATCTTCATAAAATGCATACTAAGGGTATAAGGAGTAATGCATGTACGTTTATTTACACTGTTTATCATAGATCTGTACATGACGGACAGCATCGAGAAGGAGGAGCAACAGAAGGATTACGAATATCAAGCAATCGAAGAGCCGGACGTTGACTTAGACGTGGATGTGGCGGTAAAAAAAACGACGTCAGAGCGTCATGGTAACAGAAAGAAATTTCTCCACGATGTACAAGAGAGCAGTGACGATGACAAACCTTTGAGAAAAGAAGAGCCGTGTAGTAAAGGTGTAGTAGTGATAAGGTTTAGTGTGGAAGTTCGCAAAAGAATAAAACGTAGTTCATGTGAGAAGGTCTTTGTGAGTTATAAGCGATGCGCTTAATAATATGGGTCGATTTGGGTTACTTCTGGTTTTTTGCTAGTAATGAAGGCACGTGAATATCAGTAGATCCTTGTGAAAGCTGTTTTTAGTGAATCTGGGCGAAATTGCTAAACACTTACCGTGGTGATACTCTACAAGTACTGGCTTAGCAGCGTCGATAATGTTCAAGCGGAACGGGAAGCATGCGAGATCCATCCTAGCACTACTGGTGTATTCAATTTTGATTCAAACGTGGCAAGGTCTCTTGGCGTTGTCACACTATGATACTTGGCTTTTTTCTAACCAAATCTACGCATGACAGCCTATGATCTTTACAAAAATGGCGTCACTACTATTGTGCTCAATGTAAGTTTCTATATTTTATCTATGCCATATCCATCTTTTTGCAGTATCATAACCCCATGAAAAACTGCTACTGCAAGAAACGGGTCTACTGTAATTACTACTTAATGCTATGACGAGAAAGAGGTAGAAATAAGAACATGGACCAACAAAGGAACGATTCTTTGGATGGATCAGAATAGTAACTATGACATTAAGTACTTTATTTAAAGATTATGATATAAGAGATGCTAACTATGGATGGATGATCATATTTAAAGTTGTTTACATGTTCGTGGTATTTGATGATGGAAATTGTCAGTTGCAATGCACCATGCAGAAACGCTTTCTGTGGAATTTGTCCATGATTGTATCCATGAAGGGTGTACCATTTGTATCTCAATGATTTTGTTCCCAGAAATCTGCGTCAACAAGCGTTGTGATCTCCAGCGTATGGTAAATGTCATAGAAACGGCTGATATTTTCTGTAAATTTGGAAATTTCCTTAATGCATGTAGGCAGCTCAAACGAGTGTAGTTCTGCCATCGTGTACGTGCCGTCAGCGATTAGTGTCGAGCTATAGAATGTAATAACAGGCCCTACATTACATAAATAAAGAGATTTGATGAATAATGAGCTAAAAGCGTGCGTTATATCTTGCTCAGCAATTTCACCCTTACACTTAACCAACTGCTTGAAAGGTTACTATTAATTTGGCTCGCGAAAAATCAATCGCGTCCTTGGCAAAACGTGACAATCTCATAAGGTCGATAGCACTAAGACGGTCCATGGCTGTATCGGGTTTAACTTCGCCAAACAAGCATGAATGACAAAATGCCAGTGAATTGATATCGCTTGGTATTGAATCTGGGTGCACAATCCTTTTTGTTCGACATGGTCGTTCATCGGCATTGCGGGATGTGCAGTACCAAATTGGCTATAAATTTACAATAGTTTTTGATATATCTAATAAATTGCTTGCTGCTATATTAAATTATATCATCCATTTTGATATTTTATCAATTTTATGACATCATGTGACCAAAATCATGTATTCAATGATTATAAAAATTGAAAATCCATAATATAAACAAAGAACGACCCAATGGATACAACAAACTATACACCACTGATTACAAATGAAGTAAACTCAATTATTGCAAATTATTAGCAATTCCTAGAATGGAATTGGCCTACTGTATATAATAAATATAAACATAGAACTGATTTGAAACATATTAAATTCATAGAAAAAATCAAGGATGAATTGTTACGTAAATTAGGTTATGTTGCTGTATTTTATTTTCTAGTAGTTTTATATACAAACAAGGAATATCCCGGACCCTACTTTGAAATTAAAAAAGGATTGTTTTTATTATATCATTTAGTCTCTAGAGTATATGGTGAAGAATTTGAAAAATACTTACTACATAGCACATTTTATACATTTTATAAAAAGTTTTGGATGGATGAGGACAACTACAAACGAATCAACAAAATAGTAAATGATTCAATGAATAACATGTTTTCATCTATCAAATTACGTATTCTATCTACTAGAAAGCATAATCCCGACTTATTTAAATATGTAACACTTGTATTGGATGGTCATGATTCAAGAATTAACTATGTAGATACTGAAATTGACCACTTTCAAAGAATGTATTCTTATAAATTTAAGAAGAATGGAATACGTACCCAATTTGTTAGTGATATGAATGATATGATTATTTATACTTCTAAAAGTGACTTTTGTTCTGATAGCTCAGATGGTAGCATGTTTTTAAACATGAAATTATTTAAATATATGCATGAGAATGACATAATGGCAGTTGATGGTGGATATACTTTGCTTATCACATAATTTACAGAGCTTGCTAATGAAAAAGGATATAACTTTAGTCATGATAATTTTGTATACCCTATATGTAAAAATGTAAATGAGCCCTTAACGATTACTGAGGATCATTTTAATAAGACATTTGGAAGTTTTAGGACAAAAGTTGAGAATCAATTTTCAGAAATTGGGAATAAATTCTGCCGATTCAATAATAACAAGTCAGTTGTTAAAATGGATAACATAAAATACTATAATCTGCAATTTCGTGTAGCTTGTTTATTAAAAAATATTACAAAATTTGTAGAAATGTTCAATATTCCTATTTTACCACACCATAAACTATGGCACAGTAATGATTTTAATTTTCCAGTAGAGCATAAACTAATTGATATAGTGGTCAGCAATGATAAACAAAATAAAGATAAACTGGATAAAATGATCAGATTGCAAAATGACCTACTTAATATGGCTATATCAAATGAAGAAATGATTGTTGATAATGAATCTGATAATAATGTAAATCAGAGTAATAGTGATAATGATGATGTTCCAAGATTTAATGAGCATCGTAAAAAAAGAAAGCGAAATAAAGGGAAACAACAAGCAATGGCATAATATGAAATAGAAGAGATTATTAGGCATAAAACTGAAAATGGTACATATTTGTTTGAGGTAAAATGGGTTGGATATAGTGCTGATGATAACAGTTGGTAAATTTAATCAAAAGGATTTATTGAAGGAATATATCAATAAGCATAATCTTGATATATTATAAAATTGCATACTCTACTATTTATAATATTTTCTTCAACTACACACCCGGCAAAGGATTTTATAAATTAGGAAATAATTTTGTCTCCGATGGCAAATAACAAATGCTGATTGGCTAATACAGTGCATCCTGAAAAAATGAAGTGGGGGAGGCTCCAAAATTTGAGGTTGGGGGTGCGATTTAAGGGAATTAAGGGGGGATTTCGGGTCATCTGATCCATCCCCATTTTTCAAACCACACATCTGTCGCACAATCGCTTCAAATTACTCGAAATTTCGCTAAGTCATCACCCTCTGGCAAACCTGTCAAGCTGCCAGTTTTTTTTTCGCGAGTATCTTAATTTGCAAACATTGCAATAGTTGCGAGTAAAATGCGGGTTCGAAGAAAATCTTCCCATGAACGTGTTTTGTGTTTGATGTGACATTTTGCTTAAGAGAAGTAAGAATTGAGGAAGAGCATATTTGGCATAAGCTGCTCTTTATATATTGTTCTGATTCGCCAAGACGAAGAGGAACAACTCCGATATATTATTAGGCAGCAACACGTACGCGTAATCTGACTCAGCAAGCTTTTCTTCTTGGCTTTTTTCTTCTTGGTCTGGCATGCGTAATTCCTCTGAAGCATTGAACATAACTTATTATTCTTAATCTCAGAGACTTCAACACTTCTTGGTATGCATATTAATACTGATCTCCTTAGATTAATATAGGATGTTTAACAATTGCTAAATATAAAGGTAATGTGTCAGCGTTAGATGGTTGATTAACAATGTACTAAAAGTATTACATTATTGAAGACGAAATGAGTCAGGTAAGTCCATCAAAGTTAAAGGTTAGTATAAAATCATAGTATTATCAACATTAATACTATTAGCTTATGCTCTAAACGCTTAAAGAAGAGTGTACACTGCTGGTAAGTTAAAGGCTCCTTTTGTTGTGTTGCTGCTATGCAATATTTTTTCCTCTCCAAGTGTGCTGCTGTCTGTTTGTAGGGCTATCTTAACAAATGACGAGAAACTCTTGAACGGTAAGCATGTCATTTTTCTATGTGTGTCTTTTGATTTCGAATACTGACTCAAACACGTTATAAAAACGATAAATTGCAGAAACCCACTGATGTCCCAGGATAGAATCCCAGGATTGGAACAAGCAAAACGAATCTCGCTGTGCTTTTTTTGCTTCAGGATGAATTGCGATAGTATTATTGCTTTTTGTAAATTCAATCAAATAAAAAAATTTTTTAAAACGAATACTCCTGATTTCCATCGTTGATACATTTGCGTGCAACCCCCCACCCCACCATCACATTTTTGGGCTGGTGAGTGCTGGTACTTGCTCATCCATAAAAGGCAATTTTAGTGAACCTGCATGAGTCTAACCATATAAAGTGTTTCCAATTCTGAAAAGTTCTTGCCCGGGTGTGTAGTATATAATATAATGTGAATTCATACCTAGCATTCCTTTCTTACCAATTATTTTTATATATACACAAAATTCAATTTTTTGTACAATTTGGATTTTTACAGCCAATAAGTTTCTTACAGCCAATAGTATTATCTAATATCTAATTGGAGTTAGATGTCCCCCATTGATTTCTGGCCTGGTGCGTACATATGAGGAGATCATTCAAATCAATGAAAATTGTTAAGTAAACAAAAACACGGGAACTAGATGAATGAAAAACGACAACATTGCAATAAAGCATATACATACCATCGTAGGCGACGTTCCCCAGAGCTCAATAAAGGTCTCAGGATCAAGTCTATGACTAATGGTATCAGGTCATGCTCCCCTAATGGCTCCTTCAAACGCAGTTTGGGAAAATCTTCTAGGCTGGTATGGTTCAAAGTTAATAGATGAATATTAATTAGTACACATTGTCACAGCGATAGGCGATTCATACAGCGATACCCTTTTCACTTACATGTTCAACCAGACACGGATAGTTCTGTAATGGAACGTCCTTGGTTGGTAACCGCATATTTTCTTGTTCAGTTCTGTAATGACTGTGTCAGCATTACAGTAAGGTAGATCCAGTGGCTTTTCAGAATAGAAATAATAGAAAAAAAGTATGAGGACTTGTGATTATGCTTTTAGTGCTAATCAATCATGTTGCCTCTACTCACTTTAAGAATAGCGGCAATGGATGTCATGAACGACTGATCAAACGTATTGAACATAGAGCAATGGTTCTCTAATACGCGCATGTGCGTCTGCTGGAGTACTTGTTCGCCAATTATATCTTTTTGAATGGTAGAGAATTGGTTCGCCTTCAGTAAAAGAACGTGATTTAAGCCACTATGTACATCTGTTATTTTAGTGAGTGTAAAACAACCCTTAAGCATCCCAGTGTATATATAACAAGGTACTTACACAAGTTCAGTGACATGCGAATTGTAGGAGAACTTTATCAATCTTGTGAGAGCCTTGACATGGGACTTGTACAGTCAACCCCCATTAACGTCAACCCCAATAACGTCAACCCCAATAACGTCAACCCCCGATAGCACCAACAGATTCGCTGGTAACCTTCTAAAGTTAGCAGTTATTATCTGAAAATGGATTCAATTCATTAAAGGCTTATGGAGCAAATGCTTTTGGATTAAATAAATTATCTATTACCAAAAGATTAGAATGGGTTGATCAACATTTTTTAGAAATCTTAGATTTAAATTCAGGATTATGGAGAAAAGCTGATGAACCTATGTTATTTTTAGCTTTTTGTTTTGAGTTACAAGGTTATAATAAGGATCCATTAAACTTTATTTCTAGATTACCAATTTATTTAGATGCAACATGTAATGGTGTATAACATTTAGCTGCAATGATTTCTGATTTTGATCTAGCTAGTAAAGTTAATTTAGTTGAATCTGATATGAAAGATGATCCTAATGATCTTTATAGTTTAATATTAAATCCTATTAATGAAGAAATTAAGAAAATAGAGGAATATGATTTAGAGTATGCCAGATTAAAGGGTTTAGTATAAAATAGAAAGATTGTAAAAAGAAGTTTAATAACTATTTCATATAGAGTTAAGATTAAAGGAATTTATGATCAATTAATTCAAGATCATTTTTCTATATATAAAAAAATTGATGGGAAAATGTTTTATAAACCTAAAGATGAGAATAAATTAACTTTAATTACAAGTAAAGAATTAATGTTATTAGCTAAATTTATTCATAAATCATTATATGTTGTACATCCTAAATTAAATGAATTATCTAACTATTTTAATAATATGGTTTTATTAATATTTAATTTAAACTTCCTATTGTTTGGATTACTCCTTCAGGATTATTAATTAGTCAAAAATATGTGAAACTCACATCTATAACATTATCTACTAAAGTTTTAGGTAAAACTAAGAGAATTCTTGTAAAAAGTCCTATTAAAGAAAAAATTAATAAAATTAAACAAGTAAATGCATTTATTCCTAATTTTGTACATTCAATGGATGGAAGTCATGTAGCGTTATTAATTAAAGAAATTTTATCTAAAGAAAAAAATATAAATATCTTAACTGTACATGATTGTTTTGCTACAAATGCTAATGATGTATATATTCTTTAAAACATGGTTAAAATAAGTTTTATTAGAATTTATAGTAATGATGAATTTATTAACAATTTTCACAAATTTGTCTTAGATTATATTAGTAAAAATTACTTAATTAATATTGATAAAACTTTAGTGATTGATAATAATAATAATGTTTATAATATTCCCCATAAACCAGAATTTAAGAAAACATTAAACTTAACAATACAATTAATGAAACAACTTATTTTATTAATTAAATATTAAATTAATAAAAGACAAATATGTTTTTTTCCTCATTATCTAGATAATAAATGGAGATAGGGGTTTTTTTATGGTATACGTATCGAAGAAGGATAGTTTAAAGTGGTAAAAATAATCTGTTTATAAAACATAAAGATAATCCTATAATTTTAAATTCCCTTTTTATAAAATAAAGGTAACAAGGAGCCTCTAATCCCACCCCTAGTTTCTAATAATTTAAAATCTTTATTTTATTTATCAATTTCATTAAATACTATTAAAAGTAATATATAAATTGTATTTAATTACAAAAAAAGGAACAAAATATTTCATAAAATATTATGTTCCATAAAAACATTAATAAATTTATTATTAACAGTTTTTTATTAAAATTGTATTTATTCATTAATAATTAAAGGTGCTGTACTAACCCATTCACTATTTATAAACACTTTTTTTCGTTTGTTAAAATTAGATGATAATCTTATCTCTATATTTCTAATTTGAATATTAGCTGTATATAGATTTTTAAACCATTTCATTTTATATTTAGTAATAGAAATACCTGCAGCAAGTTTATTAAAATCTTGAAGTGTTAAATCAGACCCAATAGTTCTTGCTTTAATAATTATATCACTATTATATTTATCAACTAAATATATTTTAGGACCTACATATAAACCATTAAAATTAGATTATTCTAATTTTAATTGTCCTAATTCTGCTCCTACATATTCAGAAGGTAAAGCTTTATCTACAATTAAAGAATCTGTATCTGTTTAATAATATGTATACCCTTTTAAATGCATTAATTTATTCATATACATTCATGAATAGGTTGTAATTGCTGCTGCAATAGGAATAGATTATGAAACAGTTCTTTTTAAAGAATCATATTTTAGAAGTTCATTATCAAAACCTTGTTCAGATAATTCACATAAATTTTGATCAGGAGTAATATTATATCTAACTAAATGTTTGTTTTAGGTAATTCAAAAATAGTATTAACAATATAGGAAATTAATAATTTATCCATTTCTTCTTTATTTATTAAATCATCCCTATTCTTCCAAATAATGAATTTAATAATAATTTATAAACTTCTCGTAATGGACCTTCTGATCTTTGTTTATGGAAATAACAAGTTAGGATATAATTTATAGAGACATTTATACCTCTATCAAATTGATAACTATATAAAACATTAATTTCATAATTAAATTCTTTAGATTGTTTTAATTCTTCAGAAAAATACCATCCTTTCCATGATCCTAAAGGACAATGCATTTTTTCATTATCTCTGTAAGGTAAAGTAGGAATAAATAAATTATCTGGTGTTTTAATTTCAGCATAAACAAAACCAAAGTAATCATCTAAATTTGTATTACTACTAAATCTTAGTTTTCCAATAGGCATATCATTTAACATTGAGAAAGATATAATGAATTTACAACGTATTGATATAAATTAGATCCTTTAGGATTAAATACATCAACTCTCCCACCATAGAAACTCTTTCAAATATCATCATGAGCTCTTCCTTGTACTTTATAAATGTTATGTTTCATAAAGTTAGTAGTAAAAATATTTAGTGCTAATCCCGAAATTGTAATAGATTTAGTAGTATTTAGTCTAAATTCATTATAAATTAATTTACTTATTTCATCTAAGATTTGATATAAACATAATAAATCTTTTTCTAGATAATAATTAGTTTTATCTCTTAAAGACTAATTAGCATTAATTAATTTTTTATAATCATTAATATTAAAATCTTTATCAAACATATAATATTCATAATGAGGAATTGTTCTAACATATTCTAAATTATTCTTATTTACAAAATCATATAGAAAAACTCCTTTTTGTGTTTCATTATTAAAAGCTTTACCTAATTTTTTTAAACTACTTGGTAAGAAATTTAGAGAATCTAACAATGTAATACTAATAAGATTTTGCCTATTCTCTACCCCCGAGGATCGTCAACCCTCAATATGGTCAATACTTTTGCTGGTAACCTGAGGGTTGACGTTAACAGGGGTCGACTGTATGCGTAAAACTTAACAGCAATGTCGTCATTTGACCTTAGCGGTTCTCCTATGTCGAGTTCGCTTGCTGCGATTCTAATAACGTTTGGCTCAGGTAAAGTCTGATATGACTTAAAATAGATGATACCATCTTTTAGTCAAATATTATAAAGAAGTAAATGATGATCAAACAACAAAAATAAGAAAGTAACCTCTTCGTCAAACACCTGCTCCTCCTATCAAAGATAAGATCATTGAAAGTTTAGATCACATCTGCTGGGTCAAGGTTTTTTCAATGTTTTGACCTACCTTGTCCTTGCTTGAGAATATTCAGTAACCGGATCATCGACTAATTGTCGTTTTGCTCGCTCCTTATCAACATTTTCTTTACAATGTGAACCATCGTCAACGTCATTAGCTCCAGGTTTTATTAAGTTCTAAGTTTTAAAACTGAAAGTAGATACATACCTTCTTCTGCTGGACGCTTTTTCGCTGACTGTGGTCCTACCGAGCTTGATGGTTGTGTATATGTTTCTGAGGATGTTGACAGTTCTGGGCATGCAGGTGGTCCTCTAGTAGTCGATGAGTTTGTTGTTTTGACAATGGATGTTTGTGCTACTCCGACGAATCCATTATTATTAGGTGCATATAATACAAGTGCTGTGTTATCCGCTTGGCTGCTGGTTTCAACTGTATCATTCTACACTCATTGATTACAAAAAAGAGAGCCTGGTTAAATAAATGACCAACACAAAACTGAAAAGGAAGATTAACATTTGTTGGGCCTCTTTCTTTCTGCAAACGATGTAGCCGACAACTTCACATGGAAGATCGCATGAGCGTAACCACTTCAAGTCATCAATGAATTCTAATCGAATTAGTCTCTTCTCTTTATCCATTGGAAACTGTCTTGAGTATGCCTCCAGGTTCCATTCCAACAACGGGCGGTTAGAGAAGAAATTACGCGTGCCTTGTGCTTCGAGTTCAAATGTGCAGGTTGCGAAATGCTTAGGAGGTTTAACGGGTTTCATATGTAAGGCTGAAATGTGTGGGTGGGAGAAAAGGGTTATGTGTAGCGTTGGTGAACACAGAAGGTTGAAGTGTGAGAGTGTGCGGGTGAAGGACTTTGAAACGGCGACTTTTACCAAAGCCCATTTAATGCAACTACACCTGCGCTGATACTCTCACTCATTTTCTACATGCTTGTCCTATCAATGTGCTATTTGGTACACTATCTGGTCGGACTTATTTCTTTTCTCTCCTACGACTCTACAAGTTCATCATGCACTCTTTTCACTGAGCTTTCCCTATAATCCTTCTGCAGTCAGCAGCCATATGACCATTTCTTGTATTCTCCACATCTGTGGTCCACCCGCTGGCGCCATGTTTTTGATCAAGTCCCCTTTAACCACAATCGCATTTGCAGTAATATCCATTTTCTCATCACCAACAACCGCCCTTTCATCAACTATGAACCACCCTAGCACTTCTGCATCCATATTACATTCCAAAAAAAAAATGAAACCACAAAAAAAAAACAAAATCAATCAGTACCCTGTCTCCAAAGTATTACGCACCCCTCTTGCACCAGGTCCAACCATCTGTCTCGTCGTCGTCCAGAGTTACTCTTAGTTATTTCGTACTTAGTCTCCAGTCTCATTACACCATCCATTCTCTTGTCTATATCTCTTTCACTCCCCAATACATATAGGCAAATAAAAATTGACCCACAGTCACCTACAAAAAAAGGTAACTACACCTGCGAATTTTTGGGAATAGGAAGAGTGCTACATACAAAAAATAGTAGCACTTGACGTATTATATAAACTAGCGTTGAAACCAAGAAAAACGACATATAGCTATTTAATACAGACAGCTGGTTCTGTTATAGAGGAGTTGTTGATAACAAACAACTAAGCAGTAAATATTCCGTGCCTTACAAAATTCGAACATGCACGACTCATGACTTGAGTCTCTTTTTCGGTGCTTTTATACCCGCCGTCAGTGACACTAAAAATTTGAGCAGTCCTGGCTTGCTTTTATTATTACGTTGGCATTCCCACATCGCCCATTCCTGTTGCGTTGACGACAAGCAGTTTCAGACTGCCGAGATGTATGCGGATACTTATAGAATTTAAGGCAAGTATTTTCTCTACCTGTTTCAGAGAAATGTTTTAAAAGACATCGGCAAAACACAACTTGGCCGCAAGGTGACAAAAGTGTCCCGCTTTGCCAAAGGACTCTGTAAGGCATTGCCATACACTGTTGTGAGCAGTTCTGTGAAACTGGCATCTATCCTATGATGTGACAAAGGCCCCCTTCAGGTGGTGGGAAACACCTTGTTGTTTCCTGTTGTCTGAACACGGCTGTTTCGCGAACTGTGAGATGTCTGTGGTGAAGGACATGGCTTGGCCGCAAGGTGACAAAAGTGTCCCGCTTTGCCAAAGGACTCTGTAAGGCATTGCCATACACTGCCATGAGTAGTTCTGTGAAACTGGTATCTATCTTATGATGTGACAAAGGCCCCCTTCAGGTGGTGGGAAACACCTTGTTGTTTCCTGTTGTCTGAACACGGCTGTTTCGCGAACTGTCCTTGCCTTCACCATTGGTATACAGCATTACATGAAATGATATTAATTGATTTCGTGGCAAGCCATTGTATTGTGCTATAAGACAAAATATGATTATAGGGAATCCTGCATAATGTCTCTTATCGTGATAGTAGTAGATAAGTACAATCTTTTTTTTCCAAAGCTTTCATAAATCTATACTAACAATCTGGCCTAACAACCGCTCAAATAGGGTCCCGTATACTCGAAGAAAACAAGTTGTGACAACCTTTACGACAGATGAGGTGAGCTGAGAAAAAAGAGGAGAGAGCAATTGTAAATTGGTCGTGTATTCACTTTCTATCACTCCTCGATGCATCGAAATAAGGATACTGCCCTTACAAATGCTACCACTATTAGTTCATAAAGACAAGGATAGCAACGGTTGAGAAACGAGACTAAGCACGACAATTGGGTAACAGATGGAAGGAAATACTCGGATGGCTGGCATGTTCGATTACTGAAACTATGCTGAAGATTGGGAAAACTGTTAACGAATCATTAACCACCGGAAGCCAGCACATAAACTAGTATAATCAGCAATAACATATTTCTAACTGTAGGGGTCCTGCTTGTGAATGTCGCTCGTAGTATAGTCTTCCCCCTGTTGTGATGTATATATCTGATCAATCAACAAGTATCGTTTCTTAGAAAGAGATTCCAGCGCGACCTTACCCCTTTATTGTTCTATTGTGTATTTTTGTATCGGCTATCTAGCAACCCAAGGATTGGATCCTGGTATAGTTCGGTATTCTCTCTTCCATTATCAAGTAGTTTGTTGTTGTTTTATTTCATCCACTGTTCTTGCAATATCCGACTATAACTTTGGCCGTTCCCAGGTTTTCAATTTTTGAAAACTCAGATAGGTGGAGGGAAGCAGGCACAGCATGAAGAGACTTGAAAAAAAAATGAGTGCAGCAGTATATATTTCGTCCGCCAGTAAACACAAAAAAAGCATTGTAACATGGTGTGCCGTCATCTTGAGGCAAGGTAATTTTATAAGTGCAGGTGTGTATTGTAAAGCGCAAAGAGAATGCGGGAGCGGCAGCAAAAATACACAGGGGGAGCAAAGAAAGAGAAGAGCGCGATTTTATTTTCTTACTATTACGATTTTGCAATCGAAATAAGCATCTGCAACTTTATACTAATGGTCACTGTCAAAACGTCTTCAAATCAATTCCAATAGACACAATTGTAACAGCGATTCGAAATGAAGTTTGATTCAGTGCGTGATCATAATAAATGCGGTGAAATGATGGTAAGATCGAGCGTGTATATTATATATATATGTGTGTGTGTGTGCGTGCGCGTGCGTGTTTGTTTGTATAGCATTGCGGTCAAAACGAAGGCCTTCTTGTCTTTGTTCCTGCCGCAAACGCACACGATCTGTTTGCCGATTCCTCTTATCATCGATGACGATGCTTCTACCTTCAACAATTCAAACGGCGTTGGCCTTGATGGATGACGAAAAACATACAAGTCTTGTTACGAAGTGTTGGTACGCGATGCGCAAATGCTTAAACAATACTCGTTTTCATATCTCGCATATAAAAACAAACGATGTCCAATCCGTTTGGCATTCGCCATCTCAAGAAATGGTCAAGGCTTATTTATTGTAATTTACAATGTTGATGGTAAGTGCTGCAGGTGTTTGCTAGTGTAGTGGCAAGTTTCTATAACAATAAATGGTGCATACGTATATATCGTTACTACTGCTCCTTGTTCTTTGATACTGCCTCTGTGGGTGTGGTTTATGGATAGGCAGGTTTTATAAAGGAATGGGCAGGATGGACGTCAATTATGCTGTTGAGCGGTCTATGTTATGTTAGATACTGAATTTGCCTAATAGCGCCGGAAACGCACTCACTTGAGGATTTGTATCAATGGTTGGACAGAAGAAAGACAGATGAAACTGCATACAGTGGTCGAATTTAATAAACAGTTGATAGTATATGAAGAAACATATAATGATGTAGTGGTTGGATAGCTCTATTTAAAGGGCTTTATATAGCATCAAAGTGGCAAAAAACCAGTGGTCCTAAATGGGATGTGTGGTATTGTGGATCATTTGTTATGTCAGGTTATTAAGACAGCAATACAGACTATGTTCTACACGTCCCTTCTTCCTGATTCCTAATCTTATAGCTACATCTCGAAATCTCAAACATGAGCAACACCCCAAACGTTTCTACTACTACTACTACTACTACTACCTTTGAGTTTTAATCTCGGCCAACCTTGCCAGGCACACCTAAAAGTGTAATCTCTAACATTACATAGACCGCTCAACAGCATAATTGACGTACATCCTGCCCATTCCTTTATAAAACCTGCCTATCCATAAACCACACCCACAGAGGCAGTATCAAAGAACAAGGAGCAGTAGTAACGATATATACGTATGCACCATTTATTGTTATAGAAACTTGCCACTACACTAGCAAACACCTGCAGCACTTACCATCAACATTGTAAATTACAATAAATAAGCCTTGACCATTTCTTGAGATGGCGAATGCCAAACGGATTGGACATCGTTTGTTTTTATATGCGAGATATGAAAACGAGTATTGTTTAAGCATTTGCGCATCGCGTACCAACACTTCGTAACAAGACTTGTATGTTTTTCGTCATCCATCAAGGCCAACGCCGTTTGAATTGTTGAAGGTAGAAGCATCGTCATCGATGATAAGAGGAATCGGCAAACAGATCGTGTGCGTTTGCGGCAGGAACAAAGACAAGAAGGCCTTCGTTTTGACCGCAATGCTATACAAACAAACACGCACGCGCACGCACACACACACACATATATATATAATATACACGCTCGATCTTACCATCATTTCACCGCATTTATTATGATCACGCACTGAATCAAACTTCATTTCGAATCGCTGTTACAATTGTGTCTATTGGAATTGATTTGAAGACGTTTTGACAGTGACCATTAGTATAAAGTTGCAGATGCTTATTTCGATTGCAAAATCGTAATAGTAAGAAAATAAAATCGCGCTCTTCTCTTTCTTTGCTCCCCCTGTGTATTTTTGCTGCCGCTCCCGCATTCTCTTTGCGCTTTACAATACACACCTGCACTTATAAAATTACCTTGCCTCAAGATGACGGCACACCATGTTACAATGCTTTTTTTGTGTTTACTGGCGGACGAAATATATACTGCTGCACTCATTTTTTTTTCAAGTCTCTTCATGCTGTGCCTGCTTCCCTCCACCTATCTGAGTTTTCAAAAATTGAAAACCTGGGAACGGCCAAAGTTATAGTCGGATATTGCAAGAACAGTGGATGAAATAAAACAACAACAAACTACTTGATAATGGAAGAGAGAATACCGAACTATACCAGGATCCAATCCTTGGGTTGCTAGATAGCCGATACAAAAATACACAATAGAACAATAAAGGGGTAAGGTCGCGCTGGAATCTCTTTCTAAGAAACGATACTTGTTGATTGATCAGATATATACATCACAACAGGGGGAAGACTATACTACGAGCGACATTCACAAGCAGGACCCCTACAGTTAGAAATATGTTATTGCTGATTATACTAGTTTATGTGCTGGCTTCCGGTGGTTAATGATTCGTTAACAGTTTTCCCAATCTTCAGCATAGTTTCAGTAATCGAACATGCCAGCCATCCGAGTATTTCCTTCCATCTGTTACCCAATTGTCGTGCTTAGTCTCGTTTCTCAACCGTTGCTATCCTTGTCTTTATGAACTAATAGTGGTAGCATTTGTAAGGGCAGTATCCTTATTTCGATGCATCGAGGAGTGATAGAAAGTGAATACACGACCAATTTACAATTGCTCTCTCCTCTTTTTTCTCAGCTCACCTCATCTGTCGTAAAGGTTGTCACAACTTGTTTTCTTCGAGTATACGGGACCCTATTTGAGCGGTTGTTAGGCCAGATTGTTAGTATAGATTTATGAAAGCTTTGGAAAAAAAAGATTGTACTTATCTACTACTATCACGATAAGAGACATTATGCAGGATTCCCTATAATCATATTTTGTCTTATAGCACAATACAATGGCTTGCCACGAAATCAATTAATATCATTTCATGTAATGCTGTATACCAATGGTGAAGGCAAGGACAGTTCGCGAAACAGCCGTGTTCAGACAACAGGAAACAACAAGGTGTTTCCCACCACCTGAAGGGGGCCTTTGTCACATCATAAGATAGATACCAGTTTCACAGAACTACTCATGGCAGTGTATGGCAATGCCTTACAGAGTCCTTTGGCAAAGCGGGACACTTTTGTCAACAGACATCTCACAGTTCGCGAAACAGCCGTGTTCAGACAACAGGAAACAACAAGGTGTTTCCCACCACCTGAAGGGGGCCTTTGTCACATCATAAGATAGATACCAGTTTCACAGAACTACTCATGGCAGTGTATGGCAATGCCTTACAGAGTCCTTTGGCAAAGCGGGACACTTTTGTCACCTTGCGGCCAAGTTGTGTTTTGCCGATGTCTTTTAAAACATTTCTCTGAAACAGGTAGAGAAAATACTTGCCTTAAATTCTATAAGTATCCGCATACATCTCGGCAGTCTGAAACTGCTTGTCGTCAACGCAACAGGAATGGGCGATGTGGGAATGCCAACGTAATAATAAAAGCAAGCCAGGACTGCTCAAATTTTTAATTTTTCGCGAGTCCGGTTTCACTCGCTATTTTGGCGAGGATCGACGCTAGTCTGCAAAATAGCGACAGCGATAGCGAGTCTGCTGGGAAATCAAACTCGCTAATTTTGTCGCTAAAATAGCTTTTAGCGAGTCCGCTGGGGATGCTCTTAGGGGCATATAGGGAAGTCGATTTTCAACCACACTTAAACCATTCTGCTTTCTTTAATACATGTGAGCCCAAGCCGACTCTTCTTTGATGGCACAAAACCCTTTGCCTTTAAGAATAATCACACAAAACGTAGATGTTGCTGGCACTGCCTGACAATTGGTTTGTCAAAGTTGACAGACTCTGATAGACTCGCTAAGATTATATGTGAGTCCGCTAGCAAAAGCTGGTCCGCTTGCAAAAGTTGGACTCGCCCGAAAAAAAAAAATAATTTTGGGAAAATTTAGCGAGTAAGCTGGACTTGCTCCAAATGCAATATTATTGTCATTTTCTTTTTTTTGTGTAAAAAGTGGGGAACGAATGGGAAAAGAAACTGATCATTCTTGAAAGAACTTTCAGCTCCCCACTCCTACTTCGAAAAGTAGAAGCACGATGTCAACCCGGCGATAGCTCGAAGGCCCCCGACACAGCTGGAATACCACTGCTGGCTTTATTCACCGCATCCAATTCGTTGAGAAACTTTTTTTTCGCAGCGAATGGCACAATTTATGGGCAACGTCCGCTATTGAAGCGACTTGTGGGTCAATTTTCAAATTTCGCTTGCATCGCTTTAACCCCAACAGAGGCCCTTCCTGTCATGACTATTCGTTGACCTCTACTCAATCCCTCAACATCTTTATCGTCAATCATCACCCAACTTATCAACCTTCATAAATATAAATGTAATCACTCGACTTGTTCCTTGTTCCTTTCTCATCATCTGGTCTCCTTGACCTTTCCGATATTCTTCTTGCCTTGACCTAGATTCATCTCTCCTCTGTCTTTGGCTTGTCTTGTTTTGTCGTCGCTTCCGGCTCACTTTATGACGCATGCCCGTAACACTAATTCAAGTGCCCGTGTATGATCCAGCCTTCGGATAAAGCTCTTCCAAGTGCATGTCAACTGCAAGATTGTGTGAGAAACAATGAGTCTGTTTGTAAGGGATTCTCTCACTCTGTAACCTTTAACTACCAAGAATAACTTTACCACAATACAAGCCTTTTTTTATTAGTATATGTACAATATCAAAACTGACAATTACGTTAAACACACAATCTGAAACCTGGTTGAAAAACTAGGGCACATCGGTGTGCTTCTATGGGTAAATCTATCATAAGCGTTGGCTATCCAATTTGTCACTGGGGATTCTGCGAGATGATTGTTTTTCATAGGCAAGACGTTTTTACCAGACAGCAGTGAGAGGTCGAACCTACGACCGTTTGAGCATGCTCAGAAAGGCTTCCCGAAATGGTGTGGAATTTCTTTTACAGTTTTGCGCTAGCCTTGTTAGGGTCGTCCATCGTCTCTTCATTTGGTGTATCTTTATCTATTATGTATGTGAAGAAAAGGTTAATTCGGCCCGGTAAATGTATTTGACAGCAGGCAATGTACAATGTGAATTATGTGATTCAACATCAGAATCAAGTAGTGTAGAATATGTCGATACGGCCAGGTATATGTATCGGACAATAGGCTACATAAAGTACATGACCGTTAGAGTGACAATTTTCTTGAGTGTTGGTTAATCCATGTAACATCAAGATCTGTTTGGATAAAGAATCTGTACATGGCAGTTTGACCTAGCTTTCGTTAACTTTCACAATTCCTGGTTTCCAAGAATGATATATTAGGGGAACCACTGTATAAATGTATGGGACAACAAACGATTCAACAGTAAAAATGCATAAAAGGTTATGCTGCTGCTGCATGGGAAATTTTATTATAATATGTTACACAGTATCACCGACGATTACATTGCTCAGAGAAACATTCGCATAATAGTACTTCACTTTTTCTCAAAAGCTTCACTCAGTTGATTGGTAATCATGGCCATGGTTTGTTTATACGCCGGTGTATCAACAGGAACAGTAGCATATCCATGAACTGTTTTTAAGCACATACAAGAAGGAACCATGAGTAATCACAATCCACCACTGTAGTAGTAAGGTAACAAAGAGAAGAAGCATGCTTCAACATAGAGTATAATACGTACTTGCGCCAATGACCCGAACAGTGGCATTAGGTACTCCAGCATTGGTCAATCGACGAGCATAGTCTTCACCTTCATCACGCAAAATGTCTGCTTCTGCGGTGAAAATTAGAGCTGGTGGGAGTCCTTGAAGCTCCTCGGTGGTCGCCAACATTGGGAATCCGATCTTTGTCTTCTCACAGTCATTCCAATACGCCTTATCAAAGAATATAGCGTCTTCGTTTTTCAAATAGTAGTCGCCGCCGCCAAAAAGCTTTGCAGATTCGTACTTGTCGCGCGAAGCTGCTGTCGCGGGATAAAGTAATATCTGAGCTTTGATAGCGCTTGGTAGACCACGTTCTTTGGCCATCACTAAGAACGGTAAAAGTGTCCTTCTTTAGCTTTGCATTTTGTCACTTTTGTCTTTTCAATCTTTCGTATCCTTAATATACATAGTAATGCATACATGGAATGACTGCAGATAGATTGCCTCCTGCTGAGTCGCCGCAGACAGCAAGACGGCTTACGTCAACATTTATGGAGTCGCCATTTTCAACAACCCAAGAGAGCGCTGCAAATGCGTTTTCATGAGCTGCGGGATACTTGGACTCTGGAGCGAGTGGGTAGTCAACGAATACAACCGCTACATTGTTCCTCACACAAATCTGGTTGTAGGAGCCAGCCATTAGTATTCCTCTTGTGATATTCAATAGAAGCGGTGTGTAATCATACATGTGAATTTTCCATTTCTTAAAGTACGAACTTACATCTTTAACTAGTTTGCCATGAGTATATTTGCTACCGAAAACCCAACCGCCGCCGTGACTTTTGAATTGATGTCAAAAAGAAACAGGTTTAGTATTGTTTAAACCTCCTAGAGAAGAGGATATTGAAGGTCAATAAGAATGTATGAACTCACTAGAATACGACAGCAGGGAGAATTTCATTCTCGGTTCCTGGTGGCCGGAAAAGAGTCAAACGGACATCAATGCTATTGTGAACGACGACCTTATCTTCCTCGATAACCTCGGGCAAGTTTTTGACTCCTTTCAAGCGCTGGTTAGCAGCCTCGCGAAAGGCGGGAAGAGGTATAGATCCGTCGCTAAATTTTGGGTTGTGCTTTGCCTGTTCACAGAACGCAGCATAAACCGGGTCGAGTGCAACTTCTACAGGTGCCATGCTGTTTCTTGTATGTAGCTGTCGCTGTGTCTTGTGTAGGGAGATTGAAGAAGAAGAAAAGTGCAAAAAGACAAAAATAGGCGAAAGATCCTTAAATTTTTATATGCATGTGTGAAGGTGCATAAAAAGAGACTTTATTCCCGCGGTATTACAAATTGTATATCTTGAAGGCTTTCAAAGGTTCGCACGCGTCCCCCAAAACTTTTGCAAAGTCTCCACGGTTTGATCAACAACCCATGAAGTGAGAGGGCTCAAGTTGCCAACGTTGAATACACCGTGAATCAAGCCCAGCACGCGCACGGCAGTGACTTGAACACCAGCAGCCACAAGCTTCCGAGCATACGCCTCACCTTCATCACGCAATACATCGGCTTCTGCCGTCATGACAAAAGCTGGTGGCAATCCCTTCAAATCCTCGTCCGAAGCATGTAAAGGTGCTGCGGTAATGTCGCGACGATCCTTTTCTTCGGGAACATACTGATTCCAGAACCACTCCATCATCTTGCGCGTCAAGTAATAGCCCTCTTGGAACTGATTGTACGAGCCAGTGGAAAAGTTGGCATCGGTCACGGGATAGTAAAGTACTTGGTATTTGATGGCATTAAGACCGCGTTTCTTGTCGAGCACTAGAAACAAGGCGTAGCAAGAATGGGGTTCAATGCAACGTCATATGAGCCAACTATTTCTAGAGCATAATGGTTCAAAGATGGGGGGGGGAAACAAAAGAAGTGTGGAATAAAGCGTACTTGATAAGACAGTAGTGAGATTACCGCCAGCGCTATCACCTGCAACGACCAGCTTGCTCGTGTCGACATTGATGGAGGCACCGTTTTTAGCAATCCATTCAAGGGTATCATAGCATTCTTCCAAGGCAACAGGATGACGCACTTCGGGGGATAGTGAGTAGTTTACGAAAATGACAACGGCGTTGGCACGGACAGTGAGCTACACATATGAATGATATGTTAGCGTGAGTGCGCTAACGTTGTTGTGGATACAAAAATCGATGAGAATGCATTACCTCGTAGCGGACTGGTTTGTAATTCAATTCACTACCTAAAACCCATCCTCCGCCGTGCCTGTATATTATATGTGTTAGTTTACTGCGTGATGGGAAAAGAAACACACTGTGTGGCAATGCAAAACGTACAGGTAGATAATAACGGGAAGAACCTTGTTCTCACTACCGACAGGACGAGTGATTGTGAGGCTGATGGACTTGGAACCGTCGCGGCTAGGGATCGACTTGCGCTCTTCAAGCACTTCAGGTACATCAACGGGCACCTTACCCTCGGCAGCACGCGTGAGCTCAGGAGGGATTTGAGTGATGTCAAACTCAGGAAGATTATCCAAAACGGCCTGACAGTAGGGTTCGAGCACGACGGGGGTAGTGGGTGCCATGACGATATGAATGGGTTATATACAAAAGCAGAGAAAGGAGTAGTTTAATTCTGAGACACGAAAACTTTGGATTGAATTCCGCTGACAACCTAAATTCAGCTCCCACTGGTTTTTAGGTCTAACGTAAGGTGAGAAATTTCTACCCGCTTCCCAAAAGAACATATCGTCGTTTTGCATACAACAATGCACCCCATGTAAGATGCAGCAAAAACCAATTATTACGTGGGAAATGAAATCTCGGTTGTAGTCTGTCCTTTGTAGATTGTGGTATTTGACATCATTTATTCTACCAGTAATAAAAATACAACTTGTCCTGCAGCCTGTAAGTTAAGTTCGTTCGAACGCTTCAGTCAGATGAGCCGTGATCATTGCCATAGTTTGTTTGTAAGCCGGGGTTTCAACAGGGACAGTAACGTATCCGTGAACTATGCGAACAAGAATGTGAGACATGAAATTATTAAAGACACAACCATGCTGTATAATACATACTGGCACCAATCACACGAACGGCAGCAGTAGCGACACCAGCTTCGGTCAATCGTCGGGCATACTCTTCACCTTCATCACGTAGCACATCTGCCTCTGCGACAAGCACAAGTGCAGGTGGAAGGTCTTTCATATCCTCTTGTGTCGCCATCAATGGAAAGCCAATTTTGTTTTTCTCTCCGGTATAATAAGCCTTTCCAAAGAAATCAATATCAGCGAGCGACAGGCTATAGTCGCCACCGCCAAATAGCTTGTAAGACTCATAAGGTTCGCGGGTGGGAGCAGCCGATGGATAAATTAAAATCTGAGCCTTGATAGCGTTTCCAAGACCACGTTCCTTGGCCATGACTATATACGCCCAACCAAGAAAAAACCCGCTTGTTATTTAACGTGCCTACATGGAAAGTCACGACAACAACTAATGTCAAAACTTAAAAATACTTACGTGCTAACGATGCCGACAAATTACCACCAGCTGAATCACCACAGATGGCAAGCTTGCTAAGGTCAACCTTAATAGAAGCTCCATTCTCGACCACCCAGCTTAGTGCACTGTATGAAACTTCGTGAATGGTAGGGAACTTGACTTCGGGAGCAAGCGGGTAATCAACAAACACAAGTGCAACGTGGTTCTTGACACAAATCTAAGAGATGATTGTGAAAGCGATTAAAGAACACCATATTTACAGAAACACGAATTACGGGGGTTTTTTTTTTGCTTTGGAAGAGAGAAAACCTACGTCGCGAATGACTTTTCCGTGGGTATGCTTCGAACCAAAAACCCAACCGCCGCCGTGGCTGTTTTAAAGAGTATCACTTTTCAGTTTTTGCACGTCTCAAAAGCAATATACCAAAAAACAGCCTTTCTTTTCAGAGCTTACTAGTAAACGACGACTGGAAGCACGTCATTCTCGGTTCCAGGAGGACGAAAGAGTGTCAATCGAATCTCAGTGCCATCATGGGTCACTGTCTTGTCTTGTTCGATCACGTCAGGCAGAGCGAGGTTCAAGCCCTTTAAGCGACCGTTGGCCAGCTCACGCATCTTTTCGAGTGTAATAGTGCCATCGCGTGCCTTTGGAGCTTGCTTTGACTTTTCAAAGTAAGCAGCATATACTGGATGAACAGGGACTTTTGGCGCCATTTTGTACTATGGTAAAAGAAAAGAAAGAGCTTCCAGGGCCAGGAACATCAAAAGCAGCTTACAAATGAATTAAGCATTGTTTGTACTACGTTCCTTTGAAACCCCATTACGGAAGCTGAAATAAGACTTTTACAGACAGGTACCCCCCACTTAAAAAATTACTGCCGGAATTACTTCTTTGTTCCCGGCGGCCAGTCTAACTCAAGGAAGGAAAGGTTGGATGGCTAAATTCTCATCTTGGTAGACTGCGTTTTTGTCCGTGATAACGACTACTACATTACTCTACCGTGAAAAATATGTCACAGAATAAATACCATCTGCACAATTTGCCTCCATCCGTTAATACAACATCGATGTTGAGAGTTAGGAGGCGAAAGAAGCGGTTGCGCATTATCTTGATAATTCGAGAAAACACGATTTTGTACCCCCCAAATACCCCTAGAAAACTAATACATTGATGCATAATGGCTGTCATAGTGTTAAGTCAATATTTCCGGCTCAACAGACGATATAAACTTTCGGTATAGTAATGATGATCACAGCCAAACGAGGGGTTGTATCGTTAAAATAAATAGTATTTTCTTGACTCACGAACAGTATTACTGTTTTCGGTATCAGCATCGCTCCCAAGTGTCGCTAAATACAATAAATGATCAAAGATCTGCTATCTTATTGCTTCATAGAAGATCCCAAAAAGTATTTATTTTCACCAAGCCAATGGTAGAAGCGAACTTTTATGCACTATCATCATACTTATATGCAACCGGTTTTTCACAACATCGTCGCCATACACATTATCGGAATTTCGAGCCAGCCAGGTACGCGAATCTTTGCTTTCATATCACACTACTATATGGCCAGCAGAATATAAGCCAGGAGACTAGAAGTCATATACCGAACAGTGATTGCGCTGTATTTGAGAGCTGGAAAGTAGTGGGCTGGCACAAAATTGGCTCTGGAAGCCATCATCAGGGTTTTTTTACTTTCAAACTATATATCAAATGTGTTCATACATAGCGGTACGTCGACGATGCAATCGTCGCGTAGAGATATATTAAAGTACCTTGGGAGCTCGTTATGATCGTCGTCGTTATCACGTCCGTCGCACGTCATGATTTCGGAATGGACTGTTGCAAACGTAAACCGGGGTTTGTATATCATTTGAAGCGGTTGTGATGAAGCTGGTCTGCCAAGTTGTTTCTGGTAGGGAGTCTTTGCTCATTTTCGTCAAATAGTGATATCTTGATTATTATGTAAGCATTTGGATATTCTGTGCAAATTCAAATTATCATTGTTGATGGGATGCTGCTACAAACTTTTTGAAATCGTGCTACTACTGTAGTACTATGTAATTTGTTGACCTCTGTTCAAAAACAAAGTAGTTTTGCTTTTCTGATCAGTTAAGGCAAAAGTACAAGTGCGTCTTCACATCTTGGGAGTATGTAACTATATACGCCCTTTCTTATTTTTAAACCTGTGTGGTTACTTGAAAGGCTGGTATATTCTTTTTGTAGCTCGCTCATTTGTCAGCTTGACCAAGGCAATACACTGACACGTTTGACATCCTAAAGAGAATTCCTCATGTTATTGGCCCATAGACGTTTTATGTATTTATGTTGTCGTCTTCGTTGCTCATCATATGGGACCATTATTCGCAATCCTTTCGGCGATAACAGTGCTTTTGATATTCATCAGTTCTATCGATGGCCACAAGCGTTTTTTTTTTCTGCACAGTGATTTTCAAAGATGCAACGTCAGTTGCTGTGGTGGAATGATTATATATCTCAAACGAGCCTGCTTTTCACAATGTTAAATGATAAAGTCTCTGTTCTGATTGCAACGATGTTATAGTACACAATTATTTTCTGAAGGGCTTAGGGATCTGTCGGATTCGTTGTAGCTTTTTGTTCGTGCTGGTTGTCGTTGTTCAATATTTACAGGCCAACCAAAAGATTTGTTCTTCTTTGCAAAAAAAATAATAATGTTGTCATATGGTACATGTCCTTTTGCGAATTGTTTACGCCAGTCAAGTTGCTAGTAAAGTACCATGTTGTGTAGTGCGTCTCATGACTGCCGCGGTGATACGCTGGTGTCATTCATCCATCGATACATTGCAGCATCTTACAGTAGATGCTGTCATTTATAAAAACATACACCATCACGTTTTAACCGCAGTACAGAGTCATCAACGCTCCATATGTACTCCATTCAGCAACTACGCCAGCAAGAACAATCATTCTTCAGCGCACATGATGTGGTATATGAAAGCCCACATGCGACGTTAGACACATCTTTCATATTCATCATGTGGACGGGCCGATTGTGATATATTAAATGTGAATACTACATCGCATTAGGCACACACATTGACAAATTGCTGCGTACATGAATGTTCTGGTGATGATGATGATGATGATGATGTTGACAAAAGGAAACACAAACAGAAGCATGGCGGTAATGCTCGTGTTGTCAACAATGGCTCGTTTATTCCTGTTGTATGTCGGAATGACAGTTTCCGTCTGGTTGTTTGTGTCTGGCCCCTTCCTTTGATAAGAAAACTGCCAATATTACAGTAAAAAAAATTAAAATGTGCATTTTATGCTAGTCATGCCTTGCATTGCATTTTAAATAAAGAAGCAACATGCGATGTCCCGTTGTCGGGTACTATGTACTTGGAAGCCAAAAAGCTGCACTATAGATACATTTCAATCAAGCGAGAAAAAGGTAATTTTTTGTTATAGTTGCAACTTGATATAATGGTTAGAGGGATGATGTGACACACCCAATAAATTGTTTGTTTGCTATGATTCAAAATGTATTAGGGGATCATAACATTGACCAACAAGGAGGTGCTGAGTCTTTATAAATCCGCGCCGTTTCCTGCATGTTTCTGTACGAGTAATGTCTGTGAGAGAGGTTATAGAGTAGGGTGTGCTCTCCCCCCCCCACCCCACCCCAAAATTTAACTTTTCGCAGCATTGCATTACGCCAATCCAAGAATTTAAGATCAGTGTTTGCGCCAGCCCGCAGTATTTTCTTATGTTTGCAGTATGTAGTACAACCCAAGTTTGTATGGCATGTATACAAATCAACACTGCCTGCAGCGAAGTCTAATTTCTTTTCGGTTTGGAATGGTTATGATTTGAGAGGAACGGAGCAAGGATGTTGCTCCGAAAATATATGTATATATATATATATATATAACAATGCGAGAAAAGACATGGAAGAAAGCATTAGGTGGATGAGTGTGGATGGATGTAGTATACATGAGGGATGTGTTTGTCTGTTTGAATAGCTAATTGGCAGATGTCGTCTTTTGCTTTTTTGCACGATACTTTTGCTTCTTGACCTCATCAGAGTCACACCGTTGCCGATCCAGCAGCTTTTTATACCGTGCACTCGTTTGTTCCCGACCACCGCCTAGCACCACTGTCGGCTGGCGTTTTTTTGTTTGCAGATATTGAGTCAAAGGTATATCCCCTTCGCCTAGTCCTCCTTCAGCAGCTACCGGAAACGGTTGCATATACTGCATGAACGTTTGACACAACAATGTGCGCGTCATATTGGCACTCCATAACTCTCGCCAATGTTGGTATATCCGTGCCGTACTTGCACCGTTTCCGGTCACCCAGTGGATGTTCTCAAACTCGCAGTCGTACAGCAACAAGGGCAGTTCGCTGGCCATGGGATAATCAGGACGGGCTTCGATTTCCGAGACATTCAGCAACGCTTGAACGATCTCTGGCTCTTCCAACTTTTGACCCACCAAAAACAGGACGGACATGATGCATCGCACCTGATGCCACAAGAATGCCGTACCCTTCAACTCGACTTGAAAGAACTCAGTATTGGATAAACCCGGGACTGCAGGTGTCACCCGGTTGATATCCAGCGACACGACGCGACGTTCGTAGTTGGTGATATTCTTTGACGGATCGAGTTTGCAAAAGTTGCGAAAATCGTGCTGGCCCAAGAAATAACGGGCACCCTTCTGCATCGCTTCCAGGTCAAGGTCGCCTTTGGTGAAAAAATACTTGTACGTGCGCGATTTGCAGTCGAAACGAGCGTTAAACTTGGCATCCACAGGTGCCCATGCCAATACCCGGATATCGTCAGGCAAAAGCCTGTTCAGTGTATCCACGTAGGTGATCTCTGGCTTATCGGGCCCATTGCTGCGCACTTTGAGCGACACAACTTGGCCCAGCCCACTGACGCCCTTGTCGGTTCGTCCACAGCGTGAAAAGTTGCATTCCTCCACCGTGGTAATCAGTTTGCAACGTTGTAAAGCTTGAAACAGGCGTCCTTCCACAGTGGGAATGGTTTCTTCGTCTGTCTGTGCTGCAAAGCCCATATAATTCCAGCCAAGATAGGCGACTTTGAGAGCAATGTGTCGTTGGTTGTATTTGGACATATCGAACGGTCGTTCTTTACGTTTACTGCTTTTGTTGTCCAGCTTTGCATCTTCTTTTGTTGTATTATTCGCAATAGCTGTTGCCGTTGATGATTCGAGGGTTGCAATGCGTTCCAGCAATTGCTCGCGTGTCCAGCTTTCGTACTTTTCCATGTGTCGTCGCAAAGGTGCTGTTGATCGCAACAGGCGATTAAGCATAAGAGAACAAGGTGTGTCGCCAGCCCAAGCCACTTTTTTTCTCCCACAAATTTTATGCATAATTCAAAAGTATGTCTCATAGAGCTCAGCTTACTCTTTTCGTCATTCCTGCGTCAAGACAATGCCGTCATTTGAGGAACAAGGAAGTACATTTTGGAAATGGCTTGAGAAGAACGGAGCCACATTATCTGATGGAATTGCCTTTCATGATTATCGTAAAACGGACAATGCCGGCCGTGGTGTCATTGCAACGCGTGATATTCAAGTATGTCAATTTTTTTTTTCATGTACAGTAGTATGTAGTACACGCATGCGCCGTTAGATATATACGGAGCTTGTACTGTACCATGGTACACACTCACACACTAAATGTTTTGACGTGCTATTATTTGCTTTCGCGTTGTTTATGCATAACTACATTTATGTAACATATCATACTACCATAAATAAGGAAGATGAAGTGTTGTTTACGTTGCCACGGCACTTGTTGCTATCCAGTCAAACGTCCAGACTACGCCAGCAAAAAGATATGGCGCAAGTACTCGACGCGATGTCTGGATGGAACCCATTGATTCTTTGTTTGATGTATGAAAGCCAGCTCACCGATTCGTTCTGGAAGCCCTATTTCGGTAAGTTCGCATATTTCGATCAACAGAAGAGACGTTGGCCTCAACTCTATCAACCATAGATGTTTTACCAAAGGGGTTCTCAACGCCCATGTTTTGGAACAAAGAAGATCTAGAATCATTACAAGGAACTGATATTGTCGGTAATAAGGGGAATACAACAAGAACAAGAAGGTTTTCTCTTCTTTTGTGGTGGGTGGGTGGGGGGGAGGGGGGTGATGCAGATGGAGGGAATGTGGGAGAAAACAAACCGACCCAACACATAAATGCGGCATGCGTACGTGTGATAAGGCGCGCGGCGGTTAATAGGAAAGGGTTTTTTTTTTCACGGTAGGAGAGCAGGGAAGCAGTACGTCCAGTAACCTCTATTATGCACTCTATGCTCTGTAGAAAAGGTCGGCAAAGAGGAAGCCGAAGCCATGTTTGTCCAGGAGCTACAGCCGATTATCAAGGTAGGTAGTAGTAAAAAGTGTTGTACATTTACATTTCCATTTTTAAGAGAAACATATCGAGAGGGGATCAAAGAGAGAGAAAGAGAGAGGGGGGGCAAAGAAAACACCAGCACCATACTATTTACATGCCTGCCACCCCGTCCCCCCAAAGCAAGCGACCATGCATACTTATCATTCGTCGTTTTACACTAATACACGCTACTATGTAGGATCACCCCGAAGCGTTTAATCCTGATATTCACAATTGTGATCTGTTCCATCAATGCGGATCCTTAATTATGGCATACAGCTTTCACGATCCAATCGGAGCACCTGAGCCAGCCAACGGCGCCACTCAAGAGGATCACGATAACGACGACAATGACGAAGAAGAAGAAGAAGAAGGGTTACTGGCGATGGTGCCGATGGCAGACATGTTGAATCACAAGACCGGATATAATAATGCACGTCTGTTTCATGAACCCGAGTGCCTGCGCATGAAAGCAATCAAAAGCATCCAGACAGGTGACCAAATATACAACACATATGGTGACTTGTGCAATGCAGATTTGCTTCGGAAATACGGCTTTGCGGATGAAAGCAACCCCTTTGACTTGGTGGAATTGAATGGTGGCAATATTGTGGAATTGTGCTGTGATGATACAGACACGTCATTACGTGAACGAAAGGTACGAAGGATAAAAGGGAGGGAGGCTTTATAATGGTGATGGAGGGTGGTGGTGGTGGTGGTGGTGAGATAAGACTCCCCCTTTTTTACTATAGCGTTTCACTAACTAAAACGGTGAAATTATGATAGATAGAGTTTTTGATGGAGGAGGAAGCATTAGATGAGTAAGTGGATCCCAAAAAAGTGCAAAAAAAGGGGGTCTGGAGGAGGAGATGTACCTCCCGGGAGATGATGATTGGAGGACTCAGAAGCGGACCAAGGGGGGAATCATGCATTGCAACCCAAGTTGTATCCCTTTGTGCACTCTCAATTCACACACCTGCCTTGTCTTTGTTTTCAGCTGCTTTGTGATCGATACGGAGCATGTCCTGCCACCCGAGCTTATTAGTGCCTGTAATGTATATCTCCAACAACAACAACAACAACTTGCTTCTATGTCATCCTATCGTTATACTAAAGACATGTGTATACTTAAAAACAACATAGTGTATGTGCTACGTGCGTCAGCAGAAGAATTTGCAAAGATGGAGACAAAACAAAAGCTACCCAAGCCCAAGCTGACGCCAGCCATTGCAAAGCTGGGAATGCAAATTCTGGAAGAACGCATGAAGCGCTATCCTCAAGAAGTAAGTATGACCCACATGGGGGATGGGGAGGGCTGCAGAAGCGAACATAAAAACATGATAAAATATAACGATCATAGAGAGAGAGAGAGAGAGAGAGGGCTGAAGAGGGGAGGAGGGGTGGGGGGGCGCTATTGGGCGTATTAAAGAGAGAGAGAGAGAGAGAGAGAGAGATGTAAGGTTCAGCAAAGATTAAAATGTTTATCAGGACGACGACCAGGCTCTGCTGCAGAGTGGATGCAGCCCGAATAAGCGGCATGCACTCCTAGTCCGCATTGGCGAAAAGCGGATACTGGAAGCGACGATAAACAAGTTGAAACGGGAAGCGGAAGGTCAAAAGCGCGCCGTGGACGAAGAAGACAGCCAGGGCCACAGCAAGAAGAAGAAGGCTAGAGTATAGAGGATAGCCTGATCCAGCGACCTAGAGAGAGAGTTAGAGAGTTAGAGAGACACACATAGGGCATAGGGGTGTATGTATAGGGAAATTAGGGAATCCGATTGAAGCGAGATCTGCTATCTGCATATGCAATGCCCTGAAAAAATAGACAGATTTGGCAAAAAGAAAAAAAAATGGTTATAAATAAGGATCATTTATCCAAATGGAGCTATTTTTTGTTTTGTTTCTTTTCTCATCAGAGGACACTTCTTTTTCTTCTTCTTCTTCTTCTTTGTCGTTGCTGTACTTTTAGCTCTTTAATATTTCTCCCCTCTATTATCTCTTGTGTACTTATAACAACAACAACTACTACTACAACCAAAAGCAACATTCGACATGGCCACCATCTATCAAAATGCCGCAGGCGCACTCCACTATCGCAAGACTGTTCAACGTCAAGAACGAGTCGCACCGCCACCTTCCTCTTCTTCTTCTTCCTCTTCCTCAGTCAAAAAGGCATCCTCTGCATCGCCGCCACCCGATCAGCTCTTGGCCCAAATTTCAACGAACGTTGCAGTGATCGTAAAGTGTCCTCAGGAAGCAGGCTGTCTGGCACATAAGCGCCTGCCCAGCCTATCCAACTTCATCCACCAGGTGTACACCAAGAGCCGTATGACGCCCACGCTGCTTGTCGTCGCCTTGATATACCTCGAACGCCTGCAGAGAAAGCTTCCCAGCGGGTCTCAAGGAGAATACGACACGCCCTACAAACTGTTTCTGGCCTCTGTCGTGTTGGCCTCCAAGTTCTTGGAGGACTCGTACCCTGTTGCGCGCAGCATCCTGCGTGTCGTTGCTCCGGTCTATTCCACCGCTGAGCTTGCAGTCATGGAGCGCAGCTTCTTGGGTGTGATCAAGTATGACTTGTTTGTCAAGCTTGACCAAGTGTGTCAGTTCGTTCAAGACCATGGTGAATCCGTCAGCGTCTTGGAGCTGGATCTCTAACAAAATAAAACAACAAATCAAGCAAACAACAACAAAACAGCACATACGACGACGACGACGACACACTTAAAACAAAAGGTCAACACCAACAACATCTATCGAATGTACATATCACCCCTTCCTTTTGGCTTTTCACTCACAAAATATATATATACGACCACCACCACCTGCCACCACTCTTCTATGCCTTTTCCTTCTTACCAGCTACTTCTTCTTCTCTTATAATTCCTTTCCTTTTTCTTTTTCTTTACACTTACGGTACGGGATATCGATCTTTACTATCTTCTCTTTCTATGCACTTGTATATTTCTCCCCACCCCTCACCCCAAAAATGACGGTCAGCGAAATATCAACAAAACATAATGCTGCTGCTGTACATACAAACTCTTTGACCGTCAAAAAAGAATATATACTCTCCCTCCTCCCCCCCCCCCCCAAACACCAAAATTACACTATGAAACTCTACACGAACTCTCACTAACTCGACCCCCTTTTTTCTCCCCCTTTTTGAACTCTATGCTATCTTCTCTTTCGGTACACTCTATAACTTTACATCCAAAACTGTCAATCTTCTTTTTATTCTTACTCGCCAGTCACTCAACAAACTCTCTCTCTCCTCCTCCCCGCTTTATTACTTATGAGAATATACATTATACACTTTTAGTAGTACACATCTAATAAAAAAAAAAGGTTCTATACAATGGCAAAATATTCTGTCCACTGGTCTTGCGGTATCAAGGACCCAAACAGATCTTTCATGTCCTGACCGAGCTATTACATGGATCACATCGATGATCACATATAAGAAAAGGGGTGATAAGTATCGAAAAGAAAGGAGGATGGCGAGTTGCTCGTTTCACTCTCCATGACATCATTGATCATCAATTGTAGGACAAAAGGGCTTACCTGGTTCAGTTCACGGATGATGTATTCCATGAGAGCGATATAAGCATAATAAGCCATGTAACCCTCGTCCGACTTGAGTCCGAGCACATACTGAAGGCGCCGCATGAGCAAAACACGCGCCCTCTCAGCCGGTGGTAAATAAGGAGGCAGCGGCGTCTTCAGTTGCAATGCCGACGCCAACACGTAAAAATAGAGCAAAACATTGCCCACCAGCTCCGAGAACTCGGTATTGGCCCCCATCAAGAGTTGTTGGTGCACATGGACTGACCACACATCTTTGAGCACCACGATCCGCAACGATAGAAACTTGTCCAGGATGTTTTGACACGAGTTGAGCATCGAGTTGTACGTGGCAGTTGGGAATGGCCCTTTTAGCCGAGGTTCGCTGGGCGCATGAACGAGCAAATCCCGGAGTTTCACAAGGGCCTGTTGGCATTCGGTCTGGTGAAATAACATCTCTTCTGCATCATGTGTCGTTGACAGGTGCTTATACAGCCACGACAACCGAATCAGCAGGTCCGAGAGACCCTGTCTGAGCGCCTTTCTTGCTTCATATGGCCAAATATACGCCGTAACAATCAGACCTGTATTGATAAAGTCATTAGTTACTATCCAACCCATTCCACTGTATACTCTACTAGTATATGTGTAACATCTATCTTTTTCTCAATGAAACATAAACAGAGTTTTTTTTTTTTCATGCTGTGTTACCTATCACAACGCCGAGTGATACGGTGATGCACCGTATCCATGCCAACTCGACAACGCCAATATTGACAAACTGCACATCGTTACGATGATTGTACATGTAGAGAACAACCAGGTTGTACGCCAGCAGAGCAACTTGCCCGAATCGACCGTGGCGATGGTATAATATGACCCAGAAGGCCGGGATGGAGTAGAGCCACGTCAATAAGGTAAGGACAATGGGGTTGGCTGGAAACAAGGTGTAAGTCAGCGTGGCAACTGCGCAGCCGGCAATGGTTGCTAGGACACGGAGAACTGCACCCACATTCGTGCCGCCTACCGTGGGGGTGAGTAGCGTCATAACCTATTAACCGCCCGTACGTGTGTGGTATGGTATATGTAAATGTATGTGTTGTGCGTATGTAGACCGTAAAAAACAGTTACATATGTGCATAGGTACCGTTATTATAAAAAAGTAAAAATAAAATAAAAAAATCTAATTTTAATATTACTGTATACAGCAAAAGAACGAAAAAAAAGGGGACGAGAGTCTTTTTTCTTCTTTGCCTGTTGCTGCTGCGGATAAACTGCACACATCCTATGCAAGCAGGAGATATGTACGTTGAGGGGAGGGAGTAGAAGATGCAGCAGCAGCAGCAGCAACTGTCATGGTGTTGCTATCTATAGCAACACAACTTCCCCTTTAGGAAAATACAGTTAGAGGGGAAAAAAGAAAGGTTCGAGCACTTACAGTAAGTAACGTCCATTCCATTCGATACTGGTAAAAGTACGGTTGAGTGTAGGGTATAAAAGCCAATGCAGAAAAGGCTATTGCCGTCAACATGTTTTTGGCCGCAAACTTGATCGTACGCTGTCGAAACAAGGAAAAGAAGCTCCACAGCTTAAAACTGAATTTATGCCGCTGGGTATTGGGCTGCGGGGTGTGAAGCGTATTTGAAGTGTTGTGGTTATTTGGCAAAAAGAATGCATTATCTGCTGCATTCGTAGCGTTCGTTGTTGTCGTTTGATCCGTAGTTCTTCTCGATCGTGCCGTCGTCGTATTCCTGCGGTTAGCGTCGTCGTCGTGATTGCTGTGGCTGTACTGCGTCGCTCTTGCTATTGGCGGAGATGGTGTGGAGAGAGTGACACTACTATTTCTTCTTTTCTTCTTCTTCTTCTTTAATGGAGTCGCCGTGCCTTCATCGTCTTGGTCGGCAACAGCCGCGCATTCGGTCGCATTCACGAGTATTGTCAATTCTTTGGCAAATTCCGATAGCGTAAACACAAAGAAATATACCAAAAATACATTGTCTGCAGGCAACTCCTTCATGAGCTGCATATGCAAGTCGCTATAATTACGGCGGTTGTACATGCGACTCAGTGCATGATGGAGCGAGTCTTCAAAAAGATCTATTGCCGCTAACAAGTTTTGTCGTAAACGACAAAAGGATGGGGGTGCTGCTGCTGCTGTAACAGAAGGGACAGCAGTAGTAGTAGTGGTAGTGCTAGGTGCATCATGTCGTTTAGCGTCCGCCGCTGTCGTTTTGTTGTTGTTACTGCTGCTGCTGTTATCGAACTGCGATTGTAGATGAACGATCGTTTGCTTGCAAGTGTAGGCCAATGATTTCATCGGTTGACGCACGGTTTTGATAAACTGAACCAACTCGCCGGCATTGCTATCATCGCTACCTCCGTCATCTTCGTGATCATGCTGTTGTCGTTGTTGTTGTTGTGGATTTTGGTGATGATGGTTATTGTGATGGTTATCATGTTGCTGGCTTTTCTCTCGCCGCAATTCGTGCTCGAGTTTACGTCGTTGGTCATCTGCCTTGACGTTCCATTGATGATGTTCCTGCATGACTTCAAACTGCAGACCACAGCTGCTTCTCAATCCACCAATATGCCGATCGAGTCGTTGAAGACTGGATACTATATCATCGTAACACTTCATACTGTGTGGATGCTCACGTTTAGCATTCACCAAGGATTGCTTCAATGCTGTACATCCGGATCTGTGTGCCTTGATAGCTTCTTCAAGCTGCTTGTTTGCTGTAAAGTTTGGCAAGTCGCAATCAAGGAGGAATGTTTTGGTAAGTAGCTTGAGCAGAACACGGACCGATTGAAGGCTACTGTTGATGTCTGATCTACAAAAGTTAAAAAATATCATATTACATCACAATAAACCGTCATTTGTCATTTGCAATAGTTATTAGACATTAAAAATAATGTTATAATTGCATATTATTACTCATAATTGCACCCTGCACTACTACGTCCCTCTTTGTAATCACACCAATATAAAACAATACGTTACTTTAGTTTTTTGGTTGCTGTGACAGGCCATAACAAGAGACAAACAGCGACAGAGATGATGGTTCCGATGGCCACCAGAACAAACAGCTGCCGAATGACAATGATTGGATTATACAGAAAATGTATTCTATCAGGTGACGGCTCACGGACCAAGGTGGATAAAATAATGATGAATGCAAGTGCCGACGCTATGTAGGATATAAAAAGTATTAGTGCCAACCGGGTTAAAGTTTTTTCCATTCACATGCCATGTTTGATAACAGGGCTAACAAGTGAATGAGGTCCTAGCTGTTATCCCGCGAGTAGTGCCGGTTGTCTCATTGGTGGTCAATAAAGGCACTAGATATTATAAATACGGTTACCTGTTCCCGTGCTCGGTCGATTCATCCGACCTTTAAAATAAGCAATGACAAACGAGCTTAAGCCGATCCAGACACCCAGGGTTAATCCGTAACTGAGCCAGAATCTGCCTTGTGAGATCAGGATCGTGTTGATCGACACACTTGTTAGGCACAAGACCAGAGCGCACACTGTGAAAAGCCAACCATAACCAGCTGCCTCGACCATGCCACCGACGGTTTTCGCCGGATTAAAAAATACAGTAACCGTTGCTGCTAGATGGCTTGCGACCATGTCACCTCCCACCCAAGTATTCAAAAACGGCACAAACGTGAAAAGGGATCCTAGCATATAGGCCGTACTGCACTTGATGACCATTTTCTGGGGATATGTCAATTTGAACCGCATGAGTCGATGACGGTAATACGAGAGCATGGAAGTTGCTCTGTTGCCACCACTACTGCTAGATTTCCCGTCGTCGTCGTCATCGTCATCAGATTCAATAGAGACCGGCTGTTGTTGCTGATTGGGTTCTGATTGTTGATGCCTATTTTTCGAAAGGAGTGGACTTGATTCACTTGCGGTAATAGTAGTTACAGTAACAGGATTATTAACAATGGCGCTATTGTCCTGCTGCGCCTGCAATTGTCTCCGCTGCTGATCCAAAAAGGAAGAATACGATCCAGGTACAGTTGTCAATGAAACTGTGCGTCTTTGTAGAATGCCATCATCAAGAACAACTTCATAGTCACTCAGAGTATCGTAAGAGGATGGATGCGACTTGTATCCAAAGTAATCCTCGTCTTGACGTTGCTGGTGCTGTAGCTGATGATACTGCTGTTGAGGTTCTGGAGAAAGAGGTGATCGGATCACAAAAGAATCTGCTGCTGGTGTAGCTGTTGAAGATGGAAGCATGGCGGTATCTCTGTTTGGATGGGATATCATGATCGGGAGAGTCGTGCTACCAGTATCAGTACTGTTCAATACACTACTCAAAGAGGGTATCGGCTGTTGCTGGATAAGACTGGGAGATGATGATGCTGATGATATAGTGCTTATGATATTGTTACTGCAAGTAGGAAACGTAGTATCTTGTCGTTTCCGTTTGTTGTTGTTGTTGTTGTTGTTGTTATTGCAGCTCTTCTTGGCTGCAGCACCGGCTACCACATTGATGTTGTCTAGTACAGTCTGATGCGACAAGACACTCATGCGTTTGAATAGGAGAAAGTGAATGAGAATGAGCGAGGAAGAAAAAGAAAGAGAAACAAATATCGATTGAATAATAAACAGATCTGGTAAATATCAGTTTTTTGCACCTGATGATGGACAGAAAGAAAGTTTTGTCGCAGTGTGAATTACACTTTTCACACACGGAAATCCTATCCCCAATTCCGTGTCATACTAACTATATCATATCTATTGACATTACGCAACTAATACATATTCCTGATATCAGATGAGAGCAATAAAATAAATTATATATATAAAAGAGTAGGGAATGTAGGTGAAAGGGCATGTTTATCTATCAAGGTTATCAACTAAGTTTCTTTTTGGTATAAGATGTATATATATAAAAAGAAATGTCTGTGCGACTATTGATGATGATAAAGCAGGGCCCGCCAATCCATCCACGGAAAAAAAACCTTATTTTCTTTTCCTTTTTGTAAGCCAAAACAGCATAGTAGGCTCACTTCCTATGTATACAGCACCCCGCACTATTTGTCGTACACACTGTTTTTTTTGCTGTCGTTGTGTGCCTGTACGTTTAGAACCCAAAGATTCGAGTGAACAAATCCGGTCGTAGAAATGGTGCCAGGAACAAACGTCCCGTCATTGTCAAGAATATGAAATGGGCCAAAATAGAACATGCGCGGTGCTTTCCCGTCGGACGTTGTGGATTGCCAAACTTGATTTCACCCCATACCGCAACACCATGCAGCGTGAAAAACAACACTTGTTCTAATGTCATTGTACGCACCAGGGCCATGAGCATCAGTTCATGAAATATGCCACTGACAAGAAATACGGCAAAACCGCGAACACTTGGTGACGACCACCCTATATATCGTCGCGATAGGGGTGTTGTTAAAGAAGAAGGCGGTAACGATGACGACGACGACGACGACGACAATTCTTTCGTTTTCTTAATGCTGTCGTCGCTGTTGCTGTTGCCTGATTTGATTGTTGCAGCAAAGATTTGCTGATGGTAGATTTTGTGAACGATGCGATTCCAACGTCGACTATTTAACGATAAAACAAACGGTTTAATAAATGTAAACGGCGAGCCTGAAATAGGTGGAGGGGTATATACGTTCGTGTGCGTTAAAACTATAAGAACTGTTGTTACCTCCAAAAGTCTCGCGGACTGTGGGCTAAAATAGGTGAATCGAATATGTCATATATTGGAACACCCAGTGTGCACTGGATACTACCAACGCCAATATCAGCTAGCCCCATGATGCAATACACCTTGAATCCAATTAAAGCGGTCAACCACAGACTTTCCCAGCTCCAGTAAGGGATCGCCAAGAGTCTTTGTGAGTAGCCATGTGGAAGCCATGGATCCACCAAGGATTTCATCAGGGCCCATTTGAACACACCGCGGGCTATCTTGGCCAGGCCCTGAATTCGAACATATCCTGTCGCCTGCTGGTTCTCTTGAAACACAAGCAACGTACTGCCAACATTTGCAAGTGATTCGCGGAAACTGAAGTTCTTGTCAGCAAAATATACAATGTACGATGCAGCGTACCACGGTGTTCCCAACAATGTATTGTTCAAGAGTTCGCTAGGACAGGCAAATACAAGTGGGATGGAAATATGTATGGCGGCGAGGAAAAGGCGTAGTCGGATAGCACCTATGATTGGCTGTAGATGGCGAACGGCAAGGTAATCGAACCACAACATCAGTGCATGGCCTGTGACAAGGTATAAGTCAGGAACGACGATTTGAGGTGGCAGGGTTACATCGATGACGGGTTGTGTATGGGCAAACATTGGGAAAGAAAAGAAAGAAAAAAAGAAGGTGGGACGACGGACAGCGAAAAGAGAGAGTCATTGAATTTTTTTTCAATGCTCAGGGTGCATCATCATGCATGCAGTTAGTTCGGAAAAAGGAATCACCGTTCAATCAAGACTTTATTCTTAGCCCCCAGAGCCACTCAAGCATATGCGGGATCAGTAATGCAATGCTTGTCAAAAAAAAGCGACACTTCATACTATGTAACGCATGCGCATATATATTCAGAAAGTATCATAGGAGTTGCATAATATCATAACGGATCGAGCATATTTAACTTGAGTTTGTTGCGAGCTATCTTTACAGTATTCATAGTAGATGCCCGTATAACGAAATATAGATATGTAATTCGTTGTTTTCGCGAATGAGCCAACATATACACATTACTGACGCTTTTCTACAAAGACCTTCAATCCATTTTTCAATGGATGTGTAAGCGACATTGAGTAGACAATTTCTTGGCCAGGAACGAGAGCGAATTTGTATCGCTTCAACAAGATGGTAAGTGCCACGAGCCCCTCGAGGGTCGCAAGAGCTTGACCTGATGTTTATAAAGCAGTTACATGGAGGTATCAATGAGATTAAGCCACAGTGTTTGACAAAAGAAGAAATGTTTTTCTATAACGAACCTAGACAAACTCTCGGACCAGCGTGAAAAGCTGGCCATTTGGCTGCAGATTCCCGATGAAGTTCACCGTCCGGAGAAATCCAACGCTCAGGCTTGAACATATCAGCGTCAGGACCCCAGAGTTTCTTGGATCTTCCCATGGCGTATGCTGACCAATTAACCTGATCGCCTTTGTGTACATGTGTTCCGTCGGGAAGTATGTCATCCTCCAATGCGATTTTATTGTTGCTAGGGACAACAGGTTCTAAGCGTAAAACCTCATAGAAACTATTTGGTAGTGCCGCTGTTAATACCTTCCAATAAAAGTATATACTTGATATTACTACTTACACAGCATGTGCATAAGCCATTTTCTTGATAGTTTCATAAAGAGCAGGCGCATCTTTTTCAATCTCATCGGGTATCGACTCGTTCACTTCAGCAAGTAATTTATCTTCCACTCGAGGATGTAGCAAGAGGTAATAGATTGTCCACGAAAGTGTTTGAGCGGTGGTATCTCTACCCGCAATGATAAAATTCAAGACCGTATCACGTAGCTCTTTGTCACTCAGTTCTTGACCTTCCGGATTACGAGCACTCATGAAACGTGAGAGCAAGTCTTTGTACTTGTGTCCTTGTGCCAGTTGCTCCTTGCGCTCCGCAATCAAGCCATATGCAAATTCGTCGATCACTTTTATGTGCGCCGTGGCGCTAAGCTCACTGGGTCGCAAAATAGGACGGAGTGCTTCACGTAAGGATCCGAGAGGACTGATAATTCTCTGGAAACAATTATGCTGACAAGCATCAAACGATGTAGCAAAAGGAACTTTTTCGTTGTTATATAGGGCTCCAAGTTGCTTTCCAAATCCAAGGCTATAGAAACATTCGATTAGAACAAATCTATCTGTAGAATATGTGTGAAAAGCGTCTTTGAAAATAAAATACTTACTAGACGAATGTTTCGAGGGTGAATTTGTAGATTACGTCTTGGAAATCGATAAACTCGCCTTGTTCTGCCTTTTTGTTAAGAATGCGGTCTGACATGACATTTAGCTCTTTTACAAAGACTCTATGATAGAGGTACACAAACTAGAAGGGTTAGTAGCGTATTCTTCACCGTTTTGGTCTATAATAATTTTCCGCTGTCATGCATTACTCTACAGATCATTGACGATCAATTGCATAAGTCTTCCTTTCGTCACAAAGCAATATAGTATTGGTGCTTTATCTAATTGCTAGTTTAACTTGCCTGTGAAGAAATCTCGGAAATTGACAACGTTGAAGATTAAGCTCGCTGCCTTGCGCTGATACCGCCATTGTTCGCCTGATGTTGTTACAGTAAGTAATCATGTAGTCCGTATGGAAGCGATGTGATTTAGAAGTAAAAGGAAAAATGGATATATTTTGCCAAGAATTACCATTTGCTGCAAAGATACCATGGCCGAACAAATCATTCGTCATTTCACTAATCACAAATGAAAATTCGTTATTACATCGATCTCGTGGAAAGTTACAAGTGTTGCACGTTTCATTCTTTAAAACATAGTAGAGAAATGGTACGCTACACTGAGCGTTTGCCCTTGACATAATTCGAGAAATTGTCTGCGTTGATACAGTGTGGATCAATTGAAAATTCGGTACAGAACCACAGTAATATAAAGGATTTCTTAAAACATTCATCAAATACCTTTTAACACGTGTTCCACTGCAGCAGGGTCGATCGTCATTATCCGTGGCGGGAGGCCTAGTACCGATACGTACCTGAATGATGGTATTCAGCAGCGAACAAAAGATGACAAGATGAACAAAAACTGTTAGTGTGGCGTAGAAACTCGTTTTCCTCATATGAATCAGTTCGCATTAGATAGGATAGAAAAAAACGTTTTACATGGTCATGACATCCATATGCTCAACTTTTTCCAAGAAAAAGTCAAGGAAGCGGTCTTTCTTGGCGATCTGTTCAAACATCAATCCAAACAACGGCATGCCGGGGACATTAGGGATGCCTTCACGACGTTCTGTGAATACTGCGCGATCATTGTATTTTAAAGCCAAGAGACCAAGTAGAGCTGCGCCAGTTAGTGTGGCAAAGCCCGCAAAATTGTTGTTGGAAAGAGTTTGAGCCATGTTGGTGGAGTAGTTAAAGTTATAACGACTGCTTCACGATGAGAAGAGGAAGAAGAAGAAAAGGCAAAGCGGAGAGAAATTCACAAGTGTCAATATTCTGCTTAAATATTTCATAGTACAAACAGGACCACGATCGCAAACCGGATGGTGGGAGTAGACTATTAAGCAACGCCGGGAAAAACTGCATCGGTGTATCGTTCTCCCATCGCCTCTTTTTCATTGTCCGTGGCCATTGTTACCGAGGCGCTCTTACAGCAAAGGGGATGGGATTTCCTGGAGTTTATGCGCACACCAAGTGATGTCATGTGAGGAGGCAAATTAATGCAATGGATCGTTAAGATAAACATTGCCATCTGGTGTTGTTTAGCGCTTTTCCCATGTCATGTGCTCATGTTAGGAAAGTTCTCTTGACACGTATTTTCTTCTTAGTCATTATCGCACTGTGTGCTCATCGATCATAGTAGCGACTGGTTCAAACTTAAATCATATATTTGAAGAGAGACTTATCAAATACTGATAGGCCTTATTCTTCACAGTAAAGCTAGACTAGAAAAACCACGTCATTAGTGAGGTTAACCTCATGTACTGCAAGAAATGTATGGGTTAGCAAATGGGATAGCATGCTTTATGATTACAGCAATTTCCTACTATCTCTAATAGTGTAAAAGCGTGGGGTAATCTATTTTCTCACACAGCGACAGCGATGGGAACGACGCTCGGTCGAACCTGCGCCGAGGTACATGTACCGTGTGCACAAAATGATAGCAGCTCTGATTTGTTCCACGATGCTTACAGATGATTCGAGGTCATCGTTTATCGCCCTGTTGTAATAATAAAGAGTATTAGGTACGCAACCAGCGGCTTCGCAGTGCAAAAAGAGGCTGAAAAAAAATTGTAAGTGCGTCCGAAGTTATAGATCACCGTTGAGGTTTTGAAATCTTACAGGGATTTGGAAGGTCGTTTTAAATGTCAGAAAGGCTACAAACGACAACAAACGATAATTTGTATCTTCCGGATGAATATATCAAAGTTATCGCGTTGGATATGTGCGTCTCATAGTGTCCAATATGAGCTAATGCGGGTAGTTAAATTTGATTGCACTTAATATATATTACCACTTTGTTTTCTTGATGTATCAATATGCGGGTAATTCAGAAACAGCTCATGATACCGATCGCTTATTTACTTTTAATAAAGCTAAGGGACACCCTAGCTTTTACACTTTACACCTTCAGCTACTACTATGTATAATCATATACCTAGAGGTGGAGATCAGTGCTGTGTAGATATAAGCTACATCTTTCCAATGCTCAATGAAGCTCCTCCTATTCGTTGCTCAGCTATACAGTATGTAAATTAATTCAAGGGAGGTAACAGTTAAGTATGATATGCCTCTACCACTACTAGATTAGCTGTGATTCGGCTATTGGCACCCTTAGAATATAAAACCATCATCTTGGTGCCCTGTAAGGCTGCATAAAAAATGGAGAAGCTCAATGAACAATCGGTAGTAGCCATACCACAGCTGTATTACTGATTACGAGAGATATCACTAATGCCAGACTTCATGGGAAAAATTGGTCATCAATGGATATTTTGTAAAACGAGGTCATCCCCGAAGACGTAAATGTGCATTATAATTTGTGTAATATCATAGAAGCAACGACGTATAAAAAGCAATTACTCATACATGAATGTACATATTTTTGGTACTCTTTTGCGTATAGATCTAACAGATTGCAAAGACAAAAGAATAAGCGTGCTCCTAATACTGTTTCGAAAATAGACATTTGCGTTAGCTAATTTTAGCGTTGTAATGGTAAAAGAAATGAAGGTGGTAACATATCTGCTCGCGGGAAGGCTGATGATGATCACAAAAAGTAATAGTGAAAGACATTACTTTGTAATTGTATTTTCAGCACGTACACACTCATCATGAAGTCACTTACTATCATATGATTGGCATAGCGATAACCATGCCGGATAGTTGAGAAAAGCCTTATTACACAGTGGGATCTACTGCTGGTTTCAGTTGTCAAGGTACCCTTGCAGTTGGTTTAACTTGGAGCTTTCTGAATAGCGGAAGCTTGCCTTGTCGTGACCGCTTCTTGATTTATTCTGACATGGTTAGTGTAATAGGAAGTGAGGATGGGTTCTGCTTCAGCTCTGATTTGCAAGTGGCGAATGAAGCCATCGAGTTGCACATTCGATGCTGCTTGTTGTGAAAGCCGATCCTCGCAGTGCAGGATCTCTGCCAACTGTGTGATCTCTTCGTGGATGATCTGCTTGACGTTTCCTTCAGTAAGGCCTTGATGTCTGAGCTCGTTCTCTCTGTCACTCCTCCAACGTTTTATGCCCAACAGGTTGTTGATATCCACAGCTGATTACCAAACTGGTTTTTGACAGAGGCCAAATATGCGCTGTACACTTTTGATCCCTCGTACAAGGCAGTTTGCTGCGGACCATCGAAAACTCCATGCGCTGGTAGCCGGAGACTTGGAGGTGGCCGTTGATATATCGGTTGATCGAGCTGCAGATCGTCGTACTTCCGGGCTTTGTGCGGCTCCGGTCGCGCGTTGTGTCAATGACTTGAATACTTCGCTAACAAATAAGAGTTGGACAAAATCCTGGAGATTGACCCGTCCGCTATCTTGAGCTGGCTGAGGATCGTCGTCTGTATGGCGTTGTGTGTACAAAAAAGGGGCGCAACGGAAATGTGTCGATTTCTAAATATCGTGTTTTGCAATGTGGAAACGGGTGAAACCACCTTGTCACACTGTGCACACAACCTTCTTTTCTTTCGTTGCAATTCGGTTCAACCCCGTTACAAGTCCGCATGTGCTTACAGCATAATGATGGGAGTGCCGACAACAATTGTCGATCACAATGTAGCAGTCATTCATTTGAAGGCGATCATGGCGCATGATATGTTATTCGAAAATATACTCGGTACTGGTGATTTTGAAAGGCTTTTGTTGTGACTCTATTATATTGTTATTGCTGTGCCATAGATGCTGTTGTTTTGTATGCCATGGTGCGCTTTAAAATCTGATGCACTTCTTCATCATTCACTTTTTGGTACGCTCTGTACGAGTACCATGATGCGATGGCGGAAGCATAGGCTGCTAATATACAACGGCTGAATTAATAGCGAAGTGCTACTATGTACAGTATCAGACTGATACATGCAACTGAGAACAGCTGTTTAATCTTCTTTGATACAACACAAACAGAAACCGTGTATGTGGTCGTTCAGTTGACTATAATTCGATTTGTGGTTTTGACAGCAACAGTGCACATCCTCGTTTTACAGAGTCTCGGGTAGTTCTAGAATACCCTTAAGAGGGGTTGTGCTCGATCTTGCGCGGACAACTACCAGATATCATTATTGTTTAGGAGTAAGGACTACCATATAAAAAGGGGCCTATAGGCAGAGGCATGATTACTGCAGTACTATGTGCCAAGAGCTCGTTGGAATGACTGATGCCACTTGGTGAGCCAGATGTCATCTCTGAATTAAAAAACAAGCCATAAAGCATCTGGAGACAGTACATATATGAAGAAAATTATGTGGAGCGCGTTTTGCATCTCGCACTGGTAAAATGAAGAAGAAAAGAAGGCAATAGATGAGGTGAAATGAAGTCAAACGAAACAAGTTTCTGAAAACTGAGATACTGATGACAAGAAAAGAGAGGCCTCTAATAGCTTGAGATTGAGTGATTTAAGAGTGTTTGTTGAGCATTCTCACAAATGCTTGGACAAGTGTGCTTAGACGGATATAAACATAAAAAAGTTTCAAATCATAATTAGTATTAGAAACAGTTATGTCAAAATCGCTGTATAAAAAAATCATCGCACTCCCTCTCTCTCACTTTTGAGGGCACCACCCTCCTTAGAAAAGTTTGTAGGTCACACTTCCTATTTAGGTGTTCCATACAAATTATGCAAATCACCTTCTGAAAAATGCCAGTATTGATTATCATCTTCTCCACAATCACTATGATCGAATCGACAGCATACTTGTTATGCACTAAAACTGCTGATTCGGACCCAGAATGGTTTTTCAGCATGTATAGGAAGAAGCATCCAGACACCCCTTATGCTAGCTTAATTCCATTGATGTCAAAGGATTTGAAAGAACTAGCCATGAAGAAACCAATCCTAGCAAATGCAATCATCATTACAAACCACTTGATTAGATTGGCCTTTTGAGGTGGGAAAAGGTCCTTGCTATTCCAAAGTCAACGAAGCTGATAGATAGATAGTATTGGTATGGCTTCCAATGACCAAAAGGAACATGTGCTTATCGAATCATCTAGGTAAGGATATCTACATTATTTGGGCAAGATAGATACTCATTATTTTATTTGATAGTCTCAAAGAGAGATAAATATTAATTTGATAGTTACAAAATATTATAGAATCTAAGAATTCTATAATATTTCTATTTATAAATAAAATTATTGGGTAATTATTATTATAAATGACAGATTTTATAATAACTTTTGTAAAATCTAATTTATAATAATTATCATTTATAATAATCATCCAATTTAAATAAAAATGAAAATAATATAAATTAGAAATTTATTAATAACTCTTCTCTCCTCCTTCCTTCCAGTCTTCAAATCTTTGATTTGAATGTAAGAACGAAGTTCTTCTAGGACCTTTAGGTCCGACAAAAAAGATTATTAGACATTAATTTTAATATGAAAAATACCAGCTGGTATTTTTCTAGAAGAAATATATAATTCTTTTTGTCGGAGCTAAAGGTCCTAGAAGTCATTCCGCTGCTCGCTTCATTCCTTGTTTCGTCTTCGATGAGACTGGAAGGAGGAGGAGAGGAAGAAGATTAAAATTATATTTTTCTAAATTTTATTATAAATTTAATTATATTAAAATAAACAAAATAATTGAATCTTAATATTTATCTGTTGAAGAAAAGATTTTATATTACTCAAAAATCTTAAAAAACACTAATTCAATCAATTTAATAAATTCTATATTATATTATATTTTATGTAAAACTAATTTTTTTATTTATTTTTAAAAATCCATTTCAT